CTCCTGGAATCCTGCTGTTGGAAAGAGTTGTGAGTCTCTATGGCTAGGTTACTATGTCTGCATCGGCGTCAAAGGAACTCCAACTACGCCGCCCAAAGAGCCCAACACGCCCAAGCCTACCCAGCCAAACGTTAACCCCAAGTGTTAGTCCAGTATACTTCTGTGAGCGCCCAGATAGTGCATTGGCTGATACTAACACTCTCTAGGCAACAAGTGGTACAAGGTGGTCTCTGGAGACTACTGTCAAAAGATTTCTGATCAATTCCATATTCCCCTTCAGGACTTGTGAGTTAATACAAATTGAATACTTTCTAGTCACCACTTTCTAAAAGCGTTATACTGACATAAGGAAATAGCTATAAATGGAACCCAGATGTAGGCAACGCTTGTGCTAGTCTCTGGGCTGACTATAATGTCTGTGTTGGATCCGCTTAAGCAGTATTGGTCTGGCAGCAATGATCGGCAATGACATTTTTTGAATGCTAAAGATATGATCTCTTTGAAGACTACACCACTCTAACCCTGAATCCTTAGATTAATAGCACTATACAGTCTTAATGTAACTAATATAATACACTTCCCTATATTAGTTCTAGTTGCCCAGAATCCACAATTGGAAATCGTTGGTGCCGCCACCGTTGTCACGTGTGATATAATTAGGTACCAACCTTAGAAGAGCCGCTTATATTAATTAACTAAGGATCCGCATGGTGGGAACCTAAATAAGCTTATACATATTAGCCGCCATTTCCTTAGCAACCGCGTCTAGCCGCCTGTTAAGTTACATATACATATGGGCCTCTAGAGATATAGAACTTTACATCCATCAGCATCTATATATTTTAGCCGTATACTCCATTCTTTCCTGAGTTCATCTGGACGCTTGGGCATCTATTTGCTGCTACGCTGTATCATTAAATATCCTTAAAGGTACATCAATAATTGACTTCCATCTCAACACACAAGGAAGCGGAAAAAGCAAGCTTATAATATACTGGAGTGTCCTGTAAACACTGCAAAAGGAGTACTCTGTACTAGGCCTCGAATAGATGGATAATAATAATACCTAGGTCTATACTATAAAGAGCCCTGTATAATATAAAATATACTCCGTATAAGTTATGTGGAAAATGGACTTTGGGAGATAAAGGTGATCAACTCTTTGAAAATCCCATTCTACTTTCGGATACCCTTTACCATTAATGGCTGTGCAAGGGCGAGCATTCTCAATCAAACTTTCTGAAATATTCGGTCTCTCCCTATAGAAAACATCGGGTTTAATATGCTGTCCTAGAGTATAAGATAGATCTTGCCTATGATACAAAACTTTCTAAATGATAACTGAAAGAGAAAAAGAGATAAATGGCAGTCTGCTGACCCTCAAAAAGCATTCGATGAATTAAGCGTGCTCAACGCCCATCAAACGGAAACATCTCCATTGCATCCTCTTCTGTGGTTCCGGACTCGACAGCAGACGCTATCCACTCCTCTCGTAGCATTGGCAGTGCTTCATACGCCTTCTTCCATTCATCATTTGCCATATAGCCGTCCGGATTAGTGTTGAAGAGCCGCATTAGCCCAGCCTTGAGCTTCATAGAATCTTCAAAATCAATATACATTTTTTTATGTGCAGCGACCTGCTCCTCTGATATCGAGTATGGACAACAGCCTGGAATATCATAGGTTCTCCAATTCTGAAAAAGGTCAATTAGTTCTTCTCGAACTGCAGTAGCGCTAGAGGTCCAGGACGTGAGGCAATAGTGGAAGATCCTATATAGCGCTGGGTCGAGGTTGCGTGCCGCTTGTAGCTTTGGTATGAATGCCTTTATAATAACGTCATATGCCTGGGCACATATTGAGGCAGCTTTGAGGTTGTACTCATCCTCCTCTGGAAGCTTTACAAATTTCTTTAGGAACGGTAGATCGTCAGGTAGGGATGCAAAGTCCGGTACGTCCATGACATACATAAATGCCGGTTGAATACTTGTAGATTGCCAATCAATGACTCCTGTAACAATCGTGGGGTCAGATTCCGAAACAAATATATTCCGTTTATGAAAGCCTGGGTGCAACAGCAGAGGAGAGCCTGCTTCTTTCAATAAAGGATGTTGAATAAGGTGAGATATGGCCATTTCCGCATCCTGTATTAGGCGGATATGCTCATCCACAGAACCCTTATACGCTGCACGTTTTTGGGTATTCGATTTTGGAAGCCGGCTGAAGCCTGTTTTTATCAGCCCTTGGCAGAACTGCAGTAGATCTCCCCCTGAAAACCATCAGCAGGCTGCATAGTCAAGGCTCAGATGTCGAGGACAACTCACATGGACCGCAATCGGGAATGTCATCGCCGTAAAGCAGAGTTTCGCCAACACCACACTTCCAATACGTGGATGCACAGTGGGGCCCTATAAAGTAGTCTTTGGTGAATGGGATCCGTGAGCCGTCAGGGAGCGGTGCATCTTGGAAATATAGACAACCATATGCTGGGAAGTTGAGGTCTGCGAGCTGCTTGGCCATCATCATAAGTGTCTTCGTGCATTCTAGTTGCTGCACAGTATCCATAGTCTCCCATCTGTCAGATAAGCGCACACCGCTCATGTGTTCCATAATGATGTACTCAGTGCCGATTGGATTAGATGGATCATTATTCCAGCCTAGAACTCCAGGGATCGGTATCGACGTGTGCGACCGTACTGTGGATGAAGCAAACTGGTAAATATCGCTGTGATGTCGATAAAAGGCGAATTATAAGATATATAAATGTGTACTGACAACAATTCATCGTTGCAACTTCAGAGCTAGTTGCCAGCTTTGGAGGACCAGCGACCGAAGTAGGAACTCTGGCAACCACCTTCGAGCCACAATCAAGCGTCAGGATAAAGGTTCGGTTGAAGCCACCTTCAATCTTCTCGCAATGGGCTACACCACTAGATCCAGGGAACAATCTAACAGCCTGTTCACAGAGGGCGTCGAAATCCAACTTGGTATACCGAGCTTCTCGTTGCAGCCTATCTTGGTGAAGCCAACCACCTGTAGAGTGGCGATTGGGCTCTATAATATTAGGGGAAGAGGATGTATGAAGTTCTCTAGCCTGGCTCCCAAGGGTCTGCCGGCCTCTGGATGTTGCGAGCTGCCATGTTAAGGATGGAATGTTTGTAAAAAGATGGCCAGCAGAAGGAAACGTCTTTAAAACGGTTGAATATTGAGAATAACTCCTCGCAATGTATTGAGTCAACATATTTCTCTTGTTCCTCGGCCATAGAGGCAGTTGGAAGGATGAGGTGTTGTACGCAGTCAAGTTCGCTGGAGTTATGCAGCTGGGCTCGACTAATCAAGGTGTTGGTATTCTAGGGGTTATCCACCCCTGGTCCCAATGGTAGCTGGAAGCCCATGTATATAAATACCTACGATTCCATTTTCACCTTGACGTTTATCTTCAGGTCAACTCGCGAATCGACAGCCCAAGCCTGAAGTAGTGGCAGATTGCAGTTGGATGTTTTGATGCAGCCACCGAGGCAGAAACAAAAGGATGAAACTAAATATCAAAATAATACCAAAGCTGTGACGGTGCTCTGGGTAAAGGATCATACACCAGCGATCGATATCACACGTCGCTTCTCTGTATATATGTTTTCGACAATGATGGTTGATCCATAAGAACCTGTCACGTAGCATGCATGTCTACAGAGTTTGATAGTATGTATTCGATACCTCATTCAAACAAGTTAAACCACTTAGTACTATGTATTTACCTTGTTTGATATCTGAAAGGTTCTATTCCCTACTAGCTACGTGGGATAACTGGGGCCCAAGAGGTGAAGACTCTCTGGTCGACGTCGACACCTTTTACTGCCGAGAAAATGACAAGGAACACCGTTTGGATGAAGATGAATCCTGGATTTGACAGTGACTTTTTGATTAAGGGCAGCTGTGTCTATGTGTTATGAAAAGCAGACCATGAACGCCACTTTTCCCCGCCAGCCGATAAGAAATGTATACCACCTCTCTATGATAGAAGTATGTATGCCCTGTACTCCGTTCTCCGTGACCCGCTGATGGTTCAAAGCCATCTCTTCTTCTGAAGCTCAGCAAGCTGCTCCCGGATCCTCTTCAGCTCGTCCATCCGAGAAGCCTCGCCATGCAGAACCTTACGGTGTTCCTTTTTCAGGTCTTCGAATGCATCGTCAAGCTGTTTGTGCCATGGATATAGAACGAACACCTGGAATCCCAAGGCAGAGGAGGCGACGACGAAGTTGGTCAAAGAGACACTGCGAGTAAACAACATGGCTGCAAGCTCTGCGATGTTTCTACCATTAGCAGGTCAGATATGGCCGGGAGACAAACGGGGTAAATGCTCCTACGACAGGTAAAATCGCTGGTGACTTACGATTTGATGTCGACGTTCACCAGCTCGTGTAGTTCACTAGCTATCGTCGTATGCCTGGCGCCAAGGGGGAGGGGAGAGCTTTATGGATCAGAACGCAGAGGAAAACGAGAATATCGCCCTGTTGACTATGTTAAAAGAGAAGCAGTGGTCGGTTAATATAACAGCGGCGGTTCGAACCACTTTTTGGGTTGACGGTGAAAAAAATTTGTGAACGCCGAGATATCTCCGAGATGCCCCCACGGGTCCTTTTTTCACTCGCCCCCTTAAACCGAACGGACGATATATATAGTTAACACACTCGACTTCAGTGTCCATGGATCCTTCGAGATATCCATGCAGAGTGTATCACAATAGGGCTGGGATTGGCAGCCACAGAAGAGAACCCAGACGAAGGTTCGAAGGCCTCTGTATATCTCCCCTGATCGAGAGTCTTAATGATATGCCAACTCAGAACATACGCAAAGACACCGGAGATCACGACTCTAGCCCAGCCGGAGTGTCTCAAGCCTCAGACGTGCAACAGGAATCCAGGTCGAGCGTGTCATGTCGATTAAAGGTTGGTTCCCCTTGGGAGACAACGGACAACGGACACAACATGGGGTGCAATATAGAGGGCCCTGTTTGCGTTTAGGCGCAATATAGAGAGAGACTCCTGTTTGCGTTTATCTGGATGAACCGATGCTCTGGCCGTGTCCCTTACCGCCGCCGTCGCCCTAAAGCCCAGTCATCACTCTTTGATATACTCGACTTGGTACCAGAGCCGGGAGTAAATGTCATCATATACGGAGTATATGTGTATATATATATATATATATGCTGCGTGGTCCACCACCACCATATATAACAAGACCGTGTCTGCTCCAAACCTCCCAGATCACCGTACAGCTACATAATGCCATAAGGAAAAGTTGCCAAAACAACAACCAAAACGCGTTCTTGATATCAAAATATCAAAATCGCCAAAAAAAGCCGAAAAAGGTCAAAAAGACAAGGCTCTCACGTGACGTTTTCCCGCCCGCAGGAAAAACGAACGAAAGCAGAAGAAAAAAGTCATGAGAAGAAGACGAAGATGGAGGGGAGAGGAAGAGGAAGTTCTGCTCTTCTTCATCCGCTTCATCATCTTCTTCTTCGTCAGACTTGACAGTCCCTCGCTTTCTTCCTTTCCTCTACCTCGTCGCCTGCGTTCAGGGGGACGTGAACAGACCACAGAAAGGGGCTTTGGCTCTGCCGCTCAATTTACCCCTGACCGTATCTGCCCTTCGACTGTTGGAATTACTCCCATTATCTTGCTACTATTGAAACCAGAAGAGGAGGACATTTTCATCTCCTGTCCACTCGCTTCTTGCGCCTCAGACTGGCGTTCCACACTCGTTTACCTCAACCACACCATAGAAAGACTCCCTAACAGAGCTGGGTATTCCGTCCGCCCTGTCCTCTCCCCCTGCCACAGCCTAGAGCCAGTGGAAATCTCCGCACGACGTCATCGTCTTATCTTCGGCCCAGGGCTGCCGTAGGAATGGACGCACCTCCGTCGACGCTCTTCCACATCCCGACCAGCCGTATATCCTCCGTGACAACCAGCAATGGCATCACTCGCAGGCGGCGGACAATCACCGGCGTTTCCAGCGGTCATATCCTGCAGACCATCGAGGAACGGAAGCTCTCCAGGCTGAGGAATAACAATAATTATAGCAATAATAATAATACACCCTCCTTTCTACACCGCTGCAAGCAGGTGGTCAGCAGGCATACATGGACTGTCCCTCTCGTCCCAATGCTAGCCATTCTTTCGCTATATGCCGTTAATCCAACTGAATCCAATGTCTTCCATCGTTTTATTTTCCTCTCCTACAAACAGCAACAGACTGACCCTGTTCAGCCTGTACAATATGGCAAGGGGCTATGGGATATCGCGTTTGTCACATTCTATACCATCGTCTTGTCAGTTGCGCGCGAGTTCATCATGCAGGAGTTATTGCGGCCCCTCGCAATTTTCTGTGGCCTGAAGTCGCGGGGGAAACGCCTGCGGTTCATGGAGCAGACCTACACAGCTATATATTTTGGAATCATAGGGCCCTCGGGGCTCTATGTCATGAGCACAACGCCAGTTTGGTACTTCAATACCCGTGGGATGTATGAGTTCTCTCCACACTTAACCCACGACGCTGGCTTCAAGTTTTACTATCTGTTTCAGGCTGCGTATTGGGCGCAGCAGGCTGTGGTTATGCTTTTAGGAATGGAGAAGAGACGTAAGGACTTTAGAGAGCTTGTGACGCATCACGTCGTTACCCTCGCCCTCATCGCTCTAAGTTATCGCTTTCATTTCACCTATGTCGGAATCGCGGTTTATATCACCCACGACATTAGTGATTTCTTCCTTGCTGTAAGTCTTTAAGCTCTAGTCTCCTCTTCCGTCACAGATAAGGCCCCTTTAACGCGATATCTCTAGTCATCAAAAGCACTAAACTACATCGACAGCCCTCTGGTAGGGCCCTTCGTCGGTGCTACCATCAGCATGTGGATCTACCTACGCAACTACTTGAACCTACGCATCATATTCTCTCTCTTCAACGAGTTTGATAATATTGGTCCTACCGAACTCAACTGGGAGAAAGAGCAGTTCAAGTGCACCTACACCAAGTTTTGCTTCCTTGTTTTACTGGTTGCGCTCCAGAGTCTCAATCTCTTCTGGCTCTTCTTACTTGTGCGCATTGCCTACCGGTTTGTCGTGCATAACGTTGCAAAGGATGAAAGGTCCGAGGCTGAAGAGTCTGAGCTCGAGGAGATGGCCAAGAAGGCTAAGGAGGCCAGGTCATCCAATCTGCTGAATGGAAGTGCTGCTAAACCACCGGCCAGCCGGGAATCTCCTTCATGAAACATCCCGTCTCCATCTGTTCCCTTTTCTTTTCTCCGCATTGAACTTCTCATGGGTGCTAGCAAGCGTCCTTTGCCTCATGCATATAAGCGGAGGCATATGCTAAGATGCTGCATGTTCATACCCTGAGAAGACGTAAAGATGAATTTTTAACTCTTGCCAGGTTTAATTCGCTTCTTCAGTATTGATACCACCTTTATAGATATAATAATGTTTAATACAACGGCACTAGATAGATTCAACGAATGAATATATTGTTACTTCTCTCCCAGTTTTTATGTGCTGACCTAAGCCTCTCGCGGTCACATGAAACTCGAAGTCGAACTTCCAAAGAATTTCGTAACTAACGGAAATATATTATCGATAGTACTTTGTCTTACGCTCGTTTTGATTCTTTTGATTCTTCCTCAGGGTATTCTCCCTCCCAGGCCGCCTCTCCGTCTCTTCGTTTTGCGCGCAAGTAATGCACAGCTGTTCTACTCGCTTAATTGCCTTGGGGTGAAGCTTCATCTCTCTTCGCCGCGAACTCGAAGCTATGCTCGCGCTTCTCACGCGATAACCAGCCCAAACACCCCCAATCCCTCCAAAAGAAGATAACCCTCTCTCCTGCCCGTGGGCTCGCGAGGCCAGAAGTGCGAAAATAAAGCAAAGGGAAATCCACGGTCACATTTGAAATGCATATCATAAAGCCTGTTTGGCTCACGCATGGAGGTCTGGCCTACCCTTATCGAACCCCCGAAATGAGAAGGGCTTTTTGCTAACTCTTTCTCCTCGAGTTATGAGCACCTGTTAAATAGGCGAGCGGAAAGATTTCGAAGTATATAGCTGTGATGTTTCGCCCGATGGGAAAAGACTGGTTACTGCTGCCGGAGGTGAGATATCTTAACCCAAGTCGTTTGCATGGCGAAATCGGCGGATTCTTTGTTTTTTTTACCTTGCGCATGAGATGGCTGACGCTATACGCTCCCGAATGGACAGATGGATATGTACGAATATGGTCTACCGAGGCGATATACAATTCAGGTGATCCAGCGTACGAGGACAAGCCTAAACAGCTAGCTTCTATGAGCAATCACTCTGGAACGATACACACGGTTCGGTTCTCGCCGAATGGAAAGTACCTAGCTTCTGGTGCGGATGACAAAATTGTCTGTGTATACACTCAAGAAGCAAATGTTACTGCTCATGCAACATTTGGTATGAACACCCCTCTTTTTTTTTATAAAAAAAAGGCTGGCGCACCAATTATTCAACTCGTAATGGGTCTCTTCATAAGCTAATTCAATTATATTTGTACAGGATCTAATGAACCTCCCCCTGTTGAAAACTGGCGTACTATCCGCCGCTTAATTGGCCACGATAACGACATCCAAGACCTGGGATGGTCCTATGACTCTTCGATTCTGGTCTCTGTAGGACTAGATTCCAAAGTTGTAGTATGGTCGGGCCATACCTTTGAGAAATTAAAGACTCTTTTAAACCACCAGAGTCACGTCAAGGGTATCACCTTTGACCCAGCGAATAAATACTTTGCTACCGCCAGTGATGACCGCACCGTTCGAATATTTCGCTTCAACTCCCCTCTCCCCAACTCTACCGCTCATGACCAGACACATAACTTCGTCCACGAAAAGACGGTTAAAAGTCCGTTCGTGAACTCTCCCCTCACCACATATTTTCGAAGATGCTCTTGGTCACCGGATGGAAACCACATAGCAGCTGCAAACGCCGTCAATGGCCCAGTCAGTGCTGTAGCAATCATAAATCGAGGTTCATGGGAAAGCGATATCAATTTGATAGGCCACGAAGCACCTGTTGAGGTTTGCGCATTTGCACCTCGGCTCTACTCGACCCAGCCAATTCAAAAGCCTATGCTGGATAGTCATGGGAATGCAGTCCATAACTTAGTGACCGTTATTGCTTGCGCAGGAGGCGATAAGTCGCTAAGTATATGGATCACAAGCAATCCAAGGCCGATAGTCATAGCACAGGATATTTCCGTCAAGGCAATATCCGATCTAGCATGGAGCCCTGACGGGAACAATTTATTCGCCACAGCCCTTGACGGAGCTATCATAGCAGTGCGGTTCGAAACCGCGGAATTAGGCCATCCAATGCCCATTGAGGAGAACGAAAAGTCACTATCGAAGTTCGGAACAAACCGAAGAGGCGCCGGCATGGTCGAATCTACAGACGGCCTACTTCTCGAGGAGAAGAGCAAAGCCGGTGAACTACGTGGAGTAAAGGGCAGAATGGGAGCGCTGATGGGAGACAGTCATGCTGATGCTGATAATGCAGTTAATGGGGAAGCAGATGCAACAGCCACAACGACCACTCCCCAGAAAGCTACCCAGAGCGAAAAGGTAGCCCAAAGCGGAGCTACTAACGGGGCAGATTCAGGTCAGGCGAAGCAGGACCCGTATGCCGTGAAACTGGACAAGTTGAAACAAAGGCCAACCTATACCAAGGAAGGGAAGAAACGCATTGCACCGCTTCTAGTATCAGGAGCTGTGGGAACCCAGTCCTCACTTCCACAGACAAAATTAGTTGCTGCGTCAATGAATACTCAAGGCACGTCGGAGGGGCCGCAGTCAGTCCTTGACTTGTCAAAACCATTCGACGGCCTACCAAAAGGTGGACTGGCCGCCTTGTTATTTGGTAACAGACGGAAGTTTTCTCAATTAGGAGACGACGAAGATGGATCTGCTGAGAAAAGGATTGCTACTGCAAGAGACAACGGTGTTATCCCCATTCTATCCAACACGCCAGATGGACTTGTACCTGCAGTCCCTACACCCAGTGAACCCCAGGAAACGCCCAGTTTTATTAGACCCGCGGTAGTCAACCCCTGCATGGCTGTCAGCCAACTTCGTCTTGCAGTTCCTAAAATAAGGAGCCATATCCTCCAAGGCATAGATTCATTTGGAAACCCCAAGGACGTATCCGGTAATACGGACAGCACAAAGGCAAGAGTCGACATTGTCTTTGAAGCACGAAACCCTTCTCAAGCGAGTTTGACTGGACGCAGTGCCGATAAAGAACCCGTGCGCATCAGTCTTAATCGTGGTGATCAGCCGTTATGGCAAGACTACCTCCCTAAAGCCGTTATACTTGTTACTGGCAACAAGAAGCTCTGGGCGGCGGCGTCTGAAGATGGCTCCATATATATCTGGACACCCGCCGGAAGACGCCTCCTCAATGCTCTAGTGCTTGAATCTCAGGCGGTGGTACTAGAGTGTATGGAGTCGTGGGTACTATGCATCACTGCCGTAGGGATGTGTTATGTGTGGAATATTAGCACGCTTTCATCTCCTCATCCTCCGATTTCACTTCAGCCAGTTTTGGACGCAGCTCTTCACACAATGACAGGCCATGCCACCGCTGTCCCATCCATAGTTGCATCACGAATCAGCTCGGAAGGTCGAATAATAGTCGGCCTATCCACAGGAGACGGCTACAGCTACTCACCGTCATTGTATACTTGGCAGAGACTGTCAGAGCCATGGTGGGCTGTGGCAAGTCAGTACTGGAACTCCACCGAAGCTCCGGTTGGAAACCTACAAGTACGAGGGCAGGCAGAAGGCGAGTCTGCAGCTCCCGTCTCTGCAGGAATAGTCCCCTTCCTCGAACGAAATACGACCCAGGAGGTTCTCGCGCGGGGCCGTGGACATTTCTTACAACGCCTAATCAAGATCCTCCTCTCCCGTGAAGGGTTCGAGAGCTTTGAAGCTTCTGCCTCCATAGCTCATCTAGAGAACCGAGTTGCTGCCACTCTATCTCTTGCTGCCAAGGAGGAGTTCCGCATGTACCTTTCCATGTACGCCAAACGACTAGGCGCAGAAGGGGCAAAACTAAAGGCCGAGGAGCTACTAGAAGACATACTCGGCGGCGTCTTCGAGGACAAGGCTGCAGAGGAGGAGCAGGCAAAGCAGAACCGTCAACCTGGACAGCCTGAACAGAGGTCCTGGTTGAACGAGTCAGATACGCTATGTGGATGGCCGCGTCGGACATTGCTCAAGGACGTGATTCTAGCATTTGGTAAGCATCCTACCCGTCTTCTACTCCTGTCTCGACCAATGCTAACTGTAAGCAAGGCAAACACCGCGACCTTCAACGGGTGACTGTACCGTATGCCCAGCTTTTAGGGATACTCGACGAGAGTCAGGATGACGACGATACCATGGCTGTTTAGGTTGATCTTTATGTCTATTGCTTGGAGTTCAGGGTCGGGGTTACATGCAGCTGGGACGGCGGATATTTCTTTTCTTCACCGTGTGCTCTTGTACTCTATCAGCTTAGATTGGTCCTCTTGGTGTCTTCTTCTCTTCTTCTCTTCCTTCAGCCAATCCTGCTTATATAATACACTACTAAGCCGATTAACTTACATCGGATTAACTATAATCCGTGTCTAGGGCAACATCGAAATTTTTTCAGGCCAAACAATAAAAAAACACCAAAATAAAAAACTGACTTACAAATAACCATCATTTATGCAGCCTTTCTTCCCCTCCCGCTCTCTTTTTCTCTTCTCTTCTCCCACTCACCCCTTGACAAAACTTGCAGCTGGTCCTGCTCTTTCACCCAATCCACTCTCCTTCGCTTTTCTCCTCTTCAGATCTTCTCCGTCACTTGTAACCACTCGAGGCTTTGCGAGCAAAAAGAAAATGGCACCCAAGAAGCCTATCAAGCGTGAGAAGGTCCTCCTCGGACGGCCGGGAAACAGCCTGAAGAGTGGTATAGTATGTGCGAATTCCCTCTCATAGCTTCTCGTTTCTCAGTATCTATATATATATATATATATATAGCTAACGTGTTTCTATGCTAGGTCGGCCTGGCTAATGTCGGAAAATCTACTCTTTTCCAAGCCATCACCAAATCTACACTGGGAAACCCTGCCAATTTCCCCTTTGCCACAATTGACCCCGAGCAAGCCCGTGTTATTGTTCCAGATGAACGATATGACTGGCTGTGCAAGCACTACAAGCCCAAGTCTGAGGTGCCGGCTAACCTGACAGTGTACGATATTGCTGGTCTGACACGAGGAGCCTCCACAGGAGCAGGTCTTGGAAACGCCTTTTTGTCTCATATCCGTGCCGTTGATGCCATCTTCCAGGTTGTACGGTGTTTCGATGATGCGGAGATTGTCCACGTCGAGGGTGATGTCGACCCTGTCCGTGACTTGAACATCATTAGCGAGGAACTTCGTATCAAAGATATCGAGTTCGTCGAGAAGGCCCTGGAAGCCCTGTCCAAACAGACAAGACGAGGTGGCCAGTCACTCGAGATGAAGAAACTGAAAGAGGAAGAAGAGATAGTTGCCAAAGTGCTTGCTTTTCTCAAAGATGGTAATGACATTAGAAAGGGTGACTGGGGTCCCAAGGAGGTAAGCCGTTTTCTCCGTTTTGATTCTTAAGACGCCCTTCTACATTGAATGCGTATCTCCTATGATGAATAAGAGCTATAACGCTCGACTTTAACCCAGCTCGTCGAATGGCCTCAGGTCATCGTGAGATAAAATCCAAAGCTGATTGTTGATACCGATTTTGTTTCTGCCTTTGCTTGAAGTCTTCATTTTCATTATATGGATCTAACGAGAACGCCGCCGTTTTAGGTCGATGTGATTAATCCTCTCTTTTTATTGACCGCCAAACCTGTGGTTTACCTTGTCAACCTCAGTGAAAAGGATTATATCCGACAAAAGAATAAATATATTCCAAAGGTTGCTGAATGGATTAAAACTAACTCACCCGGTGACCCTATAATCCCTCTCTCAGTCTCCTTTGAGGAGCGCCTAACGCAGTTCGGAGACGACGCCGCAGCTGCTGCAGAATGTGAGAAGCTAGGCACAAAATCTGCTTTGCCCAAGATTATTGTGACCATGCGTCAGAGTCTTAACCTCGGCAGCTTTTTCACCACTGGTGCGGATGAGGTTCGACAGTGGACTATCCGCAAGGGTACAAAGGCCCCCCAGGCCGCTGGTGTCATCCATACAGGTACATTCATACTCTCGTTTTCCGAGCTTGACTTGAAACACCCACTGACCCATGATTCGTCTTGTAGATTTTGAAAAGACCTTTATCCAATGTCTTGTTTTTAACTTTGATGTACTAAAAGAGTGCGGAGATGAAGCTGCTGTCAGAGCAGCTGGTAAAATCCTTACCAAGGGCAAAGATTATGTTATCGAAGACGGAGATATCGTCCTGATCAAAGCCGGTGCGGCCAAGGCATAGTTACGCCCATGAATTACCACATAGTTTCCCCTAGCTTTAGCATTTAAACGCTTCCGGCCTGTAATACTAAAATACTAGTCAAGGGAATAAATGCGTTAAATGAAATAATAATTAATATGAACTTATGGCCTTTTAATTACTTCATTTATTCTCGTCAATTTGAACATTTTTATGCAACTTTCTCATCATGTGATCAAAGTTATCAACTTCCTTCAAAGCGCAAAAGCTTCGTTATTATTTCTCAGTGACATATTTACATATCAAATTCTACTATACAGACTTAAAACAATGTTTAAAAAAGAGTAAGTTGTCTTATATCTAGCTCGGGATCTTGACGGAAAATGGTATCTGTCTATACTGCTATCTAATCAATATACCCCGCTGCGTTGGAGGTGCGCGGGGTCTACAATATCAACTTGAACATATTAAGTAACTAACGATACGGTTTGCTCAGTATATCCGCCGGTGCACGATCAAAAGTAAAGTCTTCAGTGCAGCGATCGTTAAGGACCAAATTCCTGGAAACCCATCCCGGGTTCGAGCCATATATCGATGAAGTTCTACCAAAGAAGGCTTCTTTGGAAGCCATGAAGCTGTGTGTTATACGAATCCTCCCTCTCAAATAAACAGTAGAGATGGACAAGCTAGCTGATGGTTTATATATCTACAGCCCGGACCGAGTAACACTCTACATTGCAGATTCCAAGCCTATTTTCTTCCAGTCTATGGACAGCCCTCTCATCCCTCATCTACGGGTTCTGCATGCTTTCCCTAACGCCTTGCCTACAGTTGGGATCGACAGAGGAGCCATCCGATTCGTTCTTTCAGGCGCTACATTAATGGCTCCTGGCCTCACGTCGACAGGAGGAAGGTTACCTGATGCAGATCACGCTTTGGAAGCAGGCACCATAGTAGCCATCAGGGCAGAAGGGAAAGAAGAGATATGCATGGTTGGTGAGCTGAAGGTGGGCACTGAGGATATCAAGAAGAAAGGTAAAGGCATTGTTATGGATGAAGGTCATTATTTAGGCGATGGGCTCTGGAAACTAAACTTTGATTAATTATTTTCTCTTCTCTGCCAGAAGGCAGACGGATATGTTAACTCGTCTTCCTTCATTGTGACTTATTTACATACATAACTGGTACTGGTTTGGGTGCATGTTGTGGCAGGTCTAGGTTCTGCCAAATAGCTGTATAAGCTTCATCATTATATGGTATAATTCGTTCAAAGTTCATTCAACAAAGTAGTATGAAAATTAAGTGTCAGCTGGCATTGGTATATTTGCATGGCCCTGACTTTGGGTCAACCGACACAAGCCTCCAGATTCCAAATCATGGACCTATGTCCAACATTCCAAAACGAGGGATTGGGCCTCCATCCACGTCAATACTGCCAGGAGCCTCCCTTCTCAACCCAACCCTCACAACTGCACGTTTCAACACCTCGCCGGAACCATCCAGTGCAATGAGAAACTGCGCAATCTCACCGCATAACTCCCAGTCCCCCCGTTGGGATGCTAACCGTAGGAGACGGACGGCAGAATCCTCAATTTTGTCAATGCTATCCGCACTATCTTCATCATCGACATCATCAAATGCCTGAAGAACAAGCAAGTAGCCTCCAGCCGTCTTTAACGAGTTAAACTTCAGTGCCTGCTCGAATAACTCGTTGGGGGGAGGTAAGTAAGCGAAAAGGGTGCGCCACGATCGTAGCTCTGTTTTCCGGATACATTGGACAAGTATGTCAAGGTAGAGTTCGGGTGGATTGGCGGCTTGGAGGAACGCCAGAACCCCAGGTAGTAACTGCTTCCCTTTCACCGGGGCCTCAATAACGTTCCCTGTACTATGGTCATCCACTGCCTCATCCAAAACATGATGTAGCAGGATCTCTAGTGCATGAGGGAAGTATGATAGGTGTGAGAAATGGTGGCAAATCGAGAGGGCGGAGGGTGTATCAAAATATGATAAATTGTGCTGTAGCACATATGGCAAGAATAATTGAGTCTAAAAACGTCAGTAGGAAACAGCCAAGAGCATTTGATACCATTAGAGGGAGAGCTCACTCTGATTGCAAATCTCAATAATGTAAAGGTAACATCACGCCTTTGTGTGATCTCAGGCTCGATGCCAAGAACGACACCCTTATTTAGAAGTATCGACACTGGGTAAAAATCAGTGGGTATAGGTAGGTTCTTCGGGCCTTCAATTGATCGGCCAGTTGGACGGAGCACATCTTGCATATCACTCCATACAAACAGGTCCTTCCCGCCAAAGACCCATAAAGAATCTCTTAGTGAGATATCTGATGAGGAGCTGTTAGATGTTATTTCTGAGGTTTGCCCTGCTGAACTCGGTTCATCGTTTGGCGGAGCAAAATTAAATGAAAGCTGGTCCCGCATAAGGATGTAGTATTCAACGTCATGAGCTACAACACGCATATCGTACTTCAAAGCTCCACTTGGCGATATCGAAGGCTGCAGCAATACTAACTTTCCATCAACAAGAAAGAGAACCGACGCTACCGCGACATCTTGAGATGGGTCGCCGTCACCTAAATTGGTTGTGTTAGATAGAATTCTGGGTAGATGATTATGTGGATTATCAAATTACATACGAAGTTGATCCTCTGGTAGTATCCAGCTGATTGCGCGAACACGAGCTGGAGCTCTCACGATCCCATTAAACGTTATTTGACCGACCTGAACAAGGCTTATCCTTGTCCCGACAGCGTTTATAACGTAATGGTATAATATGTTATCGTAAGTGTATACCAGGAGAGAATCCTCCCCTGAGGGACCAATAAATACTGCTGGTGCTGGGAGAGGCTCGGAATGGAGTATTGAAGAGTTGTTAAGAGGAAGCTCACGGGAATACATACGCAACTGTCTATGGTTAGCTCAGAATCCTATGGGAAAGGGATAAGCATTGAATATGTACCTCATACGACGAATCACACTCAACTGCAACAATAAGGATGTGGCCATACCAACACATTCCCCCTTGTATGGCAAAAGAATTTTCAACTTTAGGGTCATCAAACGTTTTCCATCTATTGCTGTGGACGCTATAGTGAGCCAGGCCGCGCCGGCCAGCCACAGCCACATACCTACCATCCTGTGAGGCACAACATGTGCGAATAGGCCACTGAGCGTGAAGATAACCGGGCGGGTACTGGGCATGATGCCACAACGAATCTTTACCCGATATTGTTGTTAAATCAGGAAGATCGTGGCCACGATATAGAATGATTTCTGTGCCTGTTTGGAGAAGTGCTCGAGCTAGATTTGCGGACGAAAAACAACCGGTCAAGGCACTGCGTGCAGCCTCTAGAACCCATATTCGTTTATCCTTGGAGGATGCCAAAAGAATATCAGAACCGCCACCGATCCATGCACCCATCGAAACTCCAGCTAGCCATGTTTCACCATTACTTTCAGCAAGCGATTTGTCCGCAGTAAAGCTAGTGCCGCCAGGTTTTCCAAATACGCTCCATGTTGTCCACCCGTTTTCGTAGCCTGCAAACAGACAGTAGCCGTCATATGAATAACTTAGAAAGGATATCTTTCCCATAGTGGTTGCGGACGCCGGCATTTGAAGTTTATGGGACAGCGGGATATTGCCTGAGTAATCTCTGGCAGCATATATGTATATCTCGCCGCTAACACAGCTTACAGCAAAAAGAGAGAACCTTGCGTTTACAGCAACCTGAAGTGCTCGCTGGTTGTCATTTTCTGGATTGTGAAATCTATGGCCGGTGAAATTGACCTTGGAAGGAGCAGATTCTTCGGCCTCTCGATACCCGTACTGTACAGCGTAGACTCGGCCATCACTCGTCACCCATAGTAGCAGGTTCATAGCACGATCATAGATCATTTCCACAACAAGTGACTTCTTTGAAAGCCATGGTATTCGGCTCAGAAGTTCAGTGCTGGTTTGATTACCGCTACTATCGGGAGTCCACCGAATTAGCTGTATGGCCGCAGGTTTCATTGTAGCAACCATTAGCTCATTATCTAATGCCACAGCTTTGCTGATTCCGGCATCAACCTTGATGGCCACCCTGAACCGTAGGCTAACTTCACGGATTGAATGGGAGTCGTTGGATGTGACGTTTCGTCTAGACTGTGGCTGTAAAAAAAACTGCTGGTATATGTGTGATTGTGCATCAGTTGCAATGGAATACGTTATCAAGTAGCCGTTCAGAGTCTGTACAACAATGATGCCGGAATCAGGTCGAAGTAGGAGAGCTACGTTCGGGCCGTAGTTCTGTATAGATAGGGGAGACCGTTTGACTGCCGCGACAACGGCTGTAGGCTATATGTTACGATCAGTATCAAATGGTACCCTTCATAAGTACACTTAGATAATTGAAAAGCCTACCTTGGTCTGCCAGATAGCTAGTGATGTCTCTGTCATGGTAGCAAACAAGGCTCCGTTCTTGGAGACACATAGTCCAGCTATCGGCTCATCAGCCCATGCATCTCCTCCAGCATCCTGCGTCGTCCCTTGCTGCTCGTCTTTGAGCAAGCCACTACTCTGCTCTCTCTCGTCCGCTTGCTCCCCATTAGCCTCTGTTCCGCCATCATCCTGCTCGACCGCTTGCTGTATTATCTCAGGACCGTTCACTGCATAGACTCGGGGCACTCCATTTGGCCAGTACATCGCTGTGTCTGACTATCTGGCGCTCATGTAAAGCATTGGCTCATCTTCGAATCAACACCTCCATGCCTCATGTCTGCTAGGTGCCTTAGATGCCAGTTCTTGTTATCATTTCACATCCTTCAGTTACAACTTGAAGTCGTATTAACGTTTTTGGTTGTTCCGAGGTCTGGGTCATGTGACATTGTAACGCTTCTTAAGAAAAGCCAACAAGGGAAAAAAACATCCCACTTGAGCAGCGCAGAAGGAAGAGTGACTGCATTCTCATACTTCACCATGGTATTTTATTGCTGTTCCCCAGTGTTAAACTCGGTCGCATAGAGCTAACGTTGTCTACAGGCTCCTTCAGACTCTCAAAAACAGCTGGCATTGGCCATAATAGACTTCCTCAATACCAGCATCAAGGATGGAACGCTTGCGGCAGAGCACTCAGAGTCCATAGAGATCGCAACCTCTTGTCTGGGAGACACATTTGGCGTCGACCCGTCCGACGAGGCTGCCATGAAGGATGCACTGGGTGGCCAGTCGCTGTTGAACATCTACAGTGTGTACCAAAAGGTCAAAGGCACCAGGAATACTAATCCCGCCGCCACCAGCGAGACAAAAAGGGAGCCTAGCAAAACCGCCCCCCAAGCTGGCGCTCCCACTCCTGAATCCGACAAGCTAAAGTCAGAGGGGAATGCAGCCATGGCCCGTAAGGATTACCCCGCTGCCATTGATTGTTATTCTCGCGCACTGAACATTGCGCCTGCCAACCCTATCTATCTGTCCAACCGTGCCGCCGCATATTCCGCTTCTGGAAACCATACAAAGGCTGCTGAAGATGCTGAGGTCGCCGTTGCTGCTGATCCCAAGTATGTCAAGGCCTGGAGCCGACTTGGGCTAGCCAGGTTCGCGCTTGGTGATGCCAAGGGCTCTGCTGAAGCCTACGAGAAGGGAATCGAGGCCGAAGGCAATGGCGGCAGTGATGCCATGAAGAGGGGTCTAGAAACAGCTAAGAAGCGAATTGCAGAAATGGAGAAGGCGGAAAATGAGCCTCCGGCCGAAGCCGTTGATGACGCCGCTGGTTCTTCCCGTGGTGCACCGGGTGGCATGCCAGACCTTTCCTCCCTTGCAGGCATGCTTGGAGGCGGAAGTGGAGGTGGCATGCCCGATTTTAGCGCTCTCATGAACAATCCTATGTTCGCTAATATGGCTCAGAATCTTATGAGTAACCCTGATATGATGAACAACTTAATGAACAACCCAGCCCTGAGACAGATGGCCGAGAACTTTGGAGGCGGTCGCGGCGGAGGAGGTGGTGGTCTCCCTGACATGTCTTCTCTAATGAATGACCCTAGCATTGCCGAGATGTAAGCATTATATACCCACTCACACACCTCATGATCGTTTCCATGGCTAACAATAATTACTATCAGGGCTAAGAATTTCATGGGAGGAAGAGGTGCTGGTCGAGGTGCCGGCCCAAGCCCTTAAAAGTATGGTGTTGTGGTTGTGAATTGGGACTTGCTGGATTAGCTGCTCGGGGCTCTGCGCTCCGTATAGGACCCGGTTTGATACCTGGCATCAGGTCGTATTTTTAGATTGGATAGTTATGATTAATGCCATGGAATGCTTCTTTATATACTATCTCAGGAAAATCGTCAAATTATAAAGTAATATTCGTTATTTGGTCCAAGAACTAGAAAAACATACTTATATATACAGCAGGTGAGAAGAGATATGGGTGATATGCGAGACAAATGAGGTATTAAAACAAGGCAATAAAAATGAACTTGCTCGCGGTCATCAGAAAACGGATCTCGTGCATTCCTCAAGCACGTTATTCCACCGTTAGCACATCTATTGGACTCCAAGTAGTATACAGCCAGATTTTTTTTAAAACAGTAGGGGAAGAAGGAAACTGAGAAAGAGAAGGGGGTGTTGCAATGTAATGCTATGCTGGAATGGGAAATTGTTGCACTCATATAGACCCGTATATTTCAAAGCTTTTCAAGCATCCAATATACATTTGTAGATTCTTGGGGTCATTTCCGGGTTGGATGGGCGTAGGACAGGGACGCAGGCAAAAACAAGATTAGATGTAATCTCTGCCAGACTTTTGCAACTCAATAAGCCTCCAGCCACGAGTTTCTGGGTTGTTCACCTCGTCCGCAATTCGAGTAACGCCAATCGCATAGGTGACAAGTTGCACCTTGTCTTCCATGCCGGCAGCAAGTTCACCAGTTTTCTCCTTTCTGTAAACATGAACCTCCTGTGTCCTGCAGGTGATGATAAAAACGGGGATGTCTCCCGGTTCCAGCATGCGAGCATGGGAAATATCAACATGTCGGATATCAAGTATGCGGCCGTCAGACTTAAGGCCGGCGGTCTTATATTGTTTCGTCAGAGCGGCATAAACATGGAACTGTGCGTCAGATAGCCATAGTTTGAGGGTTTCAACGTCACCCTTGACATAAGCGTCCAGCACTTCTGGTAGGATATATTCTCGCATCTCACGTAAGAACGGCTCGATCTGGAAATTTGGGTCCATTTGCCGGAAAGTTTTGATAACCATTGCAGTCTCGTTTTCGGCGAAGAAGCCAGCTACTCTGTCTGATATGCTTCGTGCGGTGCTTATCAGCGGATTTTCGGATTCCTCGTATGTATTCTTCAGAGAGAATAGTCGTTGCATCATTGGACTGGTGTCCCTGAATTCGCGCCACGATTCTTTCCAGGCTGCATCTTTATGAAGGGTGACATTGGTCCCAGCGCTAGGTCAAGTTGTTAGCTCAGAACATTTGAAGGTAATAGTAAAGTTTATAAGGTACTTACTTTGGGTCTTCCTCCATGCGTTCTATCTTTGCTTTCTTGCCTTCCTTCAACTCCCATTGTTCCCTTCGCTTTCTTCTCTCTTCCTTTTCGACCCATCCTCCATATCGAGAACTGCTTCCATCATCTATGACCTCCTTCATATTTCCTACAGCGGTTTTGTACACTTTGGTATCTCGGACTGGTCGAGTGACCTGTTCAATTCCTTTTCCAGTCGCGGCGACACCACTCCTTATTCCTTTTACAGCAGTAGTATCCCAAGTCCATGCTGCACCCTTTCCAATCGCTGTTCCTGTCTTCTTTAACGCTGAAGACGTTGTCGACGAGGCAGTACTGGTAGCAGCTTCGTAGGCGGATCTAGCCTTCCTTACCGACTCACTCTCTGTGAACTGGTGAGCAGAAGAAGCAAGTGCCTTGGTTGACTCGTTCCATTCTTTCGAGGCTTTGAATTCAGATCTCAGAGTCTCTGTGAAGACCTGCCACGGGGTCTTGTCACCATGGGGGGGAGGTGGGGGGGCCTCCTCTTTCTTCTTCCCGTCCTCATTATTAGCATTAGAATGGTCCTGTTCACCCTGCTGCTTCGAGCTTTCGTCCGAAGTTTGATCCTTCGCAGCGCCCTCGGCAGAAGAATCTGTAGGGTTTTGCTGTTTTTGCTGCTGTTGCTGTCGTAGGATACCTGCGGAGTGAAATGTTCTCTTGGTAGCAAGGATTACCCACAAGGGGTCGCTGGTATGCCTCGATAGACGAGATAACCCAGCAGTCGATGTGAGAAGCGAGCGGGAGGTTAAGTGAACGGCGTTTGGGGTGCTAAAGTGTCGAAGAGCGGCTGGGGGAATTACCCGGCGGCCAGCGAACTGTCCTCGAGCGCGGGTGGTGGAGGCCAAGGGAGAGCATCCGCGCAGCACTAACCGCGCAGCGGTAGGCTGAGATAGTGCTCCTGTTCCAATCATGCTCTGTATTCCTCTAGATAGCGAGCAGAAGGGCTCTTTAAACCGCAAGATGACGGGTCTGGGGGAGTCGACAGCCGAGCCTGAAAAGAGCGTCACTGCAATTGAACAAACACAGAATATCCCGTGCAAGACCCGAAAAGCTCTCACTCTCACACACACTCTCTCTATCTGCACAGACGAGCAGATTTGATCGTAGGAAGCGGATGGTTGTTCGCCTTTTTATGCTGCGTTGAAAAAAAAATGCTATTAAAAAGAAAGTCAAAGAAAATATTTTGGAAGCTTCTTTTTTTGCCTTTTTGGGTTTTGCAAGCGCCAAGCGCGCGGCGGAAGAGAAAAAAATATGGGAAAAAAAACCAACAGAAGAAACAGAAGAAGACGACGTTTGGCCACGGAATATTGGAATAATCGAGACGACAAGAGTGGCACTACCAGTGTTAATACAGACGTACTGGTATGAGTAGCTGTTTTAGTTTTAATTGACCCCTCGGAGCCCTTTTTTTACCGTACCGACCTCTCTTTACGACCTTCGTCTTTATCGGCCATGAGTGGAAGAATACCATTGTCATCGGCCTTGCGATCGTTGACTCTCTACGGAGAAGGCCAGAGCTGCTTCAGACATCTTCTACTCCAAAGGCCTTTCTCATCGACATCACGATGCAACAGTATCTCCAAGGAGATGCAGAGCAAAAACGACCGTGAGCTCGAGAACCGACTACTGGGAGGCCAAAGCAAGAACGCGGGCCCTTCAAGGCTTGCAGCACTATCTCAAAGCACAAGATCAAAGGCAGCGACATCATCCAGCTCTCAGACGACGGAAGAGGTCCTCGCCAGAGTCTCAAACCTGATAAAAAACCCACAACAAACCGCCGAGCCTCCCCACCATCTACACATCTACGCCCATAAGCGCAACTCGCATGTCACCTTGACGAAGCCCAACGGCGAGGTGCTACTCTCTCTAAGCACAGGCAACATCGGATTCCGCAAGGGCCACAGGAAAGATTACGATGCGTCCCACCAGCTGGCTGTTTATTCGATGGGCAAGATACAGGAGAGAGGCTTCCTCATGGACATCAACTGCCTGGAAGTCATATTCCGAGGGTTCGGGCCCGGTCGAGAAGCGTTCACCAAAGTCCTACTCGGAAAGGAGGGCAAGGTCCTCCGCGAGCGAATTGTCCGGGTGTCAGATGCGACGAGACTGAAGTTCGGCGGCACACGAAGCCCAGCAGTGAGGCGTCTGGGTTAGACGGACCCGATGTGTCTCAACCTGATGTTTCTCAGACTCTTTTTTTACCGTCCCTTGCTGCCTCGACTATTAGTGTCTCTACTGTTCTGACTAGTGTCTATCCATGTATACTACTTGTTCAATACTGTTATAGCTAGCATCTATACATCTTACTATTTGCCTCTACCAGTTACATCTGTAAATCTATCACTATATCTCAATATATCACTCCTGGCTGTCTACTATGTATAGATAAAAAGTGCTGGTCACGTGCATCTCTTATCAGGCTTCTCAATTATCTTCACAAGCTTGAAAAGATAATTGAAGAAGAAAAGAAGAAGCTCATTATCAAATTAACAACATCAGACAGAGACTTACGACAAGTTCTACAGGACATCTACTCTATAACAGACCATTCTAGACCTTGCGAAGCTACATCTCGCCGTCTTCTCACGCTTTATCTTGCCTTCTGAAAGCCCCTTCGAGCTGCCGGCCTCCCCCCCAAAAGGCCATCTTTGACCACTACCATTGCGAGGGAGCGTTGACGAGCTGCGGGACTCGTCCGCCAGGCCGTCCGATGTCGTGTGGATGCACCCTCTAAACCCGTTTCTCCGTTCTTTTTTCCGGAGCTCCCTGCCGTCGCAATGTGTTCCTGTAGAGAGCCATGTAGGTGATCTACCCGGATAGATATATGCAGATATATACCACCTCTGATATACACCTGGCTAACAATGTAGTAGATCCTCCTGGTCCCTCTGACAGAGTCTCTCATTAATTCGCGGGATCGAGAGTCAGGCGCGCAGTATGCAGACCTGGTCACCTCGGAGGACTTTCTCGCCAGCCATGTGCTACGGATTACGGGCTCGCCCGGTTCGTCTGCAATCAAAGAGGTTTCGACACTGCGAGATCAGAAGGGGAAAGCATGGCAGATGGCAACGGCCAATGGAAGGACGGTTGTCATCAAAGAGTCGGTGGTCTACAGCAATAAGGGGTTCAAGATGGTCAACCATGCTCAGCTGCTCAGTGACATTCTCTACTCCTCGCCAATCGATAGCTCCCAGCAGTGGCTCATCTACTACATCTCTAAGCCTCTGGTTGGTTCCTACGAATCGGGCCAGATTGTCCAGGCTATAGTCCCAGGCTCCTCCTTGGACAACATATCACTACGTCACGGTTCCGGACCAGATCCATCCAATTACCACTCCAACTATCATCGTAATGAAATATCCTCTTTCGGTGATCTGCTTTCGAAGTTCCCCCTGATTGCAAAACAGATGAAGCCTGGCCTGGATCGTCTCTTCCGTGAATTTGGCAAAGAACTAGGAAAACCCCTTCCGCCACCACCTTCTGATCCTCCTGTAACGCAGCCGGACCGCCCAGCAGACGGAGATGAGGCGTACTCACACCGAAATTCTAACCACCCCCTATCAATCGGTGCTTGCGAGCAGTTCGAGGATGAAGAAGACATGATGAGAAATGCCCTGGACACCGCAGTCACGGCGGCCATAGATATATTCCGCCTTGTCGACAAACAGCAGCTTTCCCTTCTTGGTGCCACAACCGATCTTACCGGCCCGATGGTCGAACGCCTAATTGAGCGCTACGTCCTAGAGCAAGTTCATGATAGTCTTCTCTTCCCACGACTCCGCGAGTGTCGTCAAGCAGATGACTTGGACCTTGATCTGCGTGTACGCCAGATGGAGAATATCGATGTATCCCAGGTGGGAATACCCATAGAAGGCGGCCACAAGGGCAGAGAAGAACTCAGGCGCCGTATCGGAACAGCTGTTGAGGAGTTTAGAAAGATATCAGATGCAAGGTGCCCACAGGACATGCTTTCGATATTACTCAGGACTGTGAAGATAGTCACTATAGACCAGGCTTTAGGCGCCCCTGACAGTCAGACCGAGAAACCTTCTGTTCTTACTATCAATGCTGACGTGCTGGTTTCGTTACTACTTCTAGTTGTTATACGATCACATGTACGGCAACTCTATGCCAGGCTTCTATATATGCAACGCTTTATATTTGTGGATGATGTTGAATCGGGCGAGTCGGGATATGCATTGAGCACGTTCGAAGGGGTCTTGATATATCTCCAAAATGACTCCGCCGGTCTCAGGAAAGCTAGCTCTAGGAACAAACGCCTTTGGACGGCAACTAAGCATGGGAAGATACCTGAAATGACCGCGATACTACAACCAGAACTTCAGGCATCAAGCCCCATTACCGATGAGAATGACTGTGAAAATGTGCAACCAGACAACTCCAGCAGCCAAAAGAACAGTGAGCGTCAATGGCCGGCGTTGAATGGGCTTTCAAAAACCACTCATAAATCGGCCTTTTCTATTTCCAACTCTGCTACTCAAGATGATGCCCCAGAAACGCCACGGCTCGCCCATGTTTTCCCATTTCAAACATGGGCACAACATACTACGACTATAGAGCGACCTAAACCCCGGAAAAGGGTATCAATGGATACAAGAAGCATGTCAGAATCGTCAACTATCTCCTTCCTTTCTCGCTCTACGACATTCGGGTCAATAGCAGGCGGTATCGAAGGTGATACATCAATAGAGAGTCTAACTACAACCAAAGATCCGTCCGGTCACTCAGTTCCAATGATGGCTGTCGAAGCGGGTCAGCCAGAAGCCCTAAGCTACTTGCTGGGTTTAAGTGAATATTATCCCCGAGAAAGCATACTTCAAGATGTAAACAGTGAAGGAACCACGCTGTTGAGTGCCGCCGTCCAACTTGCCCATACGGAAATTATCAACATACTTATTGAATACCTCCTCCAAGAAAACCAGCGTGATGTAGCTTCATACCTTATGAAAGCTGATAATAGAGGCCGCACTGTTGGACATTACCTCTTCAACTCCCCCGACTTGCTCTCTCGCCTAGGAAGATCCCTGCCTTGGACCCAGAGAGACAGGAACGGGCAAACACCTCTTTTCGCCCTATGCAGGTCGTACGATCACCCTGATTATAACTCCATGGTCAATGAGGCGCTCACTCTAGCAACCGAAGCTCAGGGTGATGGAAAGCCACTTCGGCTCGACGACCATGTCGATGCGAAGGGCAATACCCTCCTTCATATCGTCAGCGATCCACAGATACTACTAAGGATGCTCAGGCAATGCGATGGAGACCCTAATTATACAAATGACAAGAGGTTTACACCATTAATGGTAGCTAGCAAATATGGTCGTATTGACCTCGTCAGGACCTTATTTGCCGACCCTCGCGTAGATGTCCACCTCCGAGAATCTCGCGGCCTCACAGCAGTGGAACTCGCCAAAGACGATGAAGTCAGAAACCGAATAGATGATCTAGTGCTATGCTCCAGCTCTCCGCCACCCTCACCTGATGCAACCAATCGCACTACAAGTGTGGTTAGGTCATTATTTGTTGAAGATTTCGGGATACGGTTCATCATCAAATCCGGTGCACCTTCTAGTTCACCATCGCCAAATTCGAAGGCTACACGCACGACTACCTACACTGTTACAACTTGTCGACGTAGTCTTAATGACTTTGAGAACCTAATCCGTTTTCTTCGGGTGGAACATCCCGCGTCATACCTCCCTGAGATGCCAGTTTTCCGATCACCTTTTCAAATACCCTCAAAACCCTCAAGGGCTGTTCTCCATGACATACAGGAACGATTAGATCGATTGTTAAAAGTTTTACTAGCCCACCCAACCTTCTCGACCCATGAATTGCTTTGGGAGTTCTTCCTTGTTCCTGAGATCCAGACGGAAATGATTGATCAGCGGTCTGCACGTAAGGCTACAGTACTGGCCGAATCAATAATGGACGATTATGAACCTGCGTCTGCAGAAGTCATACGAAGTGCGCAGCAGATCTTATCCCATGCGGAGGATGCAGTTCAATCAGTCAGCGAAGGCACCCGCAACTTGATTTGTTGCGGATATCTGTTACAGCATGCATCTACCGACCTTGCAGATGCCCTTTTCCTCTGCAGCTCCATGATTTCATCCCTTCAACCACCAGCCAATGTTCTCCCCCATCACTATGTCCGCGCCTTCCACCGCTTCGTATCATCCTTCAACCTTTCGTCGACTGATTCCTCGCCACTGATTCAGTTTTTGGCCGCACTCATATCATCTCAGAATACCACAACAGCAATGCTCACTTCCCTCTCTCGGCCCAACAACCTCATATTATCACTCAATTCTGCCCAGCGGGCTCTTTCTCGTGCTCGTTCTGCAGTAGCCTCCTCATCACTTCCACGCAAATTCAACTTTTCCGTGCTTGAAGAATCCCGCCAGCGTTCTATCCGCGAGCAAGAGACTAAGATTGCCACCCTAACGACCGAGATTGACGAAGTTAGAAAGGAAATCTCATGGAATAAGGACGTTGTCGTCGGCGAGCTGGCGGGGTGGAGTTCCTGGAGAGAACAGACTGGTAGACAGGCTATTCGGAATTTTGTCAAGACGACACTCATCAGGGAGAAAGAGCGCGGTAAACGCATGGAACGTTGTCTGCGGATTATTAAAGGCTAAATGCCTACAGATCCCATGTAGAGTGGAGTACATCTCTTGTCTTTTGTTTCTGGAGATATTTTCCCGGTGTTCACTTCTAGTGGTCGGCTCGATCTACTTAACAACTTTTCTTCTTGGGTATAAGGTGGCATAGCCTGTACCTCAATATTAATGGCCGCAATATTTTTGTTTCGTTCTAAGGCGGTTGATTCTATATAGCGTTTGTTTTCGCCATTGTATGAGTATCTTTGAGTTCGTTCAAATGCTAGTAATATATCAACCTCGGCCGCATAATGTTTATGGGCCGGGCCAGATGCAGGTAACTGATTCACTTCGCTAATTAACCCAGGCGGGACTGCCGTGTCAAATATACTCGGCGCATCCTGGTTCTTTAATTTCCTTAAGCACTGGAAGAAAATGAGAATTTAATCAACGGCAGTAATCTCGTGGTAATAACCATTCTTTATTCGTCTATAGAGAGCCCCTGACGGGGCATATGGATACAACTATCATTAGCACCCAACTGCTAAAAGAAAACAACAATCCAAACGATATCAAAACCGGCATCCTCGTTCCTCTTGGGAGAAGTACCCAGGCTGATAAGAAAATAAGTCTAGAGGCTTGAAAGCCAACGGGCCGAAAGAGAAATATGATGGGAAAAGGGTAAGAAGAAAAGAAGCAAAGGCATCCAAAACGATTGAGTAATTGGCCTTGAAAAGAAATGCAGAAATTGAATAAATAGGCACAAAGAAATGTCATAATACAAGGAGATCATAAGAGAGAATCGAAGGTTTATGAAAATATCACTGCCAGAGCAAAGGGTTAAACACATGATGATAGGATGAAAGGGAGTTCCTTGCTTGGATGTGAGAAAAGATGGCAAATGTAAAGTTTCTTCGGTGGTATATGCCGAACATAGTGATAAAATGGAGTGGAAAGAATGAACCAAAGAGCGACATTTTCTGTTTAAATAAAGGAATGGAAACAAAAATGAAGGGGGAAAAGAAAAATGCTGGATATGGATGTTATTGTGAACTTCCAGGGTACGTAGCACTATTGCGATTTGTAATTTGCCTGAGACTGTTTCGTGCTACCTGATGTGAGTTGATGGCACTGTATCTCTTTGAAATTGGCCGCCGGTATTCGTCTGAGGGGCTGTGTAGATTCTCCATGGACGATTCTGGCAATGGTGCAAGCCCAGGTGCACCAACTGTATGGAACCCGGTCTTTTCATCCTCCATCAAGTCTGGGGAGTACGCGATGTACTGATGCTGGTGCTCGTTCGGGGCAATGAGTGAAGCAGATTGCATCGTATTATTCATATCACCTTGCGGGATCCGCAACTCATTTTGACCCGGTTGGCCTAAAGATGCCTTATAAGTGGCATCTTGATGTGTTGGGTATGAAGAGTAGGCAAGCCCCTTTTCTTCCATATTCTGGGGATATTGAGAATATGCATCTCCTTGAGGAGGAGGGCTTGATAGAGCGCCAAACGAGTGCATGTTGTGATCGTATGTCATTGACTCACTGTGGTCGACAATGCCCGTCTGTGTTTGCTGTACATCGCCCATGGGAGGGGTTGGAGGGAACGGAGATTGCCGCCTGCTCGAACCTTCGTCATTCTGGTTCTCCCTAGTATGTTTCCATCGTTTGTAGTAGACGAATGTGAGAAATACTAGGGAGACAACGACGAACCCGCCAAACACTGCACCTGCAGCTACGCCGCCTTTGCTTAGGCTGCTACCTTTTGATTTGGGGGGACCAGGAGTAGTTGTGGAAGAAGTCAGAGGAGATGAAGATGATGTTGGAGCAGGAGGGCCATTAGAGGATTCTTCAGGGCCTGCTGGCGGAAGAGTTTGTCCCGGCACCTGAGACGATTTTGGAGGTTCCGAGGATGGAGTCACGGATGATGACCCAGTAGAAGAAGTTGGGCTTGGGTTTTTGGTGGAAGTAGGAGACTCGGTTGGTTCCGCGATTGTGTTTGATTCAGATGACGTAGGCGGTGATGAGGGAGGGTTTCCCTTCGTAGGCTGGGGGGTTCCTGGTTCAGTCGTGCGAGTTACAGGGTCTGCTGTCGTGGTATCTTGAGGGGGCGGAGGTGGGTTAGGCTCCTTTGAAGTCATGGATTCAGCTGGAGGTTTGTCTGGAGGAGGGCCCTTGGGCGGATCCGGTTGCTCAGTTGGCATGGACGGAGGGGGGTCATTCTTGGTCGGAGATGGAGGACCATGGCCTCCATCTTTTCCCCCATCTTTTCCTCCATTTTCATCCCCGCTGCTGTCGCCTTTATCGCCATTACCACGACCAGGGCCATCTGCTTGGCCTGGTTTATCTCCGTTACCATGGCCACCATCATTATCGCGGCCGTGATCATCGCCCTTGCTAGGTGGGCGTTGGCCACGGTCTTCATCATTTTTTTTATTCCACCCATGTCCTCGATCAGGAAACCCACGACCTGGCGGGCCACGATCGGGAGGGCCGCGGTTAGGGGGCCTTTCACCATTGCGCCCACCACCGTGACCATCCTTCTGATTATCTCCCTGGCCTCCTTGATCTTCTCCCTTACTGTCTCTCTGATTCCCTCCCTGATCTCCCCTTCCGTCTGTTCTGTCTCCTTTGCCTCCGGAATCACCATCTCTCCTACCTTTCGAGATGCTCCATATCCCAAGACGGTTTGATTCGCGTCCTGGCTGTGGGTCTTCAGGGCTTAAACAGCCACGGTGTTGTACAGAACATGCGCCAGAACGAGAGGATGGGTGTAATGAGGCAGCGGTCGTCAATGCAGCAGCGCATGATTGTAGCAGCAATAGTTGAATGATAGTCGGCGGTAACATGATTGGATATGTTGGCCAAGGACGAAGTCCTTCGGCAAAACGGTTAACTCACAACGCGCCAGTAGATGGCGATGCATATAAACGAGTGAATGATAAGTGAACGGGCGAACGAGAGACGTTGGTGACTGCAACTGATGTTGGGTAAAACTTTTCTTCTCTTCTGAGAAGTCGAACTGCTGTTGGATTTTGATTGTAAATTGGTCGAAATCGTTCTATTTTTACCTGCCCACAGGAACGACAGCGCCGCTAGGATCTGCACGGCCGAACGAACGACGGACAACGGGCGAGCATGGTCGAGCGAGTACCAGAGACCCGTTCCTGTCAGACTTTTTTTCTTTTGCTTTTTGGGCTATTCAGGAGTGCGTAAGCCCAGCAAGCAGCCGCTTCCCATTGATATATGGAAGAGAATGCCAACGGTTTCCTTTCGCTCTCCCACTCCGCCAGAAGGAAAAACGAACGAAAAAGGCTTAAAAAGTTCTTTACACCCTTCTCGTTACGAAGCGCCCACCTGCAGCTGGATGGAGAATTATTGTTATAAACCCGCACCTTTATGTGGGCGTAACGGCTCGTAACGAGTGTACGCTGACCCCCTTTGATCTGAAGGTTGACGGTTCGCGAAGATTATAGAACGACGCTGAAACAGCACATTATAAAGAGCCCTGCATGAAGGGCCTTGACAAACGCGAGCAACAGAGAGACTCATGTTCCCGTCTCCCCCCGCTGGTTGAAAAAGGGCCCAGGGACCCCAGTGAGATCGTATATACGCATATGCTGGTGGCCATCGGCGGCATCCATCTGGAAAATCCGTAACAGGGGGTCCCCCCTTATCCGCTACTAGTGTCCTGTAGCGTCTCTTGGTGGTTTGTCCACGCCTCTTCGGTGAATCAGCGTAGAGATTTGCGCTGCGTTTGTTAGTAAGGTGGCTGTGAATAATGGACATGTAGACTTGCGTGTAGACTTAGCAGCGTGTCATAGCTATATAGCATGAGGCCATCCACCCCAAGCTTAGTACTATGTATATATTGTAAATTTGCAGGGGTGAAGCCGAGTTCATTGCAAGATGACGTTGGAAGAGTTCAAGAAATGCTGATGCCTGCTGAGGTCGCATCCATACTTGCCACTGCGGAAGAAATGGGAAGCGCTGACATGTATAAATAACCTTGCGGGGTTGTTCGTTCTTCTCTTCTTCATCTTTCAATCTTCATCTTCAACCGTCATACTCGTTGCTCTGTAAGAAGACCGTAAAAACGGCGCATCATCTGAAGAAACTGCTGGCCCCTGGACGATTCACATCTACATCAACCATGCCTCTCGTTGTGCCACAAGTGTCGGAGAACGACAAGGCTGCCTGGGCGGCCAAGCTGATGGGCAAGAAGATTACAGACTCTGAGTCCAATGAGACTGTAAGCTGGAACTAGAAGATGCAAACGGACTGTGTATGCATGCTGGTTACTTGGATGCTGACATTGCTTTTTCTTTATTTGTTTGACAGTGTTTCGCAAAGAAAGACCTTCCTGAGGGTCACCGAGTACTCAAGCCCGGCGACATGACTACGATGGACTTCAACCCGGAGCGGTATGTTAATATAAGTCGATATAAAAATAGCTGGTCCTCTAGATTTGGCTCTTCTAACCGCGAGCTGTGTAGGTTGAACGTTTACGTCGGCGAAGACGGCACCGTCATGGATGTCAAGCATGGCTGAACATCTGCATAGATATTGAATGCAGTGGCGACGACGACAGCAATGACGAATAATGGCGGGGTCTCTGGCTGGGTGGGATAATGGTTCCAGTTTATACCAGTGATTCTCTTTTTCCTTTTCGGTGTATCGAGCAATATAAGAGACTTTCATCAGCCTTTCCCCGTTTTTCGTGTAGCTGGTGGCTGGATGCTCCATCACAGGCAGACTGGATATTAATTTAACTTAGTCGGTGGCTCAGCCCATGAGGTTGTAGCCTCGAGGCTTCGATGAATAAGTGCTCGCATCATTCCAAGGTGCCCTGCTGATTCACCCTCTTGCAGAAGAACCACGTATGGAACATATGGCGCATGCTGCAAGCCCCTTATGGGAGATTCATGCATGCTTGCATCCTCATCAATCATCTTCATCAGAGCTGTATGCACCCAGACCGAGGCTCGATACAGCCTTCTTCTTTGTTTCTGGCGGAGTGGTCGTCTCTAGCTTCTGGATAGGTGGAGGCTGAGGGGCTTCAGCTGTGCCATCCTTGTTGTTATCTGTAGCAGTTGTAGAAGACTTCCGTCGTTTAAGCCCTAGACGCCCACCGTCCCTATCCTTGACACGCCGCCGTTTCCGCGCAGAGATGGCCCAGTTATCACTCTCATCCGCTGATCCTGCAGGCTCAGCAGTGTTCCCATTCTCTACATCCAAGAGAGCCTTCTCAGCCTCTTCACGTTGCCGGTGAAACAGCTCCAGCTTCTCACTCGTCTCCTTCCGCAATGCCTCCTCCTTGGCACGCGTAGACTCAAGTATCGAATCGAGGAACTCGACCTCGTCTTCATCCAGAGTTCGGAACTGGTTCTTTAGCCGTATAGATTCCTCGAACGCTTCCTGTTTGGCAGCTGGTGTATATCCATATCCGTCAGCACTACTAGACATAGAGACCCAAAGCTGAGCAAATTTCAAGCATCTGCATCCAGAACATACCCTTGTTCTGCTGCAACACTTCATAGAGACTCTTTCCACCTTCTTGCTGTCCCTCTGTAGTTCTCTTCTGGCGGCTCGCCTCGAGATCCTGTTTTACCTTGGACCATTCATCATTGGGCTTGCTGACCTCGTAGTCGTCTCCCTCCACACCAGCAGATACAAATCCCGACGACATCTTGTCAATATCTATCACTATGGGCGTGTTTTCTTCTCTGCTTCCTCTTACTTTGCTTCTTTTCAACTTTCGCTCTTTTTCCTATATTTCTATCTTAGTCAGCAGTGGCGTGGATTATAATTTCTCCGTTCTTGCCGGGGTTCGGAATAATTTTACTCCGTGATATGACGAAACGGGGAATCCTTTCGTCGTTTCTTCATCTTCAACTTCACCCTGCAACATCACCATAGATTGTTACTGTTGATAGCTTCATTATGGCGCCGTCCAGCGGCCACCAGCTCATTCCGAAGGTCTGGCGAGTAGCTAGGTAAGTTTTCACTATATAGACTTCGGGGAAAGATTTGAAAATAGGCTGACAGTCACATAGGTTCGCCTTCGAGAAGACCGCTCGAGCAATCAGGAGCAGGCTTCCCGATGCTCCTCAACCTCGCGCTCTACAGCTTCAACCAGCATTTGTTCGTCCGCCTGTTCGGACGCCCGCAGACCGGATTGCGGCTCTCAGGTCACAGACTCGTTCTTTCACGACTGTCCGGCTGTCAGCCCGCACAGCATCCGGTAGAGCCACCCAACCTTTGAAAATCGTCACTCAGGTTAGCCGCCTGACGACCAGAACTCCCTTTGCCTCCGCCTTACGCCCAAACCTAACAGGAGGTGCATTCTGCCGGACGGCGGGGGGATATGCTATCGGTGCCGGTAGGATAGGTGGCGCGAGATACTTCTCTAGCTCCCCCACTTGCCCGGCTCAAGTCATCCAGAATGTATCTGCGGCAATGCGTTCTTTCTGGCTGTCCGGCCAGAGAGTTCGCTTTGACGGTATTGATAAACGGACAGGTGCTAAAAAATATAAAGTTGTGACTGCACTGCAACAGGAGGCAGGCCGCAAGATGGGCGCCATCCCTACCACTGCCCCGGGATCATATGTTGATTTCAAGATCTCTCCAACCATCACGGCTCTTGGATGCTTCAAGTCGATGCAAAAGGAATCAACTTTCCAAGCCAACGAGCAGGCCACTCTTAACTCTGCTGGTCTCTTGGACCTCCTCTCCGGAGACTTCGCTCGTGTGCTCAAGGAACTTGCCGCGGTGCTAAACGATTTGAAGAAACTCGCTGCTCTCGGCGACCTTCCTATATCGTTACATGACCAGTCTACCATTCGTGTTCGGTTTCCAGGATGCGATGCAGAGACCGTGGAGCATCTGTGTGTCGAGGCTGGAGTGCAGAGAGGAGTGGTTGGCCAGGACGAAGACTTTGAGAGCAGAAATGGAGCCGAGATGGCACTCCTTTTTCCCTTTGCTCCTAGCCATCAACACTCCGAACCAGGGTCGTATCTACGTGACAGTCCTCTCATGCGGACACCAGAATACGTTAACTGGCGGGAAATGGTGCTCTCAAAAGATTCTCTCTCCCCCTTTGGTACGCCTGGAGGAGACTTTTCTCTCATAGACCTGTCAGAGGAGAACCCATGGGCACGCCAACCCTCTGCATTTTCGAGCGTAGGCATTAGTGAACTCGGTGACCGAGAGTTCTTCCCCGATATCCGCTATCCAACCCCTACGGTCTCTGACTATGGAGGCATCGAAGGCGTCTGCAGATTTATAGAGGAATGTAACCGAGTCAGCCGCTGACCGCCTCCACCTTGCCGCCCTTTCTGTTACGAATCTCCTTGTCTCTGATAATATCCCTTGTATATATTCTGTTGCCCTTGTCTACCTGTGGCGTCCTTCCGCTGTGTATCTACCGTTTCTTTTGTTTACAGATATCAAATCTCCGCTAAGTCTATAACTCACCTAAAGAAACAACGTCGTCATACGTCCTCTTCTCTCTTGATGTATAAAATAAACATAAATAAAAAAATGAGCTTCACCCGCATCACGTGGAAGCGCCGCCACAAGAGCTCATGAAGAAAAAAAAACCACCAACCAAAGCCACGAAGTTGTAGATTCAAGGCTTCGGCAGCGAGAGACTTGAATTCCATGCTTTCTCCCTGTTATCGCGCTCATCTAACTAACCCACACGAAAAACCGACTCTCTTCGTTCACGGCAATCGATACAGCTAATTAATTACACACTCGTCCGCGAAGCGGGGTGGGACTTTCGCTACACTGGGTCTAATCAGGTCGGAAGCCGTACATATAATAGGGAAACCTGCGAGAAACAATGGACGAGTTCAACAATACGGACACAGACAGCGATTATACGTCGTTTTGGAGAGATTGGGTGAGTGGCTGGTTCAACAGGTAACCTCTCTGCTTTTTCAGGAAGAACATCTACTGACACATTGTGAGAACAGTTTATATCCTCCCGGGGCAATGAATATTTCTGTGAAATAGACGAAGAGTACCTCACGGATCGCTTTAATCTGACTGGTTTAAACACCGAAGTCCAGTACTATCAGTATGCCTTGGATATGGTGACCGACCTCTTCGATCTGGACGCAGACGATGACCTACGGGAACAGATCGAGAAGTCGGCTCGACATCTGTACGGACTGGTTCATGCAAGATATATTGTCACCACGCGCGGTTTAGCGAAAATGGTACGCTTCTACTCTCAACCTGATCCAGACAACCATATCAAACTGTTGAGCAATTGACTGACACTCCACTCCGTGCAGCTTGAAAAATATAAACGCGCAGATTTTGGCAAATGTCCTCGGGTCATGTGTCATCAACACCCCCTTCTACCTATGGGCCAATCTGACCTCCCCGGCCTAAAACCCGTCAAGCTCTACTGTGCAAAATGCGAAGACATATACAACCCCAAATCATCCCGCCACGCCGCTGTTGACGGTGCCTATTTCGGCTCATCGTTCCACAACATCCTTTTCCAGGTCTACCCCGACCTAATACCAGATAAGTCACGAGAAAGATACGAACCTCGTGTTTTTGGGTTCAAAGTCCACGCTTGTGCAGCTCTTGCTAGATGGCAAGATCGAAAGCAAGAGGAGCTACTTAACCGGTTGCACATGTTAGATATCGAGAGTCCATTTATTGAAGATAGGGAGACGGAGGATGAAGAGGACGAAGATGAAGAGGAAGAGGAAGAGGACGAAGAGGACGAGGGAGGCGATTCAATAATGAAGGAAGGCGCAATGGAAACGATACCAGCCCATGCTTGAAAGGTGATGTAGGATGGATACTTATAATAATGGACATGACAAGGCGTACACAGGCGTATATCGGTTTCGGCAGTTCACTGAAGCAATACTTGGCTCGAAAACCGGCGAATTCAAGATATCCTGGTATCGCAGGACTGAACTAAACTCGAACCTTCGTTGTTTTAATGGCTGATTGGCATGGTTACTCATGGAAGGCGCTTTGGTCTCTGTGGTCTTTTAATCGGATCCATAATTTCATTCTTCATACCCACACCATTGGCATATCAAATTTCAGACTGGGCGTGATCACACAATTAACACTGAAAATTATTCTCTTACATGAACGATTCCATCTCCATTGCTTACCTTCAACAATGTTGCTTTCAATACAGAAAATGGAGCATGGTGGTATGTTGTTTGCTATATATGTTTTACACTGAGAGAATGATGCGCTTCATTATTCGTGTTTACGAGGAAGATCTTCAGTAAGCTCAATATTATTCTCTTCTCAACTGGTATGATCTTCGAAAAGTAATTATAGAAACTATTATGCAGGGAGCATGCAGGTGATCAAATAGCCATATCAACATTCAAATTGTAGCGAAGGATCCCGAACAACGCTTAGGCTCTTCCCACCATGCCTCTTGTTTCTTGAAGACACATCTTCCGGTAGTATATTTAATTGGCAAAAGAGCGTCTGGTCCAGAACATGCTCAGAGCAGCAAGAATAACAGGGAGGACACTGACTATTTCGCCCAAACCCGCATATGCAGGGGGAATACGAACATAGACGAACGCACCAGCGGCCAAAAGGATGGCAAACACATTATACAGGCCTGACCAGATGAAGTTGAATGCGATACGTCTGAAGGAAGCCCTAGACACGTCAAGGAGCAGCACAAGTCCTTCTAGGCCGCTGAGCAGAACCACATCTGCCGTGGCCCTGGTAACGTCGGAAGAGGAACCGATTTGAACGCCAACGTCTGCCTGGGTGATTGCAACAGCGTCGTTGGTACCGTCTCCACAGAAGAGAACAACTTTCTTCTCTTCCATTAGATTGCGGACGTAGGCTTGCTTGTCGGCCGGAGTCTGACGGCCAGCTACGTGTTGGCGAGAGATACCTACAACGGAAGCCATTTCCTCAGCGGCCTTGACTTCGTCTCCGCTGACGATGTGGACTGTTATTCCGCGTTTCTGGAGCTTGCTGATGACGGGGATGGCTTCGGGGCGAGGGTTGTTCTTCAAGCCGAATACTGCGAGAAGCTCCGAGTCTCTGGTGATGCAGAGGGTGGTCATGCCCTGGTTGATGATGCGGGAGACTTGAGGATGGTCCTGAGCCTGGAGCCATCTGGCGTTGCCGGCGCAGAAAGTGGTGCCATCAACAAGGCATTCGACACCTGCACCAGGTATGATGCGGATATTTTCAAGGCGTCGATAGGGTTTGTCTTCGAGATATTTGGCAACGGCTACAGATACGGGATGCTTGTTATCGCGGACCAGGGCGCTTGTGATGGTAAGAGTCTCATCGTCTGCATCAGGTAGCAGGTTGGCTTCCACGACCTCGAGTTCGGCGGTTGTGATGGTTCCTGTCTTGTCGAGGACAACATCACTAACACGGTATGCACGTTCGGTAGACTCAGCGGACTTGATGATAACTCCGCCACGGGCAGCTATGCCACCAGCAACGACCAAGACCATCGGAACAGCTAAGCCAACGGCACACGGACAGGAGACGGCGAAGACGGCAATGGTATAAGTTATGGAAGTGCCGACGGCACCACCAGCGGATTCGTGGCGGACCAAAAGACAGACGAGAAGCCAGACGATCAAGACGATGCAGGCCGCAGCCGTAACAACAGGCACGAACCATCCGGCAACCCTGTCTGCTAGATCTTGCACCTTTGGCTTATGGCTTGAGGCTTCTTCGACCAGGTTTGATATCTCGGCAACAGTGTTCTTGCCAGGCAGACGAGTCAAGAGAGCAGTCAGAGTTCCTGATCCGTTGATGGTACCTGCGATAACCTGTGACCCTTTTTGCTTTAGAACAGGCATACTTTCTCCAGTGAGCATAGATTCATCGACTTCACTGGTTCCATCCACAACCTTTCCATCTGTAGGGACGTTAGAGTGAGGCGAGACAACGAACTTATCGCCAAACTGTAAAAGTCTGGCGTCAATCTCTCTTGTCTGGGTGCCTTCGAGCAGTATAGCAGTAGTAGGCTGTAGAGATCGAGTAGACACGGCCTCTACGGCACGGATACGAGCATAAGCAGCAACCAATCTACCAAACAAGACAAGGGTGATGAGCAAGGTGCTTGTTTCGAAGAACTCGGCTGTCTGAAGAGGTCGGTTTGCCATGGCGAAGCCAAAGGCAACGACAGAATAGACGTATGCAGCAGTGATGCTTATGACGACGAGCATATCCATCTCCACCACACGGCTGTAGATTAGAGAAGAAATGGCCGGTTTGTAGAACTCCGTGATAGCCAGGGCCTGGACGCCCGTGGCCAGGACAAGAGAGACGATGGCCTTGGTACGCATGTCAGTCATGGTATGTCCCCAGGCTAGCACGAGAACTGGGATGGTGAGGACGGCAGCATATGTGGTTTTGAACAGCATCGAGTATAACCGTTTACGCCCCGCGGTGGCAGATGGATCCTTGTGGTTGATGGGAGTAAGGCCAGTGGTGCGGTCCCCCAAGGCATGTATGAGGTCTCTGGGCCCAAGGACAGAGGGATCATAAGCAACACGGACTGTTTTCGCATCAAGGACATCGACCTGGGTGGCTCCGTTGGGTAAGGTATCGACCGTCAGCCCGGTTGAGCCGCCTGGAACGACAAGGTCGACGTGCTGGTCGTCGTTGGAAGACTTTACACAGCGAAAGCCGGTTACCCGATCGACCTTTTCGACCAGAGCGTCGACGCTGATTTCGTTGGTGTTGAGATCAAACTCCGCGTTTCCCAGGACGAAGTTGACTCGCACATTGAAAACGGCTGGTATCTCCTGGAGGGCCTTGGAGAGCTTGTTCCCGCAGCCGGAGCAGGTCATGCCGGTGACTGAGAGGAGAACATGTTCGTGTCCGGCCGACTTTTCAAGGTCAACAACGGCACCTTTGATAACTCCTGTATCTTTACTATGGTCGTGGCCATGGTCGTCAGAGCAGCAGCTTAAGCTGTCCGCTGAAAGTAACCCTTTCTCAGAGCCATGTTCATGTCCGTGGCCATGGTCAGTTCGTTTGGTCCCCGGAATGGCAGCTGAAGAGGTAGCTACAGCAGAAGTCAGCGCGGCGGTAGCCTGTCCGGCGCAGCAAGGAGTGAGGCTGTGGTTAGCAATAACACTCCGACAGATACACTGAGCAGACTCTAAATAAGAGCTGAAGCGCTCAAAAGCCAGACGGAGATGACTGCTGCACGCCACCGGAGCATGTTTCCCGTCATCGTCATGTTCATGGACATGTTCATCGTGTTCTTCGAATCGATCAGTTCTACATCTAACACGGTGAAACAGAGAGAAAAAAAAGCGTTACCAGCAGTTCCCTGGGCGTCATCACAGGCCTTCTGGCACTCGTACGCAGCCAACGACTCGATGCAGGTCTCTACAAGCAGCACGAGTCAGCCTTGTTTTTTTCCTTTTCCTTTTCTCTTTTCTTTTTATATGTAGTTCTGTGGGACAAGAACAAAGAGAAACGCCACTGACCATCACAGCGTTCATCAGCGTCAGGATCGCAGCAGGCGACGGTCTTGGCCGGCGAGGCATCGAGTCGAGCTTCAGCCGCAGCCTGAGAGCAGGACGAGGTGGTCTTCTCGGTCTGTCTCGAGCTGGAGCAGCATCCTGCCTTGTTGTTTCCACAGGCCATGATTTTTGCTAGATGAATCCAGCAGATCCGTAGCAGCCAACTGAGACCAGCAAGTCAAGAAATATCAAGTTGTATAGCCAGAAGGAAGAGAGTTGCAGGGTTGCAGTGAGTGATCCCAGCAGCGCCGTCGTGGTTTTTATATCCTTTTTTTTTTTTCACACTTCTCTTCCTCTTTAGCGAGGCGTAGCTTTGCCTCTTGGGCCCTGAGTTCGCACCAGCGGGAAGATCCGGCTGAGGCTAGAAAAGGAGCCCGGATTTCCCAGCAACGAATGAGGCATCGTTGCCATCCTGTAATAACAAGCACTCTTATACTCTTCTCCTTCTGTTGCTTCATCATGTCCTTCTCGTGCCACGGCATCCGACGGCTGTAACGTCTCGCCTGTGCTGGCCGAGAAGCCTCTCCGTATACCTGCCGGTAAGCAACATACATGCGGTGACAGGCTGATCGCGCATGCCGGCGTCCATCTGGCCCGCCAGCTCAGCAAACTAGCAACAGATAGTCAAGACGGGCTCTGGGACTTTTTTCATCTCCGGTATTTTGCATCCAGGCAGGAAGATCATGAAGAGAAGAAGAAAAAGAAGAAGAAACCGAAGTTTTTTATATATCAAGAACTGCGAGGACCTTGCGAGCATCTTTAGTCATCCGGAAGTAGGTAGACGACAGCTAATAGTGGAAGTAGAGTATAGAGTAGATAACAATAGTAGAAGACTATCTATATGCCGGTTGACGATGTCTATACGAGCCAAGGACACAGCCACTGGAAGCCTGCGTGCTTTCTCAGCTGTGCATGAGCAGAGACGCCGGGGGCTTTTATACCGAAGACGCTAGTTTGAGTATATACATGGTCAGAGATCCCGAACTTCCCTTGAGAGCGGAAGAGTTTGCCTGTTAACTGGCCAACAGCAGGATGGCCGGCATGTCATCGTCCTCAGAGACGGCATCTCTGTCCAAGCCGGCAGCCACAGGCAAACAGTGCCATACCTGTCGCAAGAGAAGGGTCCGCTGTGACTCAGCTGAGCCAGCATGCCAAAAGTGCCGTGACAAGGGGATCGAGTGTCTGGGATACGGCAAGCAGAAGCCGTTGGTCTGGCTGGAGGGCGGCGGAAACCAGAATCAGTATCTCAAGGAGGCCTCGTTGCCCGTTAGGGAGCGCAAGAGCAGGAAGAAGGGCAGGCCCAGGCTGATAGTGGCGAGTGACGATACTTCTGCTTCGTCTACGGCATCTACTACTGCATCTACTACTAGATCTACCGCTTCTAACGTCTCCGCCTCGGCTTCTACTGCATCAACGTCTCCGTCTCCCCGGCAGGTCACTCCGGAAGAAGATGACAGGGTGGTCAAGCTCGACCAGGCTGCCGGTCATATACCGGAGACCATGATGTTCTCCTATCCAGCAGAGATCCAGAAGGTCGTCAGAACCATATGGTACTGTAAGTATATATATATAAATGCTTCAATGAAAGGGTACTGACTGTGTGTAGATGAACATGAACTGGCCCCTGACCTGGACCCCATCAACCATCTCTCCTTTGTCGAGGCAGAGGATCCCACGGCCTGGCAGGATGATCTGGCTTCTATCCTCTGGCACATCCTCATCTGTGCTGTGGACACACACAAAGCCATACGCACCCAGCCGGACGACCAGGTTGAGATTAGCAGATCGGTCTACAGGTCCAAGTCGCAGACCTTTATGAGACTGAATAAGAACCTGGCCGATCCAAAGACCCGGATCAGCGATGTCACCCTCGTCGGCGTCTTGACGCTGTTTCTAGCAGAGGTATGTCCTCTATCCAAGATGTAGCATACACAAAGCTGACAGCTTGACAGACACAACTGTCGGCCGTGGGCTCGTGGAAGACGCACTTCGAAGGCGCCTGCCACATCATCCGCCTTCGCGGCGGTGTCAAAACGATTGCTCGTCATAGTGCGCCTCTAAACGGCCTACTCACCTACTTCATGGTGTAAGTGATTCTGTACAGGAAGCAAGGGGCGAAGCTGACTGTGGATCAGAACCGACGTGCTGAGCTTTACAGCTATATCAGCATCCCTGCCCATCCTCGACACGAGGAGACAACTCGAATACGTCGAGATCATCTCTGACGTCTATCAAAACGGGTCCGGAACATGCATTCCGTGTCCCAACGAGCTATTCGACGCCATCATCCAGATCAACCATCTCCGAGCCTTGTCGGAAAACGCCATCGTAGAAGTCGGCCAGGAAGACGGCTCAACGGCCAGCTTCAAAGCAGCTGTCCATGCCGTCTTGGAGAAGATCCTTTCCTTCCCCATCGCCTCTTGGGCAGACCAGATGGATGACCGGTGCAGCCAGCAGCCCGCCTCCTTCACGAGATCGGACCCCAAGAAGGCCTATCTCCGCCCTACCCGTGACGACTGGGTTCACATAGCTAGCGTCTACCATGCTGCTACTGCAATATACTGCATCCGGAGCCTGGCACTGGATCTAGACGAGTTACTGCATGTCTCGTTCATGGTCGATCAGCCTATACCCCCCTCCTATGTGTCCACGTCCGACGTCCTGCTCGTAGCCAAGAAGATCCTCTTCGATAGACTGCGGGAAATCCTCGTGACGGTCACCGATCCCCGCAAGTCGTTTATCAAAGTGCTGGTTTGGCCGATGTTTGTCGCCGGTGTTGAGGCTGCGGTGGACCCGGAGGCTGGGGAGATCAGGACGCTTCTTGAGTCAGTCTTGCGGCGTCTGTGCCGGTCACTGGGGACGCTGAGTATCTGTGGCTTGCGCAATTTCCTGATGGCGTTGTGGGATCATGTAGGCCAGATAGATGGTTACGAGCAGCATCTGTGGCCGTGGAGCGAGTTGCTTATGCTCTCTCCCGGTCGAAGCATCTTCTTCATGTAAGGCTTTTTTGCAAATATACCCGATGACTCGTTTATTTAGAAGTACTCTTTTGCATAGCTTCTTTTAGACTGTATATATCAGCCGATATAAAAATTATAATAACCCATTCTACAACTTCATATCCTGCAGTTCCTTGATAGCGGTGGAAATGACGGCTGCAACCTCCTTCCCGCTCGTCCACATCCCATCATGAGTATCGACCATATCCTCGATAATCTTCACCCTTCTCTCCTTTCCGGCTTCTGCAGCAGCAGCCCAGGGGGCCAGAGCCTCCTTCATCGGCGCCAGCTGGTTTCCAGGCAGTGCCTCGTCGTTGACCGATCTCGCCACAACTGCCAGGCGGCCGTTCTTCCAGCTGTCCACTACACCGCCGGCCGTGACATCCATAGCAGGCGAGGCCAGACGCCAGGTATCTTCACCACCAAATGCATCGGCAATAAACTCCCGGTATGCAGGCACATGGGCCATCGTCTCTACCAGCAAAGGCATGTGAGTGACACCCGCCACGCATACGATCGCCACCGGCCTCACGACCTCCTCTGCACGCAGCACACGATCCATCACCACCTGGAAGGACATCGTGCCTCCACAGCTATGCCCGATGAGAACATACCGTTCGCCAAACGCATACTTCTCCTGCAGCAGAGCCAGCGCCTTTTGAACATCAGTGATATGCTCTGGACGTTTAGCGTTTCTGTACTCGCGCGCATCAACCGAACCAGCATCCTGAGGGAAGTTCGGATGAGGCGACAGGCGATAGTCGATGGACGCAATGCCAGCTATGCTGCGAGTGACCTCAGTATTGCTTCCGGCCAGCAAGTTATCCTGCGTGGCCTTGAACGAGGGTGCCAGAATGTCTGGATCACGCCATGCGCCTCCGTGTATATACCTGTTTGCGTCCTGGTCAGCCTGTCTATCCAAGTGGCAAGAGAATTACGGGAAGAGGGGCCCCATACACTATCCAGAACCCAGACTCGACTGGAGCCGGAGAAGGTGGTATATGAACGTAGACGTTCTGGAGATAGTGGTCTCCATAAGTGTATTTTTCGTAGCAAGACTCCACAGCCGCCATTATGGACTCTTTTCTAAACTGTAGAAGAGATGCTTTCTTATGAAGTGTAGGAGAGATGGGCTGAATTCTCTCTTCTGCCCTTCCTTCAGCCCGAGATGGACGAGCTATTTAACTGTCCTTGCCCCTCCTCCTTCGTACATAGTGCGGGCTTACACCCATGCCCGGTCGTTTAAGCCGGTCGTTTAAGCCGGTCGTGTTAAGAATCGTCAGCGCAAGAGATGCAGCCGGGTTGACTTCTGCATGCATGTCCAAACCCGTCAGTTTAGCCCGTGGGCCAATTTAGATGGGTTTGTAATAGAGACTCCAGACTCCAGGTTCTAATATGTTCTATATGCAAAGTAGATTGTAGACATTTGTGGGCATCCATGCAAGTGATTTGAATATGAACCAACAACTTTTCATTAACTGTACGCCTGACAGGCGGTTCTTTACATACATTATATTCTCCGATTAAAAGTAATAAGAATATTAAAACGGAAGAGAGGATCTGTTAGATCTTTCAAAAGCTCCTGGTTGTCATTCTCCTTCGAGGAGCGCAGTTCTTCACTGTCAACTTGCCATCTGCAAACGTCTGTGCCTCACAGTTCCTGGAGCGGCAGTTGGTATCGACGCGGCATGGCCATCCCGTAAAACCCTCCTGGCCGTGGAGCGTGGAGTCAAAGACACAAAGGCCGGCTCTGCATCTGAGGTGTTCATCTTCAACCTTCACCTCTCCCTCTCCGCTCTGGCTACCAGTGGCAGCGCCGGGCTCACGAGACTCACTTTTATCAACCTCAAATTGCTCCTTGATTAGCTCGGCCACCTCGCTCAGCAGATTCTGGGCAACGGTCGACTTCCGGATCCCGCAGTCGGAGTCCATCGAGCAGAACTGCCCAAACTTGGACTCGTGTGGCTTCCCGCACACCCGCGGAGTCTTCTCGAGCGTAGGAAGCCAGTCTATAATTTCTTCATACCGGCAGACCTCCCCTTCCTTGCAGTCCGTGTCGTCGCCGCAGACAACTCCCAGGATACGGCACCGGCCCTTGAGACATACGCCGCCCCAGCACTCGGCGTTGTTGGCGCATATTTCATTTTCACTGCTTTTGGGTTTCTTGCAGACTGTGTCGCAGTATCGATTGGCATGGCAGGGCTTGTCAGCCGAGCAGGCTTCTCCAGTCTTTGCAAATGGCACACACTGGTTCTTTATGCAAGTGGTACTTCCGCCGCACGTCCCTTGGAGTACACTCTGTAGTTTACCACCTTTGATTTCCCTCTTTAAACCACATTCTGCGGCCAGACCGGCGGAGGCAGTAGTATGGTGAGAGAGGGCGCGAGGAGGGAGAGCTTCATGGTAGATAAATGGGGTATTAGCTGTGAATGGCTAAAGAACGAAGTAGTTGGTGTGATGAGAAGTGATTCCCGCGTGTCGGTGGTAGATGTGAATGGGATGTGCCGCTGGATGATATGAACAACGAGCATTCGAACAGCGGATGATGGCCCTCTCTTATATACCCTTCCAGGCAAGACGCCAGCCCTCCCGTGTATCCGTCCCCCTTCTCAGATCGCCCGCTCAATCCAGTCGGGCTCTGCTCTACTGGCCGCATGACTTGTGTCTTTGCTCTCACACGGAGTTCGATCACCAGCACGTCAATCATCTTCTCATACGATCGTCGCCGTCAATTCCCAGGCATTGGCTCCTATGGCAGATCGTGATGCGATGCAGACCATTAGAAGGCAGTTCCAAATTTTGAGTCTCAATAGGAGATGGAGATCAGCTCTATTTTACAAACACATTGCGCCACGTGGTTGCAGAGAGGTAGCATGAGGCAAGCATAGGGTATGAGTTGACGAGCTAGATGAAGATCAGATATCAAGTGATAAGGCGCCTCAGCGGAATTTCCATACTGCTATGTAGATGTGTTGATAAATGCGTTGAGGCTTTCGTGGTATTGTGGTTGAGCCAGCTTTACTCCTTGCTAGCGTTTCACAGAGAAAGTGACAACTACACGAGGGTCAACCTAATAATTGTGTTGGCATGCAGTCTTCCTGATATTGGTGTCTGGGGCTGAAGAGTGGTAAAGCAGGTATCAACATCCATCAACACCAATCATATCAATCTGCATGTCAACAGAATGACGTAGGGCAGCTCGATAACGTGTCCTCACTAGCTACACAGACATGATATATCAGAGCTCGCGCGGTCACTGCTCAATGCTCAGCGTAACGTTCGAAATGTATTCGTGGTTTCTTGTATCTACTGCTATGTACATAGTATGTAAGTTGGATCCGTGGATGGACCGAGGTCATGGCGGAAGAATGTATTTCCGCACCGACTGCGGATCAATAGTTGACCCGACCGGCGCACCGCGTTCCCCATCACAGTAGCTTTGTTTATAAACTTATTATATATATTTATTTATTATATCTATTAAAATATAGAGATATATATATTACATTTAGCAGATCTCTCCATTGTACAATATTTACTGTATTTACTGAATAGAATTAAGAATTAAGACTTTTTACAGCAAGAAAAAAAGTCACGCTTATCTAAGCAAGATCCTGCTAGTCTATTTTCAGTTTAGCGACTTATTTTGGTTCGCTTTTTTTTTTTTTTTTTGCTTCACACAAAAAGATGACGAAGAGACGAGGAGGAAGAGCTTGAGATACCAATTTGACCGCCTAGAAGACCATTTAAACAGCATATTCTTCGTGAACTGTATCCGTAATCATGGCAGAGTATGTACATTTTCTTTTCTCCGGTTTTATTCTGGTTAGAGCAGGGGCTGACTGGTTGAATCAAATAGAAAAGATGTCCCGCTGAAGACGGTCCAGGTGGACGCGCTGGTATGCAATGATATATGATATACATGGCTATGGGTTGGTATCAGTGGTACTGATGTGTTGCTGCGCAGGTTGTCATGAAGATAATCAAGCATTGCACCCAGACATTCCCAACGACCGCCACAGGGTCCTTGGTTGGAATGGATGTCAAGGGAAACTTGGAAGTCACCAATTCGTTCCCCTTCCCGATAGTCGACCTCCCGCCAGACTCGCATCTGGATATATCGCCCTCGAACACGGCTGCCGCCGCTCCCAGGGCCAAGTCGAATGTGGCATACCAGGCTGAGATGATCCGGATGCTGAGAGAAGTCAACATCGACGCCAACAATGTGGGGTACTACACGAGTGCGAACATGGGCAACTTTTTGAACCTGAACGTCATTGAGAACCAGTACTTTTACCAAAAGGAGATGAACGAGACCGCCATCACGCTTGTTCACGACGTCAGCCGCAGTTCTCAGGGACCTCTCAGTCTGCGGGCCTTCAGGCTGTCCCCACAGTTCATGACAGCCTTCAAGGAAAACAAGTTCACCGCCGACAAGTACGTTTATCAAGACATTTCTTATGCATTTTATTTTAGGCTCTAACAACCGTATAGCCTCCAGAAATCCAACCTCAGACACAACGACATCTTCGTCGAGCTACCGGTGAAGATCCACAACTCACACCTTCTCACCACCTACCTGCACCAGATCCCCTCTTCCGCACCCACCGACGAACTCGACCTGCCACCGTCCCTCTCGGCGCTGCTGTCCAGCCCCCTGGCCAACCCGCCAATGCACACTCCCAACTTCGACAACCTGTCTCTCAATATCGACCCCTTCCTCGAAAAGAACTGTGACCTGCTGCTCGAGAGCATAGAAACGCACCATACCGAGAACAACAACTTCCAGTACTACCAGCGCGCCCTGGCCCGTGAACAGACAAAGATCGCTGCCTGGCAGGCGAAACGCAAGGCCGAGAACGTTAGCCGGGCACAGTTGAAGCAGCCTCTGCTGGCCGAGGACGAGTGGCAGCGACTGTTCAAGCTTCCCCAGGAACCAAGCAGACTGGAGAGTATGCTGAACACCTGCCAGGCGGAGCAATACTCGAGACAGATCGATGGCTTTGTGGCAGCCACCACGGGCAAGATGTTTGGTGTCCGAGGCAACCTTCTCCCCAACGACTCTCAGTCCTGATTCTCTCTCTCTTTTTTCCTTCTTCTCTTATCTTTCTCTCCTATGATATGATATATTCCTTCTTCTTTTTTATTAAGGGAACCCCTTATTATCTGGTTGAATCATGACAGGCGTCCGGTGGTTGGATCTGGTACATTTCCTCCCTTATAAGAGTCATCTTTTTCTTCTTCTCTCCTTCTTCTCCTCCCGACTACATATGTAATTGGCAATGAGCGGAATCGACGCATCAACTACCGACCATACCCTTCTATCCCCGTCCTTGTATATACTCGTAGTCTCCGCGATACGAAGTGCATCCGGTCAAGGTTTTCCGTCTGGCGGACCCTCCCCTTACTATGCATCATGTGCTGGCCGCTGGTGACCGGGGCGGATCTGAATCTCTTCCCGGCTGTTTCACAGATGCATCGTTCTCCTGTACGCATGCCCAACCCGACCCTTTCATACATCCATACCTACATACATCATACATGCAGCATCCATCTTCTTCTTCTCCATCAACTTCTTCCTTGCTGGGTTTTTTCCCTGCCTCTTCAAATGAGCGGTGTGTCACGTGATAACCTGGGATCCCGAAACGTTCTTTTTTTTATTTACAAATAAAACAACAAGAAAACAGCCAAAAAAAACAATCTACAACGAACAGAACGAACAGGACGAACAAAAAACAAATAAGACAATAATGTGACTCGACTGAGCTAGAGGAACAATAGTAAGAATAATACATCGAGTCTTGTCGGCTCCTGCGCACTTTGTTGTTGTTGCGCGCCCTGTCTTAACTTCCAAGAGGTTGAACTGCAGGTAAACCCCCCGCCATATCCATGATTCGCTATTGCTAATACCAATCGCAGGTTCTCTCTATCCTGTGCCTCGCATTCTCTTTGTGCTGGCAACTCTTTTTCCCGCCTCTCGCCATTGCTCGACGCCTTGGATGCTGCAGCCCTAACTGAAAGCTGCGTCGCCTTCTGTGATTCGACACTAGAGGCCGGCTGAGTCCCGCGCATTTATCTTTTTTTTTTTTTTTTTAGGTTAACCAGTTTTTTTGGGCCTTTGCTCATCTTACTTATTTATCGAACTTCCCCGGCCAGCATCGAAAGAGGAGAGACGAGTATACATCTCTCTGGATCTTCTCGGTGGGAGGAGGTGTTGGTTTGCTCGCTCAATTCCTTTCTAACCGGCTCTTTTCCTAGTTTTTTCTTATCCGTACAGTTTGTACCACCAGGGACATCGAGTCGTGAGGCTGCGTGTTTTTTTTTATCTTTTCGGGAGAGGATTAAAAAAAAGTTGAACTTTGACCTTTCTAGACGTCCGGTTTAGACGCCTGGGTTCCAGTTTTACCATTTTTCGAACGGTTGATCGCTATCGTTTTCTGTGCGATAGGATAGGGTTTTGTTTGGCGGTTTATATCGATAAGCTTATCGTCAACCCCTTGCCCTTGACCAACGTCACCATCGTCAACCACCTCGACGCTTACTCTGTGCGACTCATGACCGTCTCTCCATCTCCCCAGTACTCGGTTTCTGGAAAGGCTTCGATTGAGCACCATGGCCTGCGCGGATGTGGAGGTGCACGACACCTGGAACCGGTTGGGCTGTGTGGGCGATACTCCTTTGGCTGATGGCGGGAAGATGGCTTCAAACTTGTCAGGTACAGGGCAGCATCATCATTTGACCGTGGGACGGGTTTCCTGGCCATCTTGGACAGATGGGAATATGGCACGGTACACCTCGCCGAAAGTACGCACTATTCTTTTGATTCGATTTTACTCCCTTTCGTTCCCTTACTTGAATCCTTACTCTATCCTTTGTGGCTTAATGGCTTTACTGCGCGTGTCGCGAATGAACGTTTCATCTTCTTTTCTTGCCTTGCCTTTCTTTTGCTACATGTTAATTGATGCTCATATCTGTCTGATAGGTGGAGGTATCTTCCTTAACTCGTAATTGTAAACATACGGGAACGTCTAGTTGCATAGAAGAGCTCAGAGCCATAATCGAAGCAGCCTTCTTGACGCCGGAGCTCACTCCACCACCGTCTTACGACGATGCAATCCTTGACCTTCCGCCAGACTACGCTGGACCTGAATATGCTCGGACGAAAGTTGACACAGAGACCGGTCCTGCTCCAGCCAGGCAGCAGCGGCCAACCAAGAAAACATCCTCGTTATTCGAAGACCCGCTCATGAATATATCAGTCGATCTCAAAGACACTTCTAGATTCAGAACTACTGCAAAGAAGAAGAAAGCAGCTGCAAAAAAGCCGACCCCAGCAAATGATTCTTGGGCGGATGAAAACTCAAAGGAAGGATCTGGTGCTGGCAAGGAGGAGAATCAAGGAGATGGTGCCAATGGTGGCGAAGGAGGAGGAGATCCCGGCGGCGCTGGCGGTTCTGGTGGCGGTGATGATCCTGGAGGGAATGAAGACAAAGGAGGAGGCGAAGGCGACGGGGATCAGTCCAGCGGAAAGAAAAAGAAGAAGAAGAAAGGCAAGAAAGATGATGAGGAAGAGGAGAAGAAGAAACGGGAAGAGGAGGAGGAGAAGAAACGACTAGAGGAAGAAGAGAAGAAGAGGCTGGAGGAAGAAGAGGAGAAGAAGAGATTAGAAGAAGAGGAAAAGAAACGGCTGGAGGAAGAGAATAAGGCAAAGGCTGGTGCTGATATTTCTTGGGCGGACGATACTAACCCCGAAGATTGGGGCTTTCCAGGTGCAACCACATCGAAGAAGAAAAAGAAAAAGAACAAGGTGGGTTGCTGGAATTATCCAATACATATATAATAGCTATACCCTACTAACTATATATTCTACAGGGGGCGACTGAGCTTTCCCCGGCTGATCCACCACCCACTACGTTTCAGGACGTCAGTTTGGACGACGGCGGTGCAACGCCGCATATTAACATGTCCTTTGGCGGAGATGATACAAAGGCGTCTACGGGATTCGGTTTTGGTGTCTGGGGGACTGACTGGGCTACCGGCGGCAAACTTGATCTCGGGGCCAGTGGTGATGGGAAAAACGATAGTTTGAATCCATGGGGTGGCACTGGTAAGAACAAGCAGAATACCAGCGGGCTCGATTTCAGTTTCGGTTCGGCTGGCATCGACGACAAGCCTGCCAATACTACAGCTGCAAAGGAGCCCGAAGACCCCTGGCCGAGTGCTACAGCTGGGAAGGGCAAAAAGAAGAAGAAGGACTCGATCGGGTTTGGTTCGACTCCAGCTGAAACTGAGGAGAAAGTGCCCGAGACCGAAGATTGGAATGAGTTTTCTGGCTCTACGTCAAAGAAGAACAAGAAGAAGACAACATCCGCCTGGGGGGCTATTGATGAACCAAGCAACGACGGTGTCGATTTCTTCGCTGATTTGGGCAAAAATGACGAGGCAGCCGAACCTGAACCTGCTCCCGAGCCTCCCGTTGAAGAGCAACCGGCAGAAGAAACCCCGGCGCCTACAAAGAAAGATAAGAAGAAGAAAAAGAAGAAAGCTGGAGCAGTTGAGCCTGAGCCCGAGCCCGAGCCCGAGCCTGAACCTGCCCTGGAACCTGTAAAGGAAGAATCACCAGTTGAGGAAAAGCCGGGGGAGAATCGGGAAGATTTTGGCGGTGCTACCACAACATCCAAGAAAGGCAAGAAAAAGAAGAAAGATGATATTGTGGATGGCCTAGTACCGGAGCCTCAATCTGAACTGCCAAAGGAAGAAAAGCCTGTAGAGGTAGTAGATGAATCTTGGGCTAATGTCCCGGCCCTGTCTAGCAAGGAAAAGAAGAAAAAGAAAAAGAGCGCCGCAGCAGCAGAGACGGTCACAGGGGTTAAACCCGAGCCTGAACCGGTCGTAGAAGCTCCTCTGGAAGAAAAACAAGTGGGGGGCGGCTTCTGGGACTCACTGGCCATTCCATCTTCGACTAAAAGGGATAAGAAGAAGAAAAACGAGGTGGTAACAGCGCCGGTAATTCCTGAGCCTGAGCCTAAGCCTGCTGTGGTTGAACCAGAGCCCGTTGAGGAAGAGGGGCCGATTGAACCTACAGGATGGGGATTCGGCCTTCCTAATTCCAACAAAAAGAAGAAAAAGAAGAGTGCTGCTACTGATCCGCCTCCCCCTCCGCCGCCACCTCCAGAACCAGAGCCTGAGCCTATTGTTGAACCAGTGGAGGAAATTAAGGAAGAACAACCAGCAGAGACTTTCTGGGGGTTCACTACAAAGAAGGATAAGAAGAAAAAGAAGAATGAACTGGAGCCTGCGCCTGTTGAGCCTGAGAAGCCCAAGGATCTCTTTGATAATGATGATTCTTGGTGCAATGAATTTGATCAGGACAAGGAGTTGAAGAGTGCAGGTATGTTGGGTGTTTATCTACTGAACTGATCTTTAATCACAGCTTGACTAATACAAATGAAGGCGCCGACCTGCTTGATGACGGGCCCAAGGTTGACGATTCAACATGGATGGGGCTTACGTCTTCGAAAAACAAGAAGAAAAAGGGCAAAACTACAGCTGACACGGTGACACCAGGGGCGTTTGATTTTGGCGATGATCCTGCTCTAGAGGCTACCGGTGGAGCTGATGAAGTCAGTTGGTTCGGCCTGGGCAAGAAGAAGTCTAGTAAAACGGATGATCCGTTCGAAATACCTGAATTTGTCGATGAGGTTGTTGAAGATACTGTCCCGAAAGAGGAAGAGAAGAAGCCCGTGAAAGAAACGAAGTTATCAAAGAAGGAGAAAAAGAAGAAAGCCGCAGCAGCAGCTGACCCAGCACCGGAGGTGCCAGCAGCTGAGGAACTGCCCAAAGTTGACTTCTTCGAAGACACCAAGGAGGAGCCCGACTTGCTGGCTTCCCCGCCTGTTGATGGCTTTGATAGTTGGGGTACCCGAGTAACAACCAGTAAGAAGAAGGATAAGAAAAAGAACGGTGCTGCTGCGGTTCTTCCTAACCCGGAGCCAGAACTTGCACCGGTCGTTGAGCCGGTCGAAGCGACTGACGTGGGTTTTGGCTGGGGTACCGGTGGCACGACAGCCAAGTCAAAGAAGGGGAGGAAAGGAAGTGCCGCCGAGGAAAATATAGCTAGTAAGGCACTAGAGAAGGACCCATTCGCACTGGACGACATTATCGACCAACCAGCTACTGACACAAAGAAAAAGAAGAAGAAGGGTCAAAAGTCAACTATAGAAGTTGTACCGAACGCTGACCCAGAGCCAGAGCCGGAGCCAGAACCAGAGCCAGTACTAGAACCAGAACCAGAGCCAGAGCCAGAGCCAGAGCCAGAGCCAGAGCCAGAGCCAGCTCAACCTTCATCATGGAGTCTTTGGGGTTCCTCAAAGCCTACAAAGGAGAAGAAATCAAAGTCAAGTAAAGCTGCTACTGAGACGATAGAAGAAACCGATAAAGCAGCTAAAGGCAAGAAGGGTAAAAAGGCTACTGAAGAGGTCATCGATGTGCTCCCTCAGGACGAGGGCGTTGGCTCAGGAGAGCTGGTCCCCGTCCCCAAGGTGGCGGACGAGGGTACCTGGGACATCTGGGGAACGATCACCAACAGCAAGAAGAAGGGCAAAAAGGGCGCCAGCGAACTGCCGCCGCCTGCGCCTACACCCCCGGAATTCCCGCCTGAACATGGAGGTGATGACATCACCAATACGTGGGACGATATTACTGCACCCTGGCCGAGCTCGATGAAGAAGGGTTCCCTTTCGCGAACGACTACGTCAACATCAAAGGCATCTCATGTTGAGGAGAGCAAGTTAAGTAAAACCAAGGGCAAGGGACTGGAGGTCGTTGACGTATCCGAAAATCCCATCCTTGAGACTCCGATCGAGGACGTGTCAGCTTCAAATGCTGCCAAAGGATACTGGAGCAGCTTTGGGCTGGCTTCGGGTGGGAAAGCAGTAGATGGAGCAGACGACCTGCTAGATCTGGTTGACGAAGAAGAGCCCAAACCCGCTAGTAAACCGACTAGTAAGGCAGACAAGGCCAGCGCCAAATCCTCGAAGAAGGATTCCAAAAAGGAGAAAGACGCCAAAAAGGAGGCCAAAAAGAAGAAGGTTGATGTAGCAAAGGAGGAAGAAAAGGAGGACGAAGGTTGGCTTGATGCGGCTAGCGCGCCTACAGCTGACAAAGCGACCAAGCAACCAACTTCGGCTGCGGCGACGACGTCTGCGCCCAAAGCACCAGGCAAGGCGTCCGTCGCAGAGCGCATCAAGCAGCTGGAGCAGAGCAGAAAAACAGAAAAAGAGGATACAAAGGCCAAGGAGTCGTCAAAGTCCAAGGAAAAGCCCAAACCTGAACCTCCCGCGCCCGCCGAGCCAGTTCCTGAGCCAGAGGTATTAGAGCCGGTAGAGGACCTGTCAACCAAGCCCGCAAAACCTTCGAAGAAAGACGCTGCTGCTTCCAAGACCAAGTCAACCTCCAAAACCAAGTCGAAATCAAAATCCAAGGCAGACAAAGGAGAGGTTCTCGACGTTGTCGAGCCTCCAGTGGCAGCTAAAGAGCCAACTCCACGTGACTCTGTACCTGGAAGCTTCCCAGGTGCATTCGACGACCTGGCTGATATCGACGAGCCAGAGGCTCCAGAGCCAATCAAGATGGCGGAAGAAGAAGAAGAAGCCGTAGAGGCACCGCCACCGCCCCCTCCCGAGCCAGAAGTGGTCGAGGTGAGAGAGCTTCCTTCGGAACCAGACGCCGCCTCGTTACAGCGTCCATCAACGGCCAAAGCAGACGGCGATGGGGCTGATACCATGCCGGCCTCCACACCAAAAAAGGGTGCCAAGAAGGAACGAGCCAGGATTGATCGGACTGCCGGAGCCGCGTCCTGGGCTCTTTGGGGGGCTGCTGGAGCATCAGGGCCTGCTCCAAAGAAATCATCTAAAAAGGAGCCCAAGTCCAAGGATACTGGTGAGCCACCCGTTATTAAAAAGGATAAAGAAAGGCCATCTGGGCTGAGCAGATCCAAATCCTCAGCTACCAAAAGAGAGAAGGTCTCAAGTTTGGGTGCAGAGGTGGAGAAATCATCGGGCTCAGATAAGGATAGGCGCCCGTCTCGACCTTCCAAGCACAGCCGTGGTATGAGTTTCCCATTTATGCTTTCTGGCCCACCGCCTACTAGGTCCAAGAGCACGAAGCGGGCTTCTGCATCGAAACCCACCTCGAGACGACACTCTATAGAGATTGACGACTCTGGCCTCTTAACCCCTCGTGAAAGTCCGGATATTCCAGAGAAGGCTGCTAAGACGATGGGCGTGGAGTCGTCCAAGCGCGTGAAGCGCAGCTCAAGCCACAAAAAGCGATCAGGTATATATACAGACCAAAAGTAGATTACTCTCAACGTTAGGATGCTAATATTCGCCTCCCTAAAGGTCCCCGCGATCCATATGCACTTGATGATGACATCGACATGTTGAGCCCAGACGATGGTTTGGTCTCGCCTCCTGGTAGATCCTTAAGAGACCAAGAACATAGGCGCAAGTCAAGGAAAGAGGTCAGTCATCCATATGCTAAGGCTCCCCGAAAACTGTTCCCAAACTAACTCTTTCGACGCAACAGTCTAAGAAACACAATAGTGATCCAGCTTTATCTCCTCCAGGACCTGAAATGCCGATGGGTAGAGACGACTTTGGAATCAACCATCCCTCTCCTAGAGAACCCGCACCATTACGTCGCGCTAACACATCGCCAAAACGGCCTGAAGGGCTATTCGGATTCTTGTCCCTTCGAAAGCCTGCCCCTCGAGCTCCAGAGGTTCGGGAGCGCCCCAAGTCTCGCTCTCGTCATGAATCCTCAAGAAGGGACACGGACAGAGAAAAGGATGATTCTAAACGCCGAAAGAGATCTGTAAGACCCGACACAGATGGCGAAGGTTTCACCACTGATGCCATGAGAACTGGCAACAACAGCCCCACTGAAGAGGCTGAGGCACGAAGGGCGAAACGCAAGGCCGAGAGAGCGAGGTTGCGTGAAGAGAGAGACGAGAAGGCTCGTGAAATTGAACGTGAAGGTCGTCGATACAAGCGACACGCTAGAGAAATGGAGGATGTCCTTCATGAATCTAAGCGCGACAAGAAAGCGGACCGTCGCTCACGTTCAGAGAGACCACCAAAGGACCCTCTTTCACCTACTGAAGGCCGTCGTCATCGCTCTCATCGTACCGACGATGAAGGCGGGAAGCCCAGACGCCGTAAGTCCTCTCCCGACAACCATCGACCTCGACGCGAGAAATCATCTCGTCATGATCATGCCGTCCCATACCCGGTTATGGTAAATGGGGGCAAGGATAAAACCTCTTCTTGGGTGAAGTCTCAAATATCCGATCCTCCTGAAGCGCCTCCCATTGTTGCGACGGTCGTAGACATGCCTAATCCGGCGCGTGAACCTCAAAACGCCTCTTTGTCGTCGGATGAAGAGGCACGAAGGGCAATCCATCGTCGCTCACGCAGGAAATCCCGTGCTGTTGATGCGATGGATGTGGATGTTGATAGACGGCCTCGAAGACGTGAGTCTCGTCGAGAGGGTCGTGATCCAGTCCGAAGCAATGAAAGCAGTGGTGATATGGATAACCGCTACGGAGGTATGAATCCAAAGAGGACCAGCTGGTTTAAGAAACTTACCAGCGGCTTCTAAATGCTCATTTTTGCCATCTTGAATCTATTATGTTTTCCCTTTTCTTTCACTCTGATGCCTTTGCTCTGACGCCTTATTTCTCTGATTTTATCATGTGGTACTATCAGTGCCTTTGGGTTTGGATGATATACTCGACTGGCACCTTAATGGCTGGGGGTTTCTTTCTGGAGGTTTTGGTTTCTCGGTATCTAATGGCTTCTTTTTGATGGTTTAATGTCTCTCCTATATCCCTGCGTTTTCCTTTCGATATACCCCAGTGCAATGTTTTATACCACCTACCTAGCTATTTTACTCCTCCCCTTACCGTCTCCTCGTTGATGCCCGTTTGATGATTTATGCCACTTTGAATAATGACTTTGTATTCTAGCTACTCACGTTATCATGGATCAATTTATATAATGACCATGAGCAGGATGTTAGATGACCCTTGAACTAGTTACTATGCAATGAATTATTACCCTCTACATAATTAAATGTGTGTAATTAGCTACTTTAAATGTAACAGGATATGAATCCCTGGGACTCAATCTCTGACCCAAGGGTTCGTCTAGATCTCGGAGCTTATGAGCGATAACTAGGTTTGGAGAATGTTCTTCTGGAGAGGAAAGGGAAGAGGAATAAAACGCACCAACGAGCCTCCGTATACCATTGCCGAGTCTGAGTAGAATACATTGAACAAGAACAACCAACCGTAACAGTGAACAGACAAGATAACAAAGGGTAAGAATGAGCTATTGAGATATCGAAAAAAGACTACCGGAGCATTGATACAGAGGGTAAAGTGGGGGTGCGATATTGTAAGCCTTGGGATGGCAGGTAAAAGACAGCGTTTAATGGTCTTCAGCTTCACTTGATTCAGATATCTTCGGTTCTTCTCCGTACGTCGACTTATACTCGTTGATATACCTCGTTCGATCTTCCGCCTGGAATGTCTTGTATTTCTAAATGTGATATTAGTGTTGTTCAGAACATTATAGAGCGTCAATGCTACTTTACCTCCTTCTCGCTCTGGCTTGCATTCTTCCAGCTACGAGCAATTTCCGCCATACGTTCCTTAGTAGGCAAGTGGCTGAACTCTGTGCTCTGCTGTTTATCCATGGAGTAGAGTAGGTACGCACTGCGGGGTCCTTTGACCTGTCGCTCATCTTGAATTGCGCTATAGGATCTAGCTTTGGTTGGTAAGATGCGTCGAAGCTTGCGACGGGCCTGATTGGCATTCTTGATCTCGAGAGGGGAGTAAGATTCAATCCATTGTTCGAGGTTATGGCGGTTGGTCGAAGCATTCTTTTCAGCAGTTTGCTCGAGCTCCTAGAACAGCGTGAGTACAGCTTTATCTAAGGGCAGTTATTTATCAAACGAAGATACAAACCTCAACCTGGAACCCGGATATGTTTTTATACTCCTTCAACGACTCCAAAAGAGGCCCCTTTCCAGTAGAAAAGATGGCAAATTTTGTTGTTGGTAGGGGTTTGGGAGGCGTTAGGGCAGCTTGCTTGAGGCTCTTCAAGTCTTCCTTTGCCTGAATCTTTGCCTCCTTTGCCTTCTTTTCAGCCTTCTTCTCCTTTTCACTCTTTGGTGGACGGCCACGTTTGGGCGGTGGAGTAGGTTTCTTAGAGGTTTCCTTCTTGGTCTTAGTTTTTGGCGTGGCAGCGGTAGCATATGAGTTGCTCAGGGATAACGACCGGAAGAGAGCTTCGATATTGGGCTTCACTGCGTACGAACTGGCGATGGTATCAGGACGCAGTCCGGAGTTTGGTGCATAAAGCACGCGACTGTTGAAGCGTCGATACGCAACTCGTCCGCATTGTGTAAGTTTGAACGCCATAGTGACAGCTCGAGAGTACAGTTGCGATCACAAACGGGGCAGGGAGGTCAGTCTTGTCACTCTTCTGCGCGACAGAAGCAAAATGTTGGTCTTCTTCTTCTATTTTGATATCAAGAAAATCGGTTTGTTTTGGCCCCGGAAGACGCTAAGCCCAGTTTGGGTTATTACATAATCAATCTGGGCTTATCAACTTTTTTTCTTTTTTTTATCGATTAACAAACTCGCAACTTTCAACGTCAACTTTTATCAACCGCCAGCTTTACGCAGCGTCGAGGTCGTTTTGACGGCCATGGTATCACCCTGTTTGACAGTTGGTATTCATCTGACGCGCTGTCCCTAAAGTCGCCAGTTTGTACTTTGACATTGGCTATACCAGAAGAGAAGAAAGAAAGAAAGAAAGAAAAGTTAGATTTCGGCCAGTTGACCATGGCCAGGGATACTCGCTCACCATCACCTGTAGGCAGCACGTATTCTTCGTCGAAACGAAGCCGCAGAAGCGATGAAAATTACGACAAAGTCAGACGCCATGAAGTGAAGGGGTATCGGAGGTCTCGCAGCCCTGAGGTAAGCTTCTCCTGTCTCCCTTCGGATGCTATGTCAAATAAACAATATCTAATGGTTGCCATCTCCGCATTCTAGCGACGCCATCGTGATAGAGGCCGAGACCGTGATAGAGACCTGTACCGCCATCGAGATCGCTCCATCAATGCTCGGGATTCTCGCGACAATACGTCATATCGACCCAGAAGAAGCCGTTCGCGGCCCAGATACCGTTCTCGCTCACGGGATGACAGCCGTGACTACCGATATCGAAGCAGGAGCCGTGACAGGACCTACCGTGGAAGACGAGATGACTCTCGTGATCGGGGTGGCAGGCGAAGGGACGGCTCCGCTGACTCTAGGCGTGCTTCTCGGCGGGATGGTAGTAGAGATCGAGATGCGAGAGAGTCTAGCGGAAAATCTCGAGAGGTAAGTGATATATATACCCAGTGATTATCATCGTTAGCTGTGGGAGATCATGCTTACATATCCTAGATCTCAAAGCAGACCTCCGGTGCGATCCCTGCCCAATCTGATGAACAGAAGAAGGCTGAAAGACTTGCAAAGCTGGAGGCATGGAAACAGAAACAGGCCGCCGAGCGTGAACGAAAACAGACGGAGCTTGCCGCAGGTGGAGCAAGAGGAATTCTTGATGAAATAGACAAAAAGGTCGCTTTGACGCGTGTTGTGAGCACACCTGTAAGCAAGTCGGTACCTCCAGCTACCGGTCTCGACCCAAGCGGAGCAGCCAAAGAAATAGTACCATCTGCTAGAAAACCTGAACAGCTCAAGAAGCCTGTGGTTTCTTCTGGTAGTACTAAAGTGTCTGAAGCCTCTACTCTTTTACCAGCAGATACCGTAGCTAACAAACCTTCAGCCGGTACCAGCTCTTCGCCCTGTAAGCATAGTCCCTACCCCCGATATCTATGATGGGGAGATCCAATACTAACATTCCATTATAGCTACCGTCCCCCTTAAAACTTCAGGCAATCTCAGTGGTTTTGGCCTAGGGTCTAAAGCCCCCAGTGATTCAAACAAACTAAGTGTGAAGAGGACCTTGAATTTTGGTGACGAAGAGTCCAAGGGGAAGAAACTTTTAAAACTACCCGACTCATCCCTAGAGGAATTAACCAACGGCTCCCCGCAAGATGGTGATGACGATGATGATGATGATGATGATACGCTTATGCAAGATGGGGGTACAGAAGAGGAGAATGCTGCTGCTGCAAGAGCTGCTGCAGAAAAGCGTGAGCAGAGCCGCCTACAGCCCGAAGTGACTGCTGAAGAGAACCAAAACGAACCGCAAGCCATGGAGTCTACAAATGACGTAGTCATGACTGACCATGTGAATGCCGAAAATGAGGCAGAAGAAGAAATTGATCCGCTCGATGCCTTCATGTCCGACTTAAAACAGAACACCTCGACACCGAAACAGAAGGGCATTAAATCTTCTAACCTAAAGCACCAGCAGCCTGAGGCCATATTTGGAGACGAAAATGACATCAATATGGACCCTATCGAGCCGGAAGCGGAGGACTTCCTTGCGTTGGCTAGCAAATCGAAACGTAAAAAGGAGATTCCGTCCATCAACCATTCAAAAATGAATTACGAGCCATTTCGAAAAGCTTTTTACACAGAACCCGTTGACCTTGCTGGTCTCAGTGAGGCAGAGGTTGCGAATATTCGTTTAGAGCTTGATGGGATAAAGGTCCGAGGTGTTGATGTCCCAACTCCAGTTCAGAAATGGTCACAGTGTGGTCTCGGAGTCCAAACCCTGGATGTCATCCGCAAGCTAGGCTATGAAGGACCTACTTCGATTCAATCACAAGCCGTACCAGCAATTATGTCTGGCAGGGATGTAATAGGAGTTGCGAAAACCGGCTCCGGAAAGACTATCGCTTTTCTTTTACCCATGTTCCGACATATCAGAGATCAACGACCATTGGAGAATATGGAGGGCCCTATCAGCCTTATCATGACTCCGACCCGAGAACTCGCCACCCAAATCCACAGAGAATGCAGGCCTTTTTTGAAAGCATTGAACCTTCGAGCCGTTTGTGCATACGGAGGTGCGCCGATTAAAGACCAAATTGCCGAATTAAAGCGTGGTGCGGAGATAATAGTTTGCACTCCCGGCAGAATGATTGACTTACTTACTGCAAACTCTGGAAGAGTCACTAACTTGCGGAGAGTTACGTATGTGGTTCTTGATGAAGCTGATCGCATGTTTGATATGGGGTTCGAGCCACAAGTGATGAAAATCCTTGGGAACATCCGACCCAATCGTCAGACTGTCCTATTCTCCGCAACCTTCCCTCGAAATATGGAAGCGCTCGCCCGGAAGACCCTGTCTAAACCTGTTGAAATTATAGTTGGAGGGAGAAGCGTTGTCGCACCAGAGATTACCCAGATCGTTGAGGTTCGTAATGATGACGCCAAATTCGTTCGCCTCCTCGAACTACTGGGAAACCTCTATTCAGATGATGAGAATGAAGATGCCCGTACGCTTGTTTTTGTCGATCGACAAGAAGCGGCAGACCGCTTGCTCCGTGATCTGATGCGCAAAGGTTATCCATGCATGTCGATACACGGCGGAAAGGATCAGATTGATCGAGATTCGACAATAGATGACTTTAAGGCAGGTATATTCCCGATACTCATAGCTACATCGGTAGCGGCACGAGGTCTTGATGTGAAGCAACTTAAGCTGGTCGTCAATTATGATGCACCCAACCATCTTGAAGACTATGTTCATCGAGCAGGCCGCACCGGACGAGCGGGAAACACTGGAACAGCAGTCACATTCCTAACAGAAGATCAAGAGCGATACTCTGTGGACATTTCAAAGGCTCTTAAACAAAGTGGGCAACCAGTCCCTGAACCCATACAGAAAATGGTAACAGCCTTTCTAGATAAAGTCAAAGAAGGGAAGGAGAAAGCAAGCGGATCTGGATTTGGAGGTAAGGGATTAGAGAGACTTGACCAGGAGCGTGATGCTACGCGAAACCGAGAACGAAAAACTTATAAAACTGGAGAAGAGGGTGAAGATGAAGACAAGGAAGAAGAGAAGAAAGAAAAAGAGACTGACCTGTTTAGCAGAGTTGCATCTGCGGTCCAATCTTCCACTGCAACTCCCACATTTGGTACACCCGGAGGCGTGGATCTGGACGGGAAGATCACGGTTCATAGGACACAGAAAGAGCCAAATTCAGCTACGGGCAAAAATACACTTGATAAAGTGGGTTCTGCTGTTGCAGACATCCATGCCCGTTTGAACAAAGCTGGTGTGATGAGATCTGGCGTTCCGATTGATAATAAGGGTCCTGATGCGGGAGCTTTCCATGCTACTCTTGAGATCAATGACTTCCCTCGTAAGTTTCTCTTGCCTTATGCATTGTGTGTGCAGCTACTAACTATGTTATAGAAAAAGCTCGGTGGGCCGTTACCAACCGGACCAACGTTGCTAAGATTCTAGAAGCAACCGGGACATCAATCACGACGAAGGGCAGTTTCTACCCAGCCGGAAAGGAGCCTCAGCCAGGTGAGAATCCAAAGCTGTATATCCTTGTTGAAGGTGATACGGAGCTGGTGGTTACCAACGCTATGCGAGAACTTATGCGACTATTGAAAGAAGGGACTATTGCGGCAGCGGATAGCGATGCCAGGGCCCCATCTGGTCGCTACAATGTTGTATAAACTAGTATTTTTTCCACTTATCTTCCAATTGCATACCACTATCTCTAATAGCATAGCCATATAAATGTATTTAACTATCATTAACCTTTATTAATACCGTGCATTTTGCGTGCTGAACCGCGGTTGCTACAGAGGAGGTTGGTTTCCAGATCTAGCCACCAGTGACTATAATTCGCTCATAAATTCTTCATACGACAAAATAAACTCTGTAGGGAATCTCTAGTATAAATCTACGCTAGTACAAGCATCCGCTCAATAAAGCAGCTACCACAAATTGAAGGGGGGAAAAAAGACCGCAATAAACAATACAGTGGCGTAATGGGTCGATCAATCGACCAAAAGGCTAGGAAAACGGCTCTGCTCATCAAACAAGCAGAGTTCAATTCCACTTCCGAGTTTCATCGGCGTTCTGGACGTCCCTCGCTTCCCGTTCAGCTCGGCTTACATCCTCTAACGTCTCATTTCTAGATTTTGCCTTTTGGGCAGCAAGTTGGGAGCTCAGTTTACCCTTTCCGGCAGCTGCCGAATGTTTGGCCGCTCGTTCCTACGGGAAATCCAGTATTAGTGGCGTGTGCGCAGATGACCAAAAGGACCAGCCAGGGGGGGTATAACCGGTATATAGAGAGTGTATAGGGGAGAAACCGCATACCTCGGCTGCCCTAGCAGCTGCACTTCGGGCGTCACTGCTTCCACCTGCATTACCGCCACCACCTAACGCCCTTCCACCTGTTGTGTGGGACTTGGAGGGCTCGTTATTCCGTATGAGTGGTGTGGTAGTATCAGCCGGCGCTGGCTGGGAACCTAGGACTCTGCCAGGTTGCGCAAAGGGGTCCGTTGGATTCGATGACTTGGAGCAAACGTTCCCCATCGCGGTAATATAGCCGAGCAACGCTATAGTATATGTGTCAATATAGCAGCTTTATGTCGAAAAGTCCTTGTTTCGTAAGACACTGGATGACTTCGAATATGCATCACCTGGACAAGTAGCATAGTAATATCCACCCTCTTAAAAAAAAAAAACCGTCAAGTATCCAGGTATGGTTAGGTCTGTTCGAGTGGGTTTCCCTCTTCCTTGGCCCGTTCTTCTTCTCCTTTATTCCGGCATGTTCCCGTCGGCGGTTTCTTCGTCTTCTCCTTTTCGCCGTTTGCTCTCTCGATCTTTTTCAGCTGTCGTCTTGCTGAGTCAGCTTACTAAGCCGCGGGGTCATATGACGAAAGCGCGCGGCTCCCAAGGTCCCCAAATGCGGTAAAATCGATTTCTCTGCGAAATTCTGGCCCGCGGCTAAAAAAACAGGGAAAGAAGCGCCTTTTCTTCCATATTTCCAACGACCAAATTGCTTCTTCTCGCTTCAACGCCCAATATATCTGCAAGACACTGGCCGATCAGTCATTTCGCTCCTGGATGGACTCCAATTATTTCCCCATCAACTAGCCACAGTCTTGGACAGGAACTAGTTTGGCGTGCTGCGAATTTTGAACAGTACTTTGGTACTGCGTGCTTTTGGTCCCTTTTTAATCAAGATCTTCTCTACACCCACACACACACACACACATATATATATATAAGATGGCCGACCAGTTTGATGACCGCACATTCTGCTGGGAGTGTTATTGGCCAAATCTAGACGCAGACGGCAACACGACACTGGCGCCTGGTTGTGTTGATTCGAGTTGCTGGAACCAGGGCGATTTTTCTCACCAACCACTCGATATATGTGGTACGGGCACAGAATGCTGCGACGATGATAAGTGCTCTCCCGGTTGTGCCACCATATGTGACGGATTTGTGGACTGTGATAAATCAACCGCCTGCTCCGAACCACCGTGCAACGACATGAATTGCAATGAACAGTCAACCGCCTGCTTCGATATAAATTGCGTTAACGAAAGCGAACAGTCTCTCAGATGCATCGAGCAGAATCATTTCTTTAGCCAGGGAGTACCGCTTAGCTGGGGGTGCCTGGACTTGCAAAACGCCGCTGCTACTACCACCAACGTCGCTGTTAACGAGGCGTCTCTACAAGACTGCAATATGGACAGTGATAAGTTCCGCCCGCATTTACATTTTCACTCCGTTGGACCCTTAAACTCATTAGATTTAAATCCTGTCTCCAAAGAGATGGGTAACGGAAGCATCGATCCTTATTGCTGCTATACGAAACACTCCCGTCCTGTCGTCGGTCCGCCATGCTCGACTCATGCAGCGAGTATATGGCCGATTACCAACGCGACAGCTGAGTGCAACAATAACCTAAATAGTCAAAATAATACCCAAAATTGTTACCTCAATCACTTCACGCCAAGAACAAATATTGATAAGTCTTTCGATATTGTTCAGTGGTCTGCTGGGACAATACAGCAAGACCAGGCAGATCAATCGCTTCACTCACAAGCTAGCAGTGCAAGCTTCATACCTGATGCTATCACTAACACCTCCACCATTTCCACACGTTCTACCCCAAATTTAAGCCTGGATTCAAGCCCCCTGACTTGCCTGACAAGCCGAGAAGTTAGCATACAGTCCGTTGGCTACGTCAGTGACGAGTTGCATATATGCAAATGGCTTCCAAATGGCGATTCAGGACTTATATGCGGCATCACATTCCCTGATGCCAAATCTCTTCAAGAACACCTTGTACAAGAACACGCCAACCAGACCGAAGGGGCAAAAGGGGGTGGCTATTATTGCTGCTGGGAAGGTTGCCACCGACCACATGAGCCCTTTTCGCAAAAATCAAAGCTCCAGGGCCATTATCTTACACATAGTAACTGTATGATTGCCCTGTATCATTTATGTTTTTACTTCGCCGCCGCCTAACATCATTTTACAGATAAAAACTTCCAGTGTTCGATATGTGGGAAATCATTTGCACGACAAGCGACCTTAGAAAGACATGAACGAAGTCATCGAGGAGATAAACCTTATAAATGCAAGATATGCGGGAAAGCTTTTACTGACAGCAGTGAACTTAGTAAGTCACCCCTGCTCTTTACCATGCCAACAAGGATATATCCGGGGAGCAAGATAATGCTAACAAGGATTAGAAACCCACAGGAGAATCCATACTGGAGAGAAGCCTTTCAAATGCAAGCACCCTGGTTGCAATTTCGAAACTGGCGATGTGAGCTCTACCCTATACTCTCGTCTTGGTACTGCAGATTACTAACTTTTTTATTTAATAATAGTCCTCTAATATGTCGAGTCATAAATTAAGTAAGTAATGCCAACGCAGATGAAGGAGTTCCTCGTTTTAACAACTCATCTTCACAGCACATGGCGAGCGACGACATAAATGCCCTTTCCCCGGGTGCTCCAAAAGTTTCACACGGCCAGGTATTTACCACAATCAGCTATTCCTATCCGTCCATCCATGACCCTTTTACTAACCCGCTTTCTCAGACCAGTTAAAAAGACATGCGAAAACCGCTCACAAAGACGATCTTTTTTCGTTACAACGGATAGCCACCACAGTCACTCCTAACATACCCGTCTTATAACCACTCCTGCATAGAATTCTTACGATGATTACCCTCTCCTGCATCTGTACGGATTATTTTCGCACTTTCCTTCCATGAGCTCAAATCAAATTCTATACTGAGGGACCATCGCACGATGGTCCCATGAGAACGTCTTATGCTTTATCCTATTGATCCACAGCACGGATCCAATAGCAAGGATGAATCATGCGATACGAGGGCGTTATAGGGGGTTCTTTACATGGAACCGGTCTGTAAGATACGATGGTTGCATTTTTACGAATTTCTTAGCTATCGATTTCAAACGGGAACGCATATACTCTTGACGACATCATGCCGTATGACTTGATTTCCAGGATAGAATAATCATATTGTTGTTCTGCGCAGTTGATTTACATAGCGATGCAAATAGTCTTTTAACAGAGCTAATCAAGCGTGTTCATACTAGCAATCTTTGCAGTACCCTATGTTTTTTTGGCCTTGGTTATATATTAACTGTGAACAGTTCATGAACAGGCCCGAGGTCAATAATATTTCCCAGTCCGTTTCTCCAAACTATCCTTCCTCTCGAATTTACGGCTTGAGAAGACGGCATATTTATGGTCACTCGTGCCTAGCACTCTCCTCTAAGCTATTCACCGCATTTTCAATCTCCCTTATTCTGTGACCAACCCTCCGCTTAATTTCAGCCCTGATATCATCAGGAATATCCGTGGAGTCATAAGCGGTAGAGCGTTCTTCTGCAACATCAACACCATTCGCTCCATCCTTTGGTTCAATATCCTGAGGAGGTGGGTTGTTATCAGCATAAGCACCATATGTATGCTTAAGATCATCAAAGGCTTCGCGCATAGATATACGGTCTGAGGCAGCATATATTGTCGCCTCAGCAGTAGATTCTGCCGCTATTTCGAGCTATTTTCAACATTGCTATTAGAGTCATCTCATCAAATATGTCTATGGAAAAGTTGAATAAAGTCTATTTTTATTGTCCGCCCAGTGATTAATAAATATTGCTGGACAGTTGTACTCATACCTCGTCTTTTGCAATTGCATATCTGCGAATCGTTAGCAAAGGATCAACTTCTAGTTTATTCAGCAAGTCACTTACAAGTCCTCTATTTCTTGAATGTAATTGTCAACTGTGGTCTTTTTGGTTGATTCATTGGTGGAATAACCCCTGTTGTTACTCGGAATGGTCGGCTGACACCCTTGAACCCGAACAGTCAAGGGGGACGAGTTTGTAGGCTGTAAGTGCCAGCTGTTCGGGTAGCCCAGCCAATTCTTCGAGCTGTAACCCGAGGGCTGAGCATATATACTGCCATGAGATGAACATAATTGGCGTTGTTGTGGTATTGGTGCGACAGCCTTCCCGTTTCCATCCAGCCCACGATAATGCGGAAGGCTGGATAGCCGAACAACTCTGCTCAATCTAGCTCCTTGCCGCTGAAAGGGCTGCATTATAGCAGTTATAGTTCAGAAGATGGCTATTTGTAGTATCAATGGTTTCCTAAAAAGAATGTTTTGATGAGATCTTTAACTGGTTAGCATGATAGGTATGTTACCATCCGTAAATCATTGGAAACTTACTTATATTAGAAAATAAAAAACTAATTCTCAGCTGTCTTAGGCATGGAAAAGTACTTGATGATGTAGTTGCAAAAATTGTTAGATGGGGTTGTGGTTAGCTAGCGGATAATGACGTGAAGTTACAACTTCCAAGGTTAACTGCTAACCACATGACTATTAGTAAGTAGTTGGCCAACCTAGAGTTACAATTCAACTGAATACTATTCCTTCACTTCCTGTACTACGTAGTCGGATATTGATATTCTAGCAGAGACATTTACCCTTTGGGGCCACGATTTAGTGAATATCTGGAGTATACCCCAAAAAGAGCCATAGGAATACTCGTCTACGAAGTGTTACGGCTAGAAAAAATTCGCATCAAACATCACATAATTCGAGCCTCGTATCGTCAATGAGGGTAGCCAGCCTCATAGCATGGCGCTAAGCAGGTTCACCCTTACGGTAATGAAAAGACTTGTTTAAAAGAGTGATAATGGCAGGAGGAGAAGTAAGCAACCACATCAAGGGAACCCAAGGCGAAGGTGCATCATGGCTATTGGGTTCGAAATAGTATCTGCGGCGGCCTTGGAATTTCCTTCATATTCCCACTCCACAATACTTACACTTAATGTTTTCCCCCTGTGATAGCTGTGCGAAATCCGCCTAATGTCTAGCCAATAGAGCCTACATATGCCTATAACTATCTGGCCGAAGAATTTTCAAATCTCACCATTCAATACGTCTATGGCTCCCAAATAAAGGCCGCTGTGGAGACTTATCGCCGGCATATTCCGCGTTCTCCTGTATTACAGCAGACATGTACACCACTAACAGCACAGGTAGAATAGCTGGATTTATTGTGCTATAGGCATACACAACAAAACATACTTACTAGAAGGCCACGCCGTAGTATAGCCTAAAAGAGTGGATATATATATCAACCGACTTGTGCCATTTCCATAACAGGTTCTAGCTCACTGCCAACGTTTTAATAAGTATATTGATGCTGATAGGATATCTAATAGGGAGTGACAGCTCATCGCACAACCCTTCCCGCCAAAGTAACTAAGGGGAGCATAGGGTTGCGGAGGGAATCAGATCCCTAAAAGGATGTTTCACAATGATAATGATCATTCTAGTAGTGAAGTACTCTATACTTTGGATATGTGCGCCTAAAGCATATAAATATTGTATGTAACCCCACTCTTATTATCTATACTATGTCATCATGGTAACCTACAGAGTATCCGGTATACAATTTATATTCCGCTTAAGTCCCACAAAGTTATCAACTATTGAGTGGCTGAGATTAACTACATAGTAGTGTTCAGACCACTTAGCGGCCATAGCTGCGCGGGCCGGGCCGCAGAGCGCTTATGACGTCAGCCTTTTGGATCCAATTGCCCAAATGCCATTAGAAAAAAGGCTTATAGGTTAGTTACAAGCTTGTGTTTAGTATAAAAGTACAATATTGTTGATGGATTCCACCCTGATACGTCTAGGGTGTAGGCCTTGTGATTGTTACCCGGAGCTAACAAGACGGCCCTCCTCACCACCCTTCCAATGCAATCATAGTCAATACTCAATCTATCTTGGGCGTTATTGCGTAGTGTGTAAGCAGTGCTGCTTCAGCGACGCTCCACCTATGCGTCCCCTCTCTGAGGCTACCAGCAATACTCTTGTTACTTGCGATGACTACCGTTTTTCTCTGGGAAGACACTGAGCCCAGCCCATTGATAACAACTCGTCATTGACGACTTCGAAAACGTTGACAGCTACCCCCCCTTATATAATCACTCCTGTTAGTAAAAATATAAAACCTTTATCCTAAAGAAGTTTTACTCTTGGAACTCTACTGTGGGCAACTGTGATTCTCCCTGGCTAGGTTGCGATGTATTTGTGTTAAAAGACACTCCAACTACCTCTCCTAGATAATCCATTACGTTCAAGCAAGTCCATCCAAGCTTTAGCCTCCGTAAAGTATATAGTTGACATTTTATTTTAGCAATAAGTGATACAAGGTCGTCTGTGGTGACTATAGTCAAAAGATTTGTTCACTCGCCGACCTACTACTAGTAAAAGAGTACTACCATATGCTACTATGTAGCTATACTTTTGGTCTTTGATTTCATATCTACTATAAAGTGTATAAGGTTTAGAGCATCAAGGGCATGATAGTCATAAAATACGAACCAACACGTTGATCACTTAACGTCTTATAGTGCAATTTGACTGGGACAATACTGAAAAAAACTAGGGGGATCAAAAGAAAGGGTACTAGAAAAAAGAGGTATAAGATCATACGTAACAGTCATAACCGAAAAGAATGAAATAAAAAAGACGGTTTGGTAGCATCGTAGAAATTCTAGTACCTGTCGTGATGTGTTCTGGAACGACGAGGCCTATCGGAATAATCGTACCCGTCATCGGACGGGCTAGTATATCGACTTCGGTGCCGCCGATGCTCACGCTTATAGCCGCTATCACGACCACTGTCTCGATCCCGGTCACCGTTTAATCCAAGAGTAGCAATCCCTTGGGCAACGTAGTCTGACACGCTCTTGCTTCGCTTCTTATTCGGCCGCCCAGGCCTGCTAGGCCTATCATCTTCACTAGAGTAATCATACTTTCCAGAATCGCGAGATTTGCTGGATTGATAGTGCTCGTATGCTTTTTTCCCTGCAGCAGCAAGTAGTGCCGCAGTAGCTCCAGTGCTTACTTTTCCACGGCTCTCCGAGTGCGAACGGCGTTTTGAGTCCGAATTGCCCGCTAGATGGCCTGTAGCAAGACCGGCCAAAGTAGACTCCAATATATGTTTCTTGCTAGATTTTCCAGAGCCTCCGTGGTCAAGGATCTTTTCAGTACCGCCAGCACTGGCGACGGCAGCTAGGACCCTCTTCCCTTTTTCTCCAGTCCAGTCGCCCGGTTCATTACGGACACGGTATGCTTCCAGAACTCCTGCTGTTAAGGCAGCAGTAATAGTATTTTGTAGACTCTTATTTGGATCGTCTTTAGTGGTACGTAGACGGGAGTCGGATGAGGTGCTTCTGTGGCGATGTTTACCATGACGTGAGTCTCGACGGCGGTCATCATAGTCGTAACGATGGCGATCAGAATCCCTTCGGTCCCTGTAGTCGTCATCATATTCGTAACGGCGACGTTGGCCACGGTCGCCATGTTTGCGAGCCTCATCGGCCGCTCCAGTGAAACCAAGAGCTTCTAGAGCCTGTTCACCAATCGATTTCCGTGGGCGAAGGGGACTAGGAGACCTAGATGGTACTGATAGTGAGTGTGCATGGCGCGATGAACGTTTATCTATATTGTAGATTAGCTAATACATCCTACCAAGCGGCAGTCAACTCGGCGGGTAAAATGCAGTAACGTACGGCGATGCTTGCGGCGACGTGGCTCTCCATCTCGGGATGAGTCGTATTCATCATCATATCTATCTCTTTCACGATGTCTGTCCCCTCCAGCTGAATGAGATCGCCTGTATCGGCGGCTTTCGCCCTCTGGTGGATAGTAGTCGGGAGCATAGCCGTGGCGAGTGGCCTCACCGTACGGAACTTGCCCCGCGCGAGGGCTATCGTGGTGTCTTGACGAACCCCTGTGGTACGGGTGGTCTCTGTAGTAGTCGGCAGCCATGGGTGATCTTTCAGACAAGAAGACTGATTATCGAATAAACCTGTCAAGGGGTGCCCTTTTATGAGTGTTTTATATATGATTACCGCTGGAGCCACTGACGTAACTCGTCTGATGTCTGTGGCTGGTTTTTATATCTTGGGAAAACAAGAAGCGACCCGCAACTGCGGCCCAAGTCACGTTTTGCTTGGCAGATGACATCATCACCAGGGGTGGCCCGTGTTAACCCGAACCCTAACTCAGTTTCAGGGCCAGGTCCACGGTTCGGGGATAGCTTATTATCAGGGAGAAGTTATGGTTATCTAGATCAGGAAGAGGGACGCCGTTAGACCTGTCTATAGAAACTGCCCTGGTATTTCTAGTAGATGAACATAATAAATAAAAAAGGGGGGTAATGAAGTAAAGACAAGAAGGAATGAACACCGCTGGGGTGTGTATTAACAGTAGGAAGTTGTATCGAATATTAAACAAAAATACATGTGGTGTTATTTCTTTGATATATGCCTGCTTCCATAGCTTGAGTTGGTCGATGCTATCGCAAGTGAGTCCAGTCCTGACGAAACACTATCGGATCGGTATGCCGAGGAGCGTCGCCGTCTCTCATCCTCTGGATCCAGCGGATCTGCGAGTTCTCGGGATAGATATCGAGGAGAAGTATCATAACTGGTGGCGGAGCGGCTTGAATGTCGACGATGCTGTGGGTAACGCGAGTTCATCGATGCGTCTGGGTCATATGCCGGGGGATACGCTATAGAAGAGCCGGGTGATTGAGAGTATGCTGCATCAGAGACGTTCTGATCCTGCCCTTCAAAATCCGTATCTGCACCTGATTCTCGATGAGTCCTCTGATGTTGTTTCATATTATCCTTTCTGGTAAAAGCCTTGTTGCACACTGGGCAGTGGACTCGTTTTTCACCGGTGTGCTTCTTTCCATGGCGTGCAGCGTGGCCAGAGGTTGTAAATGTTGCCGGGCAGCCGTGTGAGGCAGCGTACGGGCAGGCATGCTTATTCTTCTTGGTGGTCGGCGGCGCTGTATACTCTGCCAAATTGCTATAACTGGATCGCGGTGATAACCTGTCTCGCTCTGCTATCTGGCGATCATCCTGCAAAACATGTGCCGCAGACCCCCTCTCGTGGTGTTCGTATCCATGCGGTAAGCCATGGGGCATGGCATACTGCGGCGGTAGAGAGCCATGTGTCTGTAGCTCGTAAGAGTAAAAGTGCGATTCCGGAGAGGATGTCGGCCAAGCTTGAAGCTGTGAAGAGTACGCTGCTGGCTCTTGTCGATATTTGGATGATTTCGAGGGCCGGACCACGAAGGACGGGTTATCATCATTGTTCAATATCGAAACCATCCTTTGTTTCTCGGGGCCCCTAGACATAATGTCCGTGGTTGACGGGGTGATTGGATATCGGGATATGTTAGCCGCGAGAGAGAACAGGTGCTAGATTAAGAAGCAAAATATATTCCCCGAGTGTCTGTCTCTTCACGATATAGTTCGGAAAAACAAAAGGGTAGAAAAGTGGTCGGCGGACGTTCTGATATATAAATGGTGTCTTCAAGGCTCCGAGAGCAGATTCAGCAAAGCCAAACGCCGTTGCGGTCGACTATACGAACCTCAGCCTTGTATAGGTATTACAAGGCGGCTACTTCCGGTGGAGGAAGCCCAGATATCGATATGAGCGAAGGATGGCAGATGTGGGGTGGCCCGGTAAGTCACAAACTTCGAGGAGAGGATAACGTGTAGGAGTTGGCGGCTTATACGTAAGGTCTCAACCGAGAAGCAGTGGGGGTTATGTTTGGTATAGATCTGTCGACTACTAGTTTTCCTTTTTCTCCTTGGGACAGATATGGGCAATGATAGGGATATAAGAAGGATATATGACCACTTGTAAAAGAATGTAAATGAAAGGGGAACAGACGGGAATGCATATATATAGAAAGAAAAAAAGGGTCAGCATGGAAAGCTTGTTGTAAATAAATGATGCACGGTCGATGGAATGACCCGAATAAATGCAGTATTAACCTTGACATCAAGACGGTTTGAATGGCCGGAGGTTCCAGTTTGATAAGCCTGGGGGGTTTCATATCCATGGGGTAGAAGGAAAAGAGAGATTATGTTTTGAATTTCTTTTTTTATAGAGCAGTTGCCAATGGCACATGGGAACTGCAAGTGAAAATAAACGAAGTAAAAATAATGCTACGTCTTTGCATCATTTACTTTTTTTATTTTTTTGCAAAGACGGGTTTAGATTCAAGGGTGCTTAAGCTCCTGGCCCCCCACCGCGCGGACATCCTACTTCTTGAACCCGAATCGAAATCGTGACGTTACATGTACACTTCCACTGATTCGAGTTCATAATGTATGCCCAATTTGGAGGTCCGGCCCGCATCAGGGGAAGAGGAAGTGGACATAATATCCCACGTTTTGTTCCCGGAACCGGAGCCAACATACATAGTAGAGCGAAGGCGGGGAGGGTGGCCCACGGCAAACCAGCAAATCCCTGGATGAGTCTTCCCTATCTGGAAGGGTTTGTAGCGTTTCCAGGGTCCTGTTGTAACTCTTTTGGACTTGGTATATATGCGCGAGATCCCTGAAGCGAAAGCCAAGCGTAATGATCCCACAGACCAGCAGGGCCGGCAGTAACGGGGACGCCTGAGAAGCCTCCAAGAGGAGCTTGTGCACCCGCCAGGTGCATGACAGACAAGTCGATCCGAGCCGGCTCCTTGCATTGACCATATAGCGCGCTCTTGGGGACGAAGGCTGTCCAGGTAAACGTAAATCGCTACCAGATATAAATATTTTCTGGCCCCCTTTCGTAAAGAAAAAGCAAATATAGACAGTAAAAGCAGGACGAGTCAAGGGTGTTTGTACCTCCTTTGTCATTGTGGAACCAGCACCATCGAGGCTAGACGTGCTCTTTTATTTTTCTCCCTCTTTACTTTTTTTTTCCTTTTCTCCCTTGAGCTCATCGGGCGCTCCATTTGGTAGCCTGGTAGGGTTGGTAGAGCTAAATGGAGGTTGGTTGCACTCCTTATACCCCTTGTCCACTGTTACGGGATGGGGATATTCTGGTTAGCGGTAGACGCTTGTTGCCGTCCAGGGTCCTGGGCATCTGGTTGCATAACGGCGCAGCTACGCCGTCTCGAGAACTGCAACTGCGCGTGGCTCGAGGGAGTAAAATGTGGATAAAAGGGAAGAAGTTGAAAAAAAAAAATATAAAACCAAAAAAAAAAAAAAAAGGGAAGAGCTGTTGACTGCATAGAATAACCAGTTTCCCAAGTGTGATTCGTCTTTTCTGCGCCATCCACGTTTCGGACACATGGCCAGTCCAAGCCAACAGGTTCAGGTTGCACTATGGCAAATAAGTAAATATGATGGTCAGTTTTAAGTGGCGTAGAGTGCGCCTCCGTGAGTACTATTGGGCGTGATCGTGCAAAGAGCCTGGGTAAAAGGGGAATGACCGCGTCTTCCGTGCCAGATGACGCTTGGGATGGGCTCGAAGGGATCACCGAGGACGAGGCAGTGGGATCTCTAGGCTTTGCTCACTCGGCCCCCAAACTCGAGCTAGGGGGGGTCATTAGAGGCATGGCTTGACGCTGGAGCCGACAGTGGGAGCTGAAGAGCCCTTGTCCGCCTGGTCGAATGATTAGTTATCCCATCCCCCTCCGTCAATCATGTATGTATAGATATGTATATTTATATGGAGGGGGGGCATTAAGGGTACATCTTGCATCCGGCAGCACCCAGGACCGCGTCTCACGGACCGAACAGTGGAGTGTAGCTGTGTCGACGGAGAGATGGTGAGACCCCCTACACGAGGAGGAGAAGAAGAAGGAGAAGACTTGTGCAACAGAGGCGTTTTTGGCGAAAGACCGTATATCTACCCCGTACTGGACATTTCTTTGCCTCCCATGTTTTTTTTTATCTCGGCTAGGACAAATTAGATGGATGTTCGACTTTAGCGAGGTTCGCTTTGAGGCGTCCTTTCAAGATGATGGTTGTTGTTTTTCCTCTTCTTCTCTTCCGCACCCAATAGACGATATCAGACATACCCCCTGATTCCAATAGCAGCCAAAAGAGATATTACCATAAAAAAGAACAGCAGAGCTGACTTAGGCTTCTCTAAGCCTAGTCTCGTAGCAATTCCTTCCCAGTCCGTCGGCATGTCCAGCTGAGAAGACGTCAAACACTGTGCATGAATCAGAGTCCGTCGGCATCGACCACTGCCTGGGCTGCGATGACGATCCTCTCGTCCCCAAGTCAGCTAACCGCTTGTCTCCATGTATTTCATGCAAGCAGCTCGGGGAGACGCGCAGCTAGGGCAAGAAAAGTTCATGCCCTTATTCACTCTCATCCCGCATCTTCGTCCAAAGCGGAAGTTCATGCGATGCCATTCCCTCCCTTGCGGCATATGTAACTCCCTGGCACCCGCATAGGCGCATGAATATATCCAGATGACCTATTTTCACCCACTGGGGAAATTTTGCTATGCAACGCTGAGCGGGAATAGCAGCTCCACTAAGCAACGCAGGAACTGCATAAGGGTCTCTTTCTCTCTGGCTGGCGGAAAAGTCGGGATGAATAACGGGGCCTCTCGGTCATATTTACGTATATGGCCGTATACATAAATGCAATGACACCCTAGGGCGTTTCTTGGATCGGGCGTCCGGCGTAAAGATCATAATGCATATCCCTGGCGATGTGGGATAGATAATATATAAGCATAACTTGGACGGAAGATTTCCAGAACAGATCGTGCAGATGTGGACCCCCAAAGCTACCTTACACGGAGTATCCCATAACTATATATATATATATGTGAGTGTATATCTTATGTATACATAGAATAGGGGGGATAATGAAGACATAAGAGGACATCTTGGGCGTATATACCCCGGTCATATTGGTTGGCAATGCCTGCAGGCCAGCGCAATCTAAAATCCTTGAATGGGCAGGGTTCGAACATTCCTTACCACAGTCGATATTAATCGTATGAGCTGGCATAACAGACAGGAGACGGGGCAACGCGGGAGCCGCAACCTGTAGAAGTCAGGACTCCTTTTCTAATCATGGAGAAACACGGATGTCTAACTCACCTTCAGGGGGACGCCGACTCCAAACCAGGTTCACCATATTACCTGCATCATCCACCGGCAATACGTATACGCCTTTCGGTAATGATGGTATCAGACCCAGCAGGTTCCTTACTATAGTTCCATGGAGCCTCTCGGTACGTGGATGTTTTAGTGACGCTCCACAAACCAACAGAGCGGGTTGGTAGCGCGCTTCTAGTTCCAATAATAGCTATTAAAAAAAGACACAGATTGGTCCAGAGAGAAATACTTACTGGAAGAGGCGGAAAGACCAACTATACATCCCTGAACAGCGTTGCTTGACATTTAATGCGAGTGCTCAAAAGCAAGACAGGGTCTTCAGGGGTTCCCCTTTTCGTCGCAGCAACTCGTTACTTGTACATACGGAGTACTCGAAGAGGGAAGACAACTGATACCGCAACGGCATTGCCGGGTATCCCTAGGTTCGACCCGTTAAGACGCCGGGCAAGCTCGCCAGTCAGCGTCAGAGAAGAAGAAAAAAAAGGAAAATGGCTATGGATACCGTATGTACGTACATAGTACCCGATTTAGCCCCCAATCACGGCCAAAACTGCAAAAAAGAGAGAGACGCCCGGTGAAATGGTTATTTGTCAACAAAGATGCAACGCTCCCAAAATATATTTCCTTTTTATTGTTTTATACATCCTCCAGCATCGCAGTGTGGCTGGGTTATGAATAACGGCGTCAACATGCGTCTTATGCGCGGGTCTTTATAAAGAAGGACATCAACCCCCTTTCTTGCTGCTGTGCATCCCACGTATGTATGTGCCGGCATCTCTTTGCGCTTTGCAGGAGAGGTGCACTTGTACAGCCATTGCAACACTAACAGTTGGTCCCCCCTGGACCGTTGGCTGTGTCTTCAACCATCCGCTTTCTCCTAGTTATCGCAGGAACCTGCTCATCGGAAAGGCCAGCACATTGAGTCTGGAAATGTTTGTGGACGACTGCCAGTACTAACCAAAGGGTGGCTTCTGACTCGATTTGGACGAGGCCATGTATAGACAGAAGTACAGCTTTTGGGGAAGGGAGAGAGCAAGCGAGGGCTATTGAAAACAGGAGGATAGGCGTTGAAGAGTGAGTATATTACTGAAAGGCGGTCCGTAAGTACATACATAGGGTAGAAGAGAGCTAAAGAAGGGACGGATGTTGCTGATATGCCAGGCAAACAAACAAGGTATAGGTATAAGGAACAGATAAAGATAAGAAGATAGGGGAAGGGAGGTCCAACGCATTAATCCAGCCAACAAAAACTGGTCAACAGCCATTAATCATGAGTGGAATCCTGCCTTTGGAAATGGCTCAGATCGGGTATTATTACATGCATGCATGCTTCTATAGAGCCAAAGAAAGAGAAAAAAAAAAAGAAGAAGAAAAAGGGAAATGGTTCAAACGATGGGAACTGCACAAGACAGAGAAAACAAGAGTATGATATGTAAAATAGAGAAAACAGCCAAAAGAGGTAGGGGATCGCTGGGCCATGTTTTCTGGGCGCAAGCCAAGAAGAGAAATGGAAGGGTTTTAAAAAAAAAACATGTACAGTGAAATTTGAGGAATGGCGATGGCCAATAAAGTCCCCTGCCTTAGGGTTGACAGGGCCAGAGCCCAAAGTCCGAATTTGGTCGGCTTCCGCCCCCATACGAATGCAGGTTATACGAAAAGGATGTAGAATCAACCGTTATCCGGCCCCATTAAGGACACACCAGAACGGAATCGACACCTTTCACCCGATTAACTGTCCCAATCGGGGACAATGAACTAAGGCAAAGAGCCTACAAGAAAAAAAAGCTGCCCCCATCTGTTGGCCCCAATCCCAATCCGGTAATTGCAGGGTTTCAGGCATGGACGGGTCGAGGGTGTGTGTGCGTCAAAAAGAGACAAACAACCCAGAATTCCCTATCTGTTGTTCCCAATGTTCAGCCAACTGATATCAGAGCTGACTATTCCCCTGTTCACCGAGCGGGCGTTACGCCCGTAATTAGAGGAGGGAGCACGACTTTCAGGCATTGCATTCAGGTATCGGTCCGGACCCCCAGGCGGCGGAGGGCCGGGGTTATCGTAGTATACACTATTCGAGTAATTACTACTTGCCACCCGAGGCTCTCTTGACATCCGGCCCCAGCGATCCACATCGTGGGTGCTGCCTGGAACGCCTGACGAGAAGGCATCTGTCCTGGTGTCCCTCTTGTCGTCGTAGTAGTCGTCGGAGTTGAGGCTGATAGAGTCTGCACTGGATATCTTCGCTGCCATGCCTTGATGTTGTGTGAATGGCCATTTGGGAGGGTGCTCGGTGCTAGGGCTGCCGCTCGCGACAATTCCTAGGGGTTGTGGTCCGTCAAACCGCGCAACGTTTAGGGGTGGCACTTCGGCTGATACATGGGGCCATCCGCTGTTTTGACAGTCTGATCTGTAGTCGGACTTGGAGTATTTGGAGTCGACAGAGGAGGCGCGGGATTTTATCGATCCATCGATCTTGTCACCCTGGAAGTATTTGCTCCAGCCTTCATCCGTGAGCCGACCATCAGCCTCGGTTGGTTTGGAGTCAACCTTAGCTCCAAAAGAGGGTTTATTTGAAGCTGGTGGGTAGACATCACTGTCAGGCCGTTCATCACGAGTTGATTCCATATCTCGAAGCGGGCTTGGCCCTTTCTCAGATACAGGCATGCAGCGAGTTGGCGGTGGTGGGTTTACGGAACCTCGAGAATAATCGTCAACTTGCCCAGAAATGTATGCCCAGGAATCAGTTGAAGGAACGGGGCCTCTTGCAATCGGTTGTATGGAACGCGTGAGAGGTTCCATTCCTGCATCCTGAAAGCTGAACCTATCCTTATCGTCCGAGTTCATGTGCTTTTCCTTGGTATGTTGGTAGTATAAGCTAGTCCGCCGCCTCCATGCAAGCAGGAGTAAGACAAGAATGATAATGGCCCCGATACCAAGGAGAGTCCCCAGCGTTGCGCCAATAATGGTCAAGGTACGGCCATCAGGAGGAACAGAACCGTGAACTCGATCACTGGAGGTGGAAGTTTCTGTTGCGGAAGGGGAGGAGGTCAATGTTGGTGCAGCGGTTATAGTGGGCGTCATTGTCATTGTATTGCTCATTGGGGTCATAGTAGAGGAAGTCATGGTTGAGACAGCAAAGAAATGGTCAATATCTAGCCATCCATTGACGTCCTGATTAAAAATTACAATAGGTTCTTCATTGTTACCACCAGAAATCACCACTCTGTTGTTATACCCAGGGTCAGACGCGATAGAGGCTCCGGTGCGAGATCCCGTGGGAGCCAGCGTAGAGTTGTAAGCAGGGTATGAGGACCGTTTCCATATGCTGGAGTGACCGTGATCGTGATGCCGGGAGTGAGTTGACCGTCTATGAGGGGCGCCCGGCGGTACCAAGCTATCCGTACGAACTGTTACTGGAGATGCTCCAAGGTCGAAAACTTGCAAGGCCATGTTCCCGTCTATGTAAGGATTTGTGATGACCGGAGTTGCGACAGGATCAACAATTGGACTTTCTAAAACGTAATCAAATGTCCGCCATGCACCGTTCATGAACTGGTAGACTTTATTATCCTCATTACCACCGACAAGTATCGCCGTGTCCTTGCCCCAGGCCAGAAGGACTGGTTTTAGGGATGGTGGAACAGGTCCGCCTCGGGATTCTATGTGATATAAATTGGGGTTCGTGGAGATCACGAACGTTTCGGTTGACGGGCTCGGATTTCCGTTGGTAGAACCCGCGAAGACAAGGATCGACGATAGAGACTCGAGATAGACCGCATCGTGGTTGACTCTATTTTTCATATTGTTTCCATCTAGACTCGGGAATTTCCACTTCTTGTCTAAAAACGAATAGCTCTGGACCCCGAGGTAGTCATCGGGACCACCTGTACCGCCAACCACGTAAAAGGCTGGATTGTTCAAATCTCCATCTGTAGGGCCCTTGAAGCAGGACGCTCCTGTCACAGACATGCCCATGCCCAGCTTCTTCCATTTCGCCTTTGGCTCGAGAGCCAGCGACATAAACCCGGCCGGAGTGTATACATAGAGGACATTTTGATGTATGAGGGTACAGTGGTCCTTGAGCTCGAACGGGGGTTTCGGAGAAGGCATGACTGCGGTCCTAATCTCGACGTATGGTTCGGCAAGGGCGAGAAAGTCGGGAATGGGAAAAAGGGACACAACCCGTTATATCAAGACCGCCAGCCAGATGATCTCAAAACACATTCTACCGCCAGCTAGAATGAAAGAACGCAAAAAATGAAGGTGAGTATCCTACCAGAGGTACCGCGTCAGAAGAACGGACAAGTGGTAAGTCGTTGTGTCTGCATCCAGAGGGAGCGAGCTTCGACCGTTTCGAGAGAAGATAGTAAGACTGGCGATAGCTGTGTAGTCGCCAAAGAGCTGGTGGATGCTCAGCACCAACGTCACTCCGTTCAACCGAGTCCCGAGCTTGCGAGCCCTCGTTCTCGTTACAACCGATATGATCTGTACGGCTGGTGGTGGTAATATTGAACGAACGAAAGAACAGGTCGACGACTCACAAAGTCAATAACCTGATGAAGTCAAAAAAGGAGTGTATATACTCGAAAGGCGAGAAAAGGAAGAAACGAAATAACCAACAGCACAGTTTGCAAGAACCGGCAAACGAGAGAGAGACAGAAGAGAGAGGAAGAGGAGAGGGAGGAGAGAGAGAGAGAAAGATCTGTTTGAAGGAAGCGAATGAGACCAGGGGCAGAGATGGGATGTCTCATGCCGCGACGCTCGTACTGCGCAAGGAGTGGCCTCCTCTGAAACGGACCATCAGGCCTTCTTCTGCTGCTTCTTGCTGGTTGTAGCGATCAAGGCTGTCCCTGAGCCGTGTTAAGGGGCGTCAGGCACGCGTATTGTGGATACACCAGACCCTACGTTGATACCGCCCCCAGCCAATAACAACCCAGGAACATGGGTACGGCGGGCCGGTCGGTGGGTTCCCGCGGCCTTCTCCACCAATAGAAACATTATGGAAACCAGGGTGGACCCTTCCTTAACCCCTGCCAAGCCACTCCCGGTAAATTACATACGGGCGCTTGTGTATTTTTCTGTTTTCTTGCCTGGTTTTGTTTTTTTCGACCGATCGCTTGTTTCTTGTATATAAAGGTCGTACGGGGGATGACCTGTTTTTGCCTTGGAGGAAGTATGTACAGAGTGCAGAGTAGAGCCCGGAGTTGCTGATAAATGAAGATGACGAAGAAAAGGATGGGGAGGGGGGAAATGAGGAGCCTTGCTATGTCTAACTCTGGGCTTCCCGGGTTTGCTGCTGCTGCTGCTCTTTCCATCGCCGTGCTGTTGACAACAGGTTCGATATCATGGCGGTCGACTCGTCGTCTGCAGGGAAGATGTAGTCGATGTACTCCTCGAACCTGTCGTCGTCTACCTTGCGCTTCTTCTTTACCTTCCTGGGCATCTGTTTCTCTATCCTGCTGATGTCGTCCGGGGATCCATGCGTGTGCTCAAACGACTTCCATGCATTGAGAAGCGCAACGCGCTATTCAGGAACAACGTGGTTAGCGGGATAAACAATATATAAATAGCAGAGCCGGTCGTGGGCGGGTAGAAAGCTTACCTCTTCTCTCATGTCCTTATCCTTCATCACACGATTCGCCCGCTCGAAGACCTTCCTAGCTCGGCTCTTCGCTTCTTCAGACACCGGCCGCTCTTCGTTCTCATCCTCTTCCTCGTCGCCCTCAGGTACATTGATCTCGAATCGTGCATAGTTGATCCAGACCTTCACGTGGTCTGTCTTCTTCAGCAGTCGCTCGTACAGGCTCCTGGTGCGGTCGTACTCTTCCTCGTACTCCTCAAAATCGATGTAGGCTTTCCACAGCAGCTCCGGCATGTCAAGTGCCGTCTGGTTGATACCGAGTTCATAAATAGCTCTGGCACGCTCCACATCATCGAGACCCCTTTCTAGCTCTGCAAACTTGATCCATGATTCACTCTGCGATGGATTCCACTCAATTTGTTTCTCGAATAGGGTCCGGCACCGTGAAAATTCAAAAAGTTTACGCTCAATGTCAATGTAACCCCGGAATAGTTTGTCCTTGGGGCACATCCCGATGGCCTGTCCCAGCGTCTTCCGGGCCAGCACCAGGTCAAGCTGCCTTATCTCAAACTGAGCTTTCATTAGCCAGATCTTGGCAAAAGTAAACTTCTTGTGTGGGATGAGCTTTAGGCATTCTGTGTATATCTGCCGTGCGCGCTCGATATCTTGGTTCTCCATCTCCTCCCACACGGCGTAGAATATCCAGAGGTAGATGTAGCGTCGCCAGTGCCGTTTCTCCTGCGACGGTGGGATCTGAGCAATCGCTCGTTCGTACGTCTCTCGAATACGGTCCACGTCACCGGACGTCTCTTCCAGACGGGTTAGGTCAAACCACAGATCATAGTTCTTTGGGTTCTCTTTGATCTGTTCCTCATACTGGACCCTCCGCTTAGATAGGATCACGTCCTCGACGCCGACACGGTCACCAAACTGTTTCTCAAACACGGTGTAAGCGCTCTGCAGGGCGGCAGACTTTGACCGGGGTAGTCTGTCGAGAGCGAATTTGTAGATAGCCCTGGCACGTTCGTACTCTTTCAACTTGGTCTCGTACCGCGCATAGGCTATGAAGAGCCTTTCATCCATAAAGTCTGTCCCGAGCGTCTCGACCGCAGTCCCATAGACCTCTCTGACCATGTCACTAGTGGAATTCTCTTCTTCAAACCGCGCCCATTTTATCCAGTTCTTCGTCTCCGGGTGAACGGTAATGAACCGCTGGAAGATCGCCCTTGCACGGTCCAACTCGTTGTACCGTTTTTCCAGCTTAATGTAGGCATTCCAAGCCCCCTCATCTGGCTCCCATGACATCCACCGCTCAAACACCTGTCGAGTACCCGCGATATTCCCCAGCATCTCCTCCATGTACACGTATTTATACCACAGCTTATCCACGCGCGGCAAAATGGTGACGGCCCGGTCAAACAAGTTCCTGGCATGGTTGATATTGCGATTCTTCATCTCCGCCTCTGTATACCGTATCCAAAGCACGACCGATGTAGAGTCAACGTCCAGCGCACGCTCGAATATCGACCTTGCACGGCGAAATTCCTTCTGCTCCAGCTCCCATTGAGCGTACTTCATCCAGTTGTTCATGTTAATCCGGTTGCGGCGAACATAGTCTTCGAATTCCTTGCGTTTGCGGCCCTGGTACTCATGGAGCTCTTCAAGATCTGCAAACCGTTGTGTTGGGGCTTGCAATGAGGGCTCCTGACGGTCAACGGCTTCGCGAAGGAGCTGTTCAGCAGAGATCTGCTGGGGCGCGGCGGCCTTGTTCTTGACCCTTGGAGGGCCACGGGAGGAATCCATGGCTGAGAGTAAGAGTACACCCTCAGAGTATGTCTCTGTAACCGGGGGTATGAGCTCCTGTAGGTGTTTTTGTATTGTTATATTGTCGTTGGTGTCGTAAAATGCTGTTTTCAAGCTGTTGTTTTTCGATATAAAAAAGTTGAAGCTTTTTCGACACGCCAAGAATTTGCAACTTAGGTTGCTAAAGTCCGCCGTTAATTTTTTCTCGACCTTCAAAAGTTGAAAGACGAAGAAGATACAAAAGTGATTTCTTTGCCACGAACACCTACCGGCAGCCTGTCTCTTCTTGATGTTGATATATTGCTAGAGCTGAGCTCAGGACACCATGGCGACCCTTGCAGACGAACTCCTGAATGATTTCGAGGACTCCGGGAGCGAAGTTGGACTCGATGACGTGCAGCTCAAAGACCAAGACGAGCGCGATGGCGATGATGGAGCTACGTTCATACTGCCTGAGAGCGTGGATGAGGGCGACAACGATGAAGAGGGACAGGAGCAGATCGAGAAAACCCAGTTCAAGGGAGTTGCTGATGTCCGGAGCGTTGCGCGCCTCATGGAGACACTGCGGCCCATCTTGGAGGTTAGTATCATGACACTCATGCTGTACAGGAGGCATATCCTAAATGTCGGAGACTAACGGTTTACTGGTTAGAAAATTGCACATTATAAACAGCTACCCGATCGGGAGCAGACAAGGACGGGTTCGGTCGAAGACGATGAAGAGTACCATCTCCTCACGCAGTCCAACTCGCTCTCCACATCGATCGATAACGAAATCATGCTTGTCCACAAATTTATCAGAGACCACTATTCGTTGCGATTTCCGGAGCTAGAGACGTTGATCTCCAACCCGGTAGATTATGCGAAAACCGTTGCCATCTTAAAGAACGGGCCGTTCGACGACATCAAGGCTATGGCATCATCGACAGACAACCTGGTTGGGCAGACATTGCGAGCTATCCTTGACGGCCCATCGTTGATGACCGTTGCCGTGGAAGGGACGACCACACGAGGCAGTCCACTACCTGTAGAAGAACTAGAGTGTGTCCTGCGAGCTTGCGAGATGATGTTCTCCCTTGAGAAGGCGAAGACGGTGCTTACAGAATACGTGCAGTCGAGGATGACCATGTTTGCTCCGAACCTAACGGCTCTCGTTGGATCGTTGACTGCAGCTCAGCTTCTCAACTACGCTGGTGGGCTGACAGGATTGGCCAAAATGCCTTCATGCAACATCTCACCACTAGGTTCTAAAAAGCAGGCCCAATCTGGGTTTGCCACCAACGTTGGAATACGGCACCAAGGCTTCCTCTACCACTCTCCCATCATCCAAGATATACCGAACGATTACAAGATCCAGGCAATGCGTATCGTATCTGCCAAGGTAGTGCTTGCAGCTCGAGTGGACAGGGTGCACAGCAGCCGTGACGGCTCGACCGGAGAGCAGCTAAAGCAAGCCTGTCTCGAGCGGCTGGACAAACTCACTGAGCCGCCACCGAATAAGGGCACCCGTGCTCTTCCCGCGCCGGACGACAAGCCGTCAAGAAAACGAGGCGGTCGACGTGCGAGAAAAGCCAAAGAAGCGACGGCGATGACAGATCTACGCAAGGCCCAGAACCGTCTAGCGTTCGGCAAGGAGGAGAAAGAAGTAGGCTACGGGACGGGAGAAAGCACCAAGGGTCTCGGTATGCTCGGACAAGAGAACCAGGGACGCATCCGTGCCGCCCAGATCGACCCCCGAACAAAGGCCAAACTCAGCAAATCGAACAAGGGCTGGGGCACTGCCACTCCAGCGCCGGGCCATGCATCCTCTCTCCATAGGTTGGGCAGCACCCCCGGGAACGCATCGGTGTTGAATACACAAGGTCTCCGTACAACCGGCGTCGGTCCCGTCGCGGGCTCCGGTACAGCCAGTAGCATCGCCTTCACGCCCTTCCAGGGCCTCGAGCTGGTCGACCCCAAAGCCCAGGCAGAGCTAAAGAGGAAACGGGCCGCCGAAGAAGACCGATGGTTCAAGAGCGGAACCTTCACGCAAGTGGGCAACCAGTCGAGCACCACGTCTGACTCCGGCTTCAAAGTCCCACGCCTACCGGCCAAGACTGCTCCGGGAGGACCAATGGGGCCTCCTCCGAAACCCGCTCAGTGAACAAGACTCCATCTAGAGAACAGCTTCCCGCCAAAACCCCTGCATTAACAAGATAGACACCCTCTGACCTGTCATCACAGATCCAAGTCGACATCCGAATCAGGCAGAAGAGACATGCACCACCGCCGGTAAGTAACCGAGCGTATGACTTTATTCTTTCTCTTCCGCTTCTTCTCCTTTAGTACATCGCCTATACCGCACCGGTTCATCCACGAAGACGGGCCCTTCAAAACACCAACTCGCAGCGCTGACCAGCCACTACCAAGGCTGGGGATAATGTCAGCACTTCCTCTCAGCCGTGATTAGAATGCAGGCAATCAAGGGTCTGATTGGATACGAGCCAACAAACATACGGCGCTTCTCTCTGCTTCCATCTCCTCCCGCCGTCTCGACGTTTCGATCAAGTCTGTCCATGTATATCCAGACTGCAGATGTACGATAGTAACAGCTACATACTCCTCGACAGATACAATTAAACCAGCAATCTTCTTCTTCTTCTTCTTCTTCCTTTTCTTCTTGATATAAAACATGAAGTCGAAAAAAAGAAAAGCGGAAAATCTTTCGGTCCGAGTTTTCTTCCTTTTTTCCCCCACTTCGGAGACTTTGATAAATTCGACCTAAAAAAGGTCGAAGCCGACTTTCTCTTCTTCTTCTTCTTCTTCTTCTTCTCTTCTCTTCTTCTCTTCCTTACAATCAACATCTTCACCTTCGTCTCTTCATTCTCGTCTACAGCATCAGCTTCATCTGCTTCTTCACCATCAAGTCCGGTTCATCAGTTTCAGCTACACCCCCACCATGGCTGCTCCCGCTACCAAGTTCAAGGTCGCCGACATCGTATGGCATCCCTCCCCCCTTCACATCCATTCTACGGTAAAATGTGATGGTCAGCCCTGGCTAATTGTCACTTCCAGTCCCTCGCTGCCTTTGGGCGCCGCGAGATCGAGATCGCCGAGATCGAGATGCCCGGCTTGATGGCCATCCGCAAGAAGTATGCTGCAGACGCCCCATTGAAGGGTGCCAGAATCGCTGGGTGTCTCCACATGAGTACGTCTAGCTGTTGAGATGATGCTAGTCATGGTGATGAGGATGCAGAGCTGACGGTTAGATAGCCATTCAGACTGCTGTGCTCATCGAGACCCTCACTGCTCTAGGTGCTGAGGTTACCTGGTCCAGCTGCAACATCTTCTCTACCCAGGACCACGCTGCTGCCGCCATTGCTGCCTCTGGTACCCCAGTGTAAGTGCCCTCTGGCCAATTGCTGTTCCTTGCTGCTTTATCTCTAACAAGGGTATAGCTTCGCCTGGAAGGGTGAGACTGAGGAAGAGTACGAGTGGTGCCTTGAGCAGCAATTGATTGCCTTCAAGGACGGAAAGAAGCTCAACCTCATCCTCGACGACGGTGGTGACTTGACCTCTCTCGTTCACAAGAAATACCCAGAGATGCTCAAGGACTGCTACGGTGTCTCTGAGGAGACCACCACCGGTGTCCACCACCTCTACAAGATGATGAAGAGCGGTGAACTCCTTGTTCCTGCCGTCAACGTCAACGACTCTGTCACCAAGTCCAAGTTCGACAACCTCTACGGATGCAGAGAATCTCTCATTGACGGAATCAAGCGTGCCACCGACGTCATGATTGCCGGTAAGGTCGCTGTCGTCGCTGGTTACGGTGACGTTGGCAAGGGCTGCGCCGAGGCTCTCCGCAGCATGGGTGCCGCCGTCATCGTCACCGAAATCGATCCCATCAACGCCCTCCAGGCTGCCGTTGCCGGTTACCAGGTCCTCACCATGGAGGAGGCCGCCCCCAAGGGCCAGATCTTCGTCACCACCACCGGTTGCCGTGACATCCTCACCGGCGAGCACTTCACCGTCATGAAGAACGACGCCATCGTCTGCAGTAAGTATTCCATTATCACGTACTTTACATACATAATACTGACATCAGACTAGACATCGGTCACTTCGATATTGAGATTGACGTTGCCTGGCTCAAGGCCAACGCCAAGTCTGTCCAGAACATCAAGCCACAGGTCGACCGCTACCTCATGCCTTCCGGCAACCACATCATCCTCCTCGCCGAGGGACGATTGGTCAACCTTGGCTGTGCCACCGGCCACTCTTCCTTCGTCATGTCCTGCTCGTTCTCCAACCAAGTCCTCGCCCAGATCCTCCTCTTCAAGTGCAACGACCCCGAGTTCGGCAAGAAGTACGTCGAGTTCGGCGCCACCGGAAAGCGTGAAGTCGGCGTCTACGTCCTCCCCAAGATCCTCGACGAGCAGGTCGCTTTCCTCCACCTCGAGCACGTCAACGCTAAGCTCTCCAAGCTCACCACCAAGCAGGCTGAGTACCTCGGCCTCGACGTCGAGGGTCCTTTCAAGAGCGACATGTAAGCATTCCATTACTCTCCTATCCCTTCGTAGCAGTCGACGTCCATTGCTAACTCTTTTACAGCTACCGCTATTAAGTTATGGGAACGTAAACATGGGAGCGTGCTTTTTTGCTTGGCTTAGCTGATTTTTATTTCTTTCCTACTCCGTTTATTCAACATCAAAAAATTAAGGGCAAAAGGGCACTGGTATGGTATATGTCATATAGACTTAATTTCAACATCTCGAAACGAATAATGCACGTCACGCCAAAGATGCGTGGAGGCTATCTCATTACCGGCATTAGTTTAGCGTCAGAAAATGCAACATGATAATGATCAAGCTCCTTCCGCTGCGTATATGCTTTTCAACGAGGTCGAAGGGAGCCACTTCGTCTAATTCTTATCTACGTTCCCTTCATTGTATACGTGTTTACTACCCAGGGCCTTAGATACAACGAGCAATGGAGATTTTATAATTATTATTACTTTTCAACCTACTTAGTACCTAACTAGCCTCCTGTGTAGTTGCTTATTAAGTGCCGTGCCTTGCGGAACAAGTGGTCGGCGGGTATATTTATACTAAAGAACGTCCAAGGTTAACACTTATAACCACAGAAACTAACCATATTAACCATCCCGCCGGCCAAGATACTATGTCTCTCTCTAAGCCCAAGATCCTTAACTTTGTTACTGGAAATATGAGGAAGTTGGCAGAAGCTAAAGGAATTCTAGGAGATACAGTTATACTTACAAGCCAAGCTATCGATATTCCAGAAATTCAGGGTTCATTGGAAAAGATTGCGCGGGACAAATGCCAGAAAGCAGCTAATGCGGTATAAGCACATTCCGATTGCCCCTATAAATTAACAGTCCTTGAGACCTTAATATTTACGTCTATCTTTACATAGGCGCAGAAGCTGCAGTGAGATAGGGCAGGATTATGGGATCGGGGCGCACTCACTTTTACCACTCTCACTCGATCCGGTCGAGCAGCTTCAGCAACTTAGACGCATACTATCTGTACTAAAGCAAGCTCTCGCCAAGGGTATTCATCTAGTTAAGGTAGAATTCTGGTGGGTGCTCGTTGTCCGCCAGCAGGTCAGGTCATTGGCAGCTTTCTGCTCACCATCGTATATTCGTCTCCGTCACCACCCGGTGTTGGAATAAAGATAAGATGTTGGACGTCGACATCTGCAGGGGAATCACGTGTTTAGTGAGTCACGTGCACTGTCCTTCGCATCTTCTACATCTCATTCTACGTGATGTTCTATCGTATACGCATCGCTGCAAACAGTTTCGACCCGTTGCAACACGTAGGGTCTTTGGCTCTGTCCCATCAGCCTTCTCCCAGTCCCACTGAGCTGCCCTGAACACCCCTCTCTTCATCCACAGTGCCAGAGAGGGCGTTAGATGTCAAAGATAACCAGTCTCTCTGCCACCAATCAGTGCAGGCTCGCCTTTTTGGCCGAATGGCAGATTCTGACATTATATCATCGACTAGAGGACTTGCCGCTTTATGGAAAAGGAGGCCGTCTTGACTGTCGAAGACGTTCAACGTCCCATCAATCTACTTTGCTTTATTGTCGGAAGCAAAAGGAGATGCATCAACACCACAAGGCCAGGCTGGTGATGGCATCCAATTCACAGGCTGTCTAAGAAATGTCGTCACTGCTACTGACTTAAAACCGTGGATTGAGGGCGAAGATGGCCCAAGAACCAAGATGACAAACGTACCCGCAGTTCCGACGCGTTGACGCCGTTTTCCCTTTACGAGCCGTTGTTTATTTATCTTCTCCGGAAAAAGGACGAAGGAACACAGAATAACGCATATATATGATGTAAGTGTCTCGAGGATGGCATCGTTCTTCTTTGCCATATTGTCAGCGTCGAAGAACAGTCAATCTCCCGTTCAACAGTTCCTTGCCAGCTGCAAACATATCTCGAACTATGTTGAACGAAGCTTTCATTACCACTACGTCATTCCATGGTAGAACCACTATATAATCATCTAACTTGGCCGGATGCTGACCTCCATTTTTTCCATGATGGTTCCTCTTCCAGCACTCAACTATAAAGTGGACGGTAAATTCCCATCATCATCATTAGTTAGAGTGCCTTAACACATAAGGATACTAATGACTTGTATAGCTATGGATTTTACTTTAATCGGTGAAGGTGGCCTTCCCCGTCCTCCGACCGAGAGGGAGCGCACTCTATTATCTCACCTCTTCCCATCGCAGTTTGGTTTCTGCATCGATGGCCCCTTTCTCGTTGTCTATGTGAGCGAGTTACCTGCCAGACCTTGGCCTCGTTTGGTAGCTGGTCTTCCTTTATATCTCGCAACAACAGCGTTTGAGTCCCCACTGCCTGTAGGTGGTCTGGGAATTGTCAGGTGGAGTGTTCTTGATGATCTCGACGCAACGAATACATCCTCCCAAGCGTTATATCAAGCGGTCATTGATTTCTTTGAGAGTAAGGGAGTTCAAATCCAAGAGATCCAGTGGATGTTTGGCTGCTGGAGAATTGTTGTACCCGAAGGCACAGGGATATCAAGCCTCCCGGGTAGAATCTGCCGCATAGCCGCGTTTTATTTCTCCAAAGGCTACCGTCATAATATTCCCCCAGTCGAGCTCGCACTACGTAACAAACAGCCTACGAAAGACAACCCAGACGATTCCCCATATTCAATAATTCGGCCGGGGGTAACTGTAGCTTCCAAGGAGTTTCTCACGACCGCAGGAATCTTCGTGGAAGACGCTCATAAGACTATCTTTCTGACTGTGGCTTCGCATGGTTTCCCTACAGCCAATAGCGCGGTTTTTCATCCACAGACAAACGGGAGGCATATCGGAGACGTCTCAAAGAGGATAGAAGATTCCGGTATTTCACTTGTCAAGCTCAAGGAAGACGTTAAGTTTGAGAACCACAGCTTTCAAAGCGATATTGAACCGCATGGAGTCATGCTTAAATCAATCAAAGACCCTTTCGCAGTCCGTCGGTTTGAGACTATTTCTATGGATACGCCGTTTAGCGGTCCTGTTGACGGCCAGTTTCTGACAGTAAACATGGTCTCATTTCCTGAGAAGAACTGCAAAGCTAGACGATGGGTTAAGCAAGGGTGGGTCTGGTTTGGGCAAGACCCGAAGGATATACCTCCGGCTGGCAGCTGTGGATCGGCGATATGGGACTCTGAGGGTAATATCATATGCTTCTTTCGATATCTTAGCGATGACAGTATCGGGATTGGGGTTGCGGCGTACGAACTACTGGAAGAGGGTTATTCGCTCTGCAGGACTGATAAGGCGCGGCTGTCATTCTAAACATAGGTGCCTGTACCAAACCCCTAGCTATAGTTGGGACCCCTTTGGCTATAACCGTACTTTAAAATAATATTACTACACTCCTTGTATTAACATCAGTTAGTCAAGGCCTCTCGACTTATATGAATAGTAAACCAAGGATAGGCTCAAAAGACCATGATCACTCTTGTTCCTAGTGCAATTATTAAAGGACTAGATACTAACTTGTAAGAGGGGTCTTCGCAGAGCACCTCTCAGATACTTAGAAACCGGTTGAACGGTAGACATACACATTGAATGGTCGATGGAGATCTTAGGCATAAGTATCAGCTTGCTTGTTGCAGCCATTACGGAGAGAGCACAGTGTTTAGTAGTCATGTTGTCATATATCATGTTCTATCTCGTCGTATGGTTGATTGTATAGTGGTTGTGCTTAGTAGAGAGCTGGTATATTGCAATACATGCCAAGTCTGATACTGAACTGGTCAACAGGAACTCATGGCGTCAAACCTATTCCTTATACTAGCAGGCCACCGAATTAATACTCTCTGCCGAGAGCATCCTGGGCATGTTCATGAGCCTGGCGCTTCACCTTCTCCCTATCAATGAAATCAAGGCCTTTGGTCTCGATGATGCGATCGGTAAAGGCCCCGGCGAAACCGGCGAGGAGCTCCTTGGCTTTAGCGTGACTCTCGGGCTTCCCTGTATACGCCATTAGCCCCTGATCCTAACGCTAGGACTGATGGTTCTTACCGTTCCTCTGGACATGCTCTTCATATGCTTTTGCTGCCTCGTAGGCAGCTGCTCCAGCAATCAGCTCATGAGATAAGGAAGCCTTGTGTGGGGCATTCATGACCTCCTCATGGGCACTGGCATGGTCGGAGAAGTCTAGTGCCATTAGATCCATCCATTCTACTAGCCTTCAATTGGGGGAGATATCATACTCTCGAAGAAACCCATGTTTGCTGTGTTTTAGAAATAGCTTGGAGAAGAATATGGTAGACGGAAGGGGGTAGTGTTTGGTATTCAGTTTGACAGCAATGTGAACAAAGAGGGGTAGAGCGAGGTATTTATAAAGATATCCTGCCACCAATTGATGCCGTCCGTGATATCCGAGCGGGTCCCTCGATTCCCATCTCGCCTGTGTTTGGGCAACGGGTCCTAAGTTTTGGAGAGGGGCAATGATGTTATTGCTATGTATGCCTCAAACAACCTCAACTTCTGCAAGACGTAATCTCTGCATAGCAGCAATCCACTAGATGCCTGTAGAATGGCAGCAACAGCATGGAATGGTGGTGTGGTGGAGTAGGTGGTGTCCTGAGCACAGAGCTAAGCACCACGCTAGTGACTAGTCGCTCCACAGAGCATTGCTTAGTTCCCTTCGTGATGTAAGCTATTGTGGCGAACGCAACTCCACCTTTCAGATGCATATGTAAATGGGACGGGTCTGAGATGGGAAGCAGTGGCGGTGAGTTATCTTTTTGATGATCCGAAGGTCGTAACTTTTCAACGTATCAAGTTCCATTGCGGAGAATCATGACCAGAGTAGTTGCTTGTCATTTGGCTATATTGCAAGCCAAATACCTCCGTTAACATGTTTCTTCGGCAGTTAAACTTCCTGCTCTCGTTACAAGAACGAACCAGGGGTTTTCTTGACTAACTTTAACAGGTACAGATTCTTTGATCCAATCCTTGTATTGCTCTAACATGTTCGGCCGTTTCTTCGAATCAATGGAGAATACTGTTATACAGTATCCCCACAATGTATCGGTTCCTGTCCTTACACTTGCGTAGCTAAAAACTGTTGTGGTTCCAAAAGAAGCTCTTCGTCACTCAGGCCAAAGAGCTCTTTAAAAAGAGCTTCGGTCTCATTGAAGAAAGCTATAGACTTCACAATGATGTCAGGGATTAGTGAAGGATTATTTCCAACCCCATGTGGCAGCCATAAACCAAAGGGTGGCGGTGAATATCCAGAACGCATCTTCGGGTCACAGTTAAACGTGACGACGCCATCATTTTGACTCAGCAAAGCGTGTAGTTCAGTATCAAGCAGTGGGCCAAGCATACCGGTGTACCGAATAGTCTCGAATAGCCGAGCTGGATCAGCACATCCTCGTGAAATCATCACTGCGAGCCAATGAATTGGAAAGCTTAAGCTATAATTGAAGTTATATGGCGCCAAAAGATTGGCTTCGTACGGCCCTTCAAAGCACAGCAATAGCGACACAACTTGGCTAAATCCATGTGGTGCAGTGTAGAAGTTTATTGGATGTTCCAGGCTGGTCTCAAGATCGAGGAAACCTCTCTCACAGAGGATGAGGAATACATCCCATACCGCAGATTGCACCCTACCCCTATAATAAAGTGCTCGTAGTATCTCTGCGTAAGGAGGCTGGCGACGTTCCAACCTTCCCAGAATGGGACCATCATCCATCAGTGCGCTATCAAAATCGCACTTTGATGCTGCTGACTGGATGTGATCCTGAATTCTCCTAACCAGCGAGCTACTGGGTGGTACCATATTCCTTCGCATTTGTTGCATCAGCCGGACATCCAGCGTAGGCCATTCCAAGCGTCGTCTTCTGTGGGCAGTCTCTCTGAGGAAAACAACATCAACATGATCACGTAAGACCAACTCTTCCAACAAGGTTACTGAGGCCTGTATCTCTGGGGACAAGTAAGAAGTGTAGGTCTCAGCTTGGCGCCCTAGGAAAGAGGTTAGGGTCATTCTTCGCATTGCCTCTCTCAAAAAATTGTCATACTGAGCAATAGTAAGCTGCGGAGAGCCTTGCTGAGGGAGCCATGGGAGGTGAACCCGAGCCAAGGACTGGATGAAGGGCTGCGAAAACCTGAAGTTCCTTATACGGTTGCTGACGGACCGGGTGGCAGAAAAATGCTTTTCCTCTGGGCCACAAGCGGCAACTGCATACCGAGCTATCTGGCCACTGGCTCTGATCGCGTTGACCAATTTTCCAGAGTAGCAGTGCGACCCAACCACATTTACCTGACAGCCCCTGGGAAACTGTGAGATTAAATCTACCACCGCAGAGGTGGTTAGACGTTTTGTTCCAAGGCAGACATTCCCGTTAACATCGCCGTGTGTTTGAAAAAAGATGTTTACCACATCATTTTCTGCCACTCCATGAGCCTTGTACTGGATCCAAGTCGTAACCTTTTCAAGTATATCCTTGGGGTGAACATACTCAAACCACTTGTCACTTCTTGTCACCCACTGTGTTTTTGAGTAAGTATACAAGGGAGTCCGGTTTGGTCCAAATTTACCCCATTTGATATCTGTGATTGGAGGGTTTCTCATCGCGAGCTGGTCAAAAAGTTCGTCCAGAGGAAAGCAAGAAAGATAAGTGCCTTCTGCGTCCTGGGTAGCATATCGGAGGGTCATTGAAATCCCCATAAAATCTGAGAACATGGCCGCATCAGCAGCGGATTCCGCATCGTAGGGACCACAGACCACAAAATTATACATTTTCCCTTCTCTAGGGCAACTTATATTAGGCAACGCTTTCGTGCCAGCACCAATCTGTGGCCGAGGCTTATTACGGCCTATTGGGTGTCAGAAATGTAGCTGTTAATTGTCATAAGGTAAACTATTCACTACTCACCTGCTGAGGCAGAGCGTCTCAGTTGCTCCATTTCTTCCGTCTTGGATATTGGGAACTTGAAGCTGAGTCGAACTTAGAAGGTTGAGGATGAGAACGACTAGAACATACTTCTGAAGAATGGCTGGTAGAAACAAGTTAGAGCTAAGGGGGAGAGCGCCAGATTATCCGGGTATGAAGTCCTAAGGATAGAGGTGAGAATGACGAAAGGAGGGGCGGAAGAAAGAAGGGCCTTTTAGAGAAAAAGGAGAACACCGGATCTTTTGCTGTTCCTCTTATTCACCCAAATTTATTTCTTTGAAACATAGTGAATGACGGCATATCATGTGAACCATCTTTGAGTGATGATGGGTATCTGGTATACGGATCCATGGTTACGGAGTGTTGAGTTACAGGAGAGCATAAAACCAGCATTACTCTCAAGTGATTAGTGTTGGAGCAGTATAAGGATATTATAACTAATATTCAGGCAGCTTCTCTAGCGTCAAGAACATAGTCCAATGCCATCTCAATAATAGTTAAATATCAAGTTTATATCAAATCATTGACTTGTCGTTGATTTTGACGGTCTTGGCTTGAAACCTTAATTTATATTGACCCTTCGAGAACTTTTTAGATGAATGACAGTGAGCTCGCATGTAAAGGGTTTGAAATGAAACATTGAATAGATTGAGCTGAGCCCTTGACCTACGCCGTAGTTAATGAAGAGTTTGCCCCGGACTGACTTTTTTTCATTATACAAGTGCTTCCCGACAAGTGCTCAATCAACTGAGCCAGAAAATGAAAACAATGTATGGAACGTTAATAGTACATAGTGGCAAGAGTGAGAGAGTAAAGTAGAACTGATATAGCAGAGACCAGACAGCCATGGAACGTCGTAGCTAGAGAGAAAAGACCAACTTCTACCGGTCTCGATGGCTGGCCTGTTCGAATCCACCCAGGACACTTTCAGCTACATTGCCATGGCCCGTTCCGGAGGTGTCCGTCGAGTTATTCTCTCCGGCTTCAAAGTTGGTAGCCTTGCTTGTAGCAGTGTGCGCATTGAAAGTAGTTTCCTTTTGGGCGGTTGACTCACCAGCCTGGAGGGCCTTCGCAGCTATCGTCTTGGCCTGTCCCTCCGAGACTTTTCCATAGACAGCCATCGCACTGGCTATCATACCGCCCATATCACCGACGTTACCAGGTACAACAACAGCCGTACCTTCCTTTGCAAGTTTGGAGAAGGCATCGACGTACTTCTCAGCTACAGAAAGGCTAATTGCTCCACGAGCGGCTTCCTGGCCTTCCTGGATAGCTGCTGCAACAGCATCGATTCCACGGGCGGTGGCCTCAGCCCTCAAGCGGATAGCTTCAGCCTCACCCATGGCCTTGTTAATCTGTTCTGCCTTTATGGCCTCGGAGGCAAGGATGACTGACTGTTTACGACCTTCTGCGATGTTGATTGCACTCTGTCTTTGACCTTCGGAGTCTAGGATCTCGGCACGTTTCGATCTTTCCGCCGTTACCTGGCGGTGCATCGCTTCCACAACTCCCTCAGGAGCGTGGATGTCTCTGATCTCGTACCGGAGACAGGTCACACCCCAGTCCTGCGCGGCCTCATTGATGGCTTGTGTTATATTCGTGTTTAGAACCGCACGCTCCTTCAGGACATGGTCCAGTGTCAGTTGACCGATCTCAGATCGCATCGTCGTCTGTGCCAGCTGAGATATCGCATATTCAGCATCCTCCACGCCGTAACTGCAGAAAACCTGCATTAGCCGGTTTGCTCTGGCCCAGACATTGAAATTAAGCAAGTACCAACCTAGCTTTATAAGCGTCAAAGACTCTGGTATACAGCACGCCGTCCAGTTCCAAGGTCACGTTGTCTGCGGTAATAGCATTCTGGCTTGGGATCTCGATAGCTGCCTCCTTCAAACTCTTCACGTATGCGATCCTATCAAGGAATGGGACGAGAATAGCCAGCCCGGGCTCGAGAATCCGGTTAAATTTCCCCATCCGCTCTACTATCCATGCTGTCTGCTGAGGCACAAATCTGATTATCGTGTTTGCGGGCAACGAAGGGCGGTTGGAAAAGTAGGTCGTGGGAGTGCCCATGGGCGGCGATCCACCGGCACCCAGGCCAAAGAAGGGCCCATGGTTAGGGTCTGCTGTCCGTCGTGGTGTTGAGCTGAAGTGCCGCCTTGTGATGGGATGGGAGGTTGTAGCCAGCGAGGCAAGGTAGGAAGGCCGCCGCAGTAGTAGTTGAGACTCAAGGGCGCGCCGCCGTAGTATCGATCTGGAGGCCACCTCCATGATGTCGAGATGTAAACACGATCACTCTCTGTAGCTGTATTTACTATAATATCATCATCAGCTTCAAGCTTCTCTTCTCAACTTTGAAGTTTGCTTCCATGCGGAATAACAATTTTCCCATACAAATAATGAGGTCGCCTTTCACGTCCACTACTTCAACATCTATAATAACAATCCATAGATGAGCACACCATGTCTTAACTATGATGGATTATCCCCTATTTCCCTTCTTCCTTACGAACTGACAAGAAGACTGACAATGAGATTGCAGACTCGCGAGATAGACATCAAGTGGCCGTCATAAGTTCGACGTATCAAGTTTACGCCTGAATAGTCAACTGCATAAATAAGTACAGATGAGTACTTAAATGGCCAGAAGGAAGACGGACTGCATCTATGAGACGCCATGCTTACAATAGAGAGTCTCTTCAAGTGCTCCGACCCAAGGAATGATATGCAAGCCATCGTCGACTGAGATGATGCTGGACGATGCAGAGTTTCACAACTCGCGAAGAAAAGTCTATCAATATGATATAAACCACGGTATACATGTCTATCACTCGGTCCTACATACAGAGTGCCACGTACAGAAGCCATCGTGATGCAAGGGGCAAGACAACTTTGGCTGATCGTCTCTGCTCTGCCCTACCTTTATATCCAATATCAAGCCGCCTCCCCTGTCCGCCCATAATACAACGCAGCCTTGGCCGTAATATGCGTGGCTCAAGCAGGTTATACAGACAGACGCTATCAGGTATTAACTATCTCTAAGACGATCATCGATAGAAACATGCAGTCAACTGCATAACAATCACCGTGCCCTATTTTTTAGAATCGATATCACAAAATTACTTGGAAGGCCAACTTGGCTCCCCTTGCGTATAAATACCACCGACAACCTGCCCAATTCTCTGGTAGCCTATTTACTCTTCCATCAACACGCAAGCATCATCTTGACTCTGCCTTTTTATCTCTCACAAACAACTAGTTAATACCCAAAGCAAACTCAAACCATGCGTCTCCTATACTGGATTGCGGCCACCTTGCCTTTGGCCTCTGCTGTCCCCGTCGCCCCTCAGGATAAAACCCTGACTAGAGGGTCAAACGTCGTAAGTCTGCTCATAAGAAATAAGACTCGGACAGCTTTGGCTAATACTTCTACCTTGCAGCACCCCAGACAACTCGGCAACGTCCTTACCCTCGCCAAGGGCGACGACCCCATTAGCAAACTCCTTCGAAACTACAGCGGCGGCTCTCTCAGTAGCCGTGACATGGCTTCAAAGCACGAGCCAAGAGGTGCCGCAGGGCCCCTTGACAGCATCACAAACACCCTTGCAGGTCTAACTGGCAAAGGCAGCGTTTCAGGTTTATTAAACAGTGGCTCGAAATAAAGCGAGATAGATGGGTGGAAATGAGGCCTCCTCCATAACTCTCTAATCTTCTGCTTACCATGTACTTTATACCGTGTTCTTGTTGGTTGGACATTGCTATGGCTCAGGCTAGGGGCACTTCTGGACTTCATGGTTTACACATACTCACAGCGAGGTCAATCTTCTTTGTACTTAAATCGACTATACGATTATACAATAATAGTTAATACATCACTAGATCCTCCATCTATCAATTGATCAACCCATAGAATTGGTCTCTTATCAGTTAAGTTGACTTGCCGGCTCCATCAGGTGACATCATCAAGCCTGAACTGCAACGCCGTAAAATAAAAGAAAACAACCAACCCGCCTCCCATCAGTAAGGAAGTGCTTAACATCCAAGGACAGGATGTCATTCCCAAGCAGCGCCTCACAAACACCGCTTCAGAACCCAAGCACGCCGCCGCCTCCGCCGCCCAAACAGCCACAGCTAAACAACGAGCCGCTCCAGCTAGCCAACCCGCCCTCCACCCCTCCGAAGGAGCCTTTACACTCGCAAGCACAGCTCGACAGCGATACAGGAGTCACCACGGGTACAGTCTCAGGCCCAGGATCAGGCCGGTCATCTACCATTCCGAACCAGCCTATATTCGAGCAGACACAGCCCAATCCACCGACGATAGAAGACAGATGGATTCCAGACATATTACATGATAAGTCGTACGAAAGCCCCTTTCCCTAGTGGAAGAAGCAATAGGCAATTGACGAGTATACATTCCAGGACAACGGATTTACATGCCTTACTATCTAATCCGTCCTTACTCTCTGCGCTAGCAAACACCCATCCAGCAGCAACGTATGCATCAGCCAACGTGGAAAAACTGATAGCGACAAACACCTCTCTTGCCTCACACCTACTAGAGCTGCAGTCTCATCTGTCTGCACTCCGAGCGTCGACTGAGTCATTACTCCTACAGCATCAGTCGCTCGAGGTCTCGTGGCGCAAGAAGCAGACGGAAATGGACGCTGCGTTGGATCCGTGGTCGCCCAAGGCGTTGTACCAGCGTCTTGTGGGTGCGGTGGCGGAGCAGGAGGCTGTCTGTCGGGCCGTGGAGGAGAGCTTCTTGGAGGAAGAGCAGCGTGGTGGAGGGCTGGCGGGGGAGAGGGAGGTTGCGGAGTGGGTTAGGCGGATTAGAGCTGAGGGAGGGAAGTTAGAGGCCAGAAGGGAGGCGAGAGCGCGGTGGGATGAAGGGAGAGTAGGAGGGTGGAGGTAGTTTATATAGAATAATAATATTATTTTATTTTGTAATATATTAATATATAGCTCTAACCTGGGTATTTATGCATGTGACTCTCCATGTGCAGTTTATGTTAGAGATGTATGATTAGATATTAAATATATTCAGGTCACTGGGGAAGAGCTTCACCGCTCCTGTGCTGGTGCTCATCCATGGCGCACCCATAGGTTGGGAAGCCTACACCAGCAAAAAAGGCAAGGTGTCTGCTCCTTGGACCCCATGCCCAACCCGCACCGGATGTAAGAGGGATGTGATAGAGACTGAACCCAATCCAGGCGAACAGTGTACCCAGCACGGAGCCAAAGAGGATATCAAAGCCAAAGTGCCGGTTATCTACCCACCGACTGCTGGCAATGAATACAGCAGTACAGATGGGTATGGCAGCAATAAGGAGGAGGTATGTCGGTGGTGCTGCGCCTTGCTCGCGCAGTGGAATTGTGTCGGACGAGGACGAGGTGTGAGGGGTCTCTTCGTCTTCTGGTTGTTGTTGGAAAGAAGCAGCACGAACGTGTCGGGTGAAGTGAGCTGGCGAAAGGTTGGGGAAGGCAATGAATAGTTTCGAGGATACCCAAAGTGTTAGGTAGACTAGACCAGCGAAGGAACCTAATACATCGCGTTAGTACAAGAGGTATTAGCTATGCGAGCGAAAGGCACTTACTAGATGAATGCCCGCTCGGGAAGCTCACAAACCCGTCTCGCAGCAGTCTCGAAGACGTGTTGCGACATATCGTCCAAGTGACCAGCTCCGGAGCACCTTCAAGCCTCTGTCCCAGCCCACTGACGACATGGCTGGCAATGTCAGATAGGTCAGGGTCACATCTGCTCAACATGTCCGGCCTGGGCTTCCCAAAGAGCACCTTCATTCCCTCAGTCGCCGCATAGGTGCAAGCGTAAGCCACTCCGAGCCCCATCCACCCGGCATTCCACTCCCACAGCTTGCGACGCCATATCAGGGAGGTAGGCGTGCCTGCAGCCGCCGACCTGCCGGGTATGAAGAGCAAACTAAACAGCGCAATCAGGACGAGAGGGGCAACCAATGTGACTAGCACAAGCACGGTGACGGAGACAGTCTCCTTGGCGGCAAAGGGATATGATATATTAGGGTCTCGTAGACTAAACGAGTGTCTGTTTGGCTGGGCTATGGCGAATATGCGACCCAGCGCGCCCATCAACCTGGAACAGAGTCAGCAATCTGTACATTCTACCGTCCAAGCTCATAGACAGGAGAACAAACAAGATGACGATCCAGTCGACTACATAGGAGAGGACGACCAGCTTCGAGACGCGGCCTGCGGTTGGCGTGCGATCAGAGGATCCCATCAAGGCTTGGAATCCATCTACCAGGGGTCGCATTGGCAGGGTTCAGTCGCGTGAGCTGGCAATCGTTTAATAAGACAGGGATTATATCGATCGTAGATGGTGATGTATATGCGACTCAACGTGTGTTATTATTCTAAGTCAATGAGCAGCCAGAGCATCGCAACATTAAATAAGAAGAAGAAGAAGAAGATCTAAATCCCGATCGGGAAGTGGTGTGACGTGGCATACGTAAGCGGCTTATTTAACCTTAAACGGATATTTTGGTGCATGAAGAGAAGAAGTACATAAGACGAGTCAAGATCAGAGACGATCAACTACATAGACTAGTAAATATCAGAGAAGATCAACTAGTCAAGGTCGGAGAAGATCAACTACACTAGTCGAGGTCGGAGAAGAACTTGTAGTTAAAAGCCTCGCTGGAGTTGTTGAAGCGCCTTTTCCTGTCCATCTCATGCAGCAGCTGGACGTCCTCTGCCTCGAGCTCAAAGTCGGACTCGAAGTTGGCCTTGATGCGTTCCTCCGTCTTGGACTTGACCAGCACCGAGTGGCCCTCGTTGATTCCCCAGGCTGACAGGTTAGCTACCATCATACAGATAGATAAGAGTGTGGGACATGGGCCAGACGTACAGAGAGCGACCTGCGGTGGTGTCTTGTTATACTTCTTCCCGATGGCCGTGAGGACAGGCGCCTCGAGCAGCTTGCCATCCTGCTGGTAGGTCTCGTTCTGGTTGCCGAGAGACGAGTACTGCGTGACATGGATGCCCTTGGCCTTCAGGTAGGCGACGAAGGACGGCTGCTGGAGCCACGGGTGGAGCTCCAGCTGGTGAACGGCCGGGACGATGGTGGTGTTTTGCAGCAGCCGTTCGGTCTCAGCCTTGGAAAAGTTGGATATTCCGATGGCTTTGGTCTTGCCGGCGTGCACCAGCTTCTCCATCGCCTTGTATGTCTGCTGGGCCGTTAGTCTGTACCAGGCAAACTTAGATATATAGAGAGAGAGGGGAAAGGAACATACATCTACATAGTCGATGTCTGCCGTCTTCATTTTTCCGGCGCCGTCTTTGGGGAAAGGCTCGTCCCCTGGTGCAAAGGCGACAGGCCAGTGCATCAGGAATAGATCGAGATGGTCGATCCCCAGGTTCTTCAGGCTGGCATCGATCGCCTTCTCGACATCCTCAGGCTTGTGCTTGTTGTTCCACAGCTTGCTGGTGATGAAGATCTCCTCTCGCGGGACGCCAGACTTCTTGATAGCCTTGCCCACCGCTGCCTCCGTGCCGTAGCTATGATTTGACAGTTATTAATACTGACTAGCTTGTTCCTCTGTTTCCAGCGGGTTATACACACATGGCAGCCGTGTCGATGTGACGGTATCCCGCCTGCAGTGCCGCAAGAACAGCCTTTTCCTGAGCTTCTTCGTCCTGCCAGGTCCCGAACCCAATGGCGGGTATCTCGGCGCCCGTGTTCAGCTTGAACTTAGTATCTCGAGGCGGCATGGCGATAGCTGTTGTCTCTTCTCGTTTACAAGTGACAATTGATGAACGGCAAGTTGCTATTCAATGCTCCCCGTCGTGCCCTTTTTTATGTCCATCTTTCCTGGCCAAAAATCCGGTTCATAACGTCAACCTTTCCAACCTGACGTCACAGCGTGCTTGTTATAACATCGGAGTAACTTACTCCATGCTGCCAAAGAGCACTTCACGACCGTTAACCTAGTAGCGACAAGATAAAGTAAATACTGCTCAAGAAGTGGCTTAACGCAGCCACATTATCTGCATGGATCCCGATATTTTTTCTCCATCGTCCGATGTGCGCCCCCAGCTGAAACGTAGTGGCCGCTCAAGCTGCACATCTTCGTCTCACCCTCATGAAGGCCTGGTTGGCACCAGAATAGCCCTAAATTGGCTCTTCTGCTAGACTCACCTTCTAGCATACGCGTTTGTATGCTAATAATAAGTTGCAGTCAACCAACACAGCGCAGACATGCTGCAGTGCTCTGCCACAACACGTCAGCTAGCAGCCATGCAGGTATCCCTACGCAAAAAAAGGAGGCGCTCCATCGCACCGGACAAGAGCATCGCATCCAGCGACATGGGCCATGGGAAGGAAAAATAAAAAGGACAAACGCGGGGAGGCTGAGCAGGGTAGCAAGCGGACCGGCGTCATGTCTGAGTGGCTGAAGGCTGAAGCAGCGTGTCGCATGTCCCATGTCCCCTGTCGCTGCCAGCATCTCCACGCACGACCATCAGGCCCTAACAAAGTCAAAAGTGCGAGGTCCTTAATCCCAAATGAGGTATTTCAGGTAGCAAGCCCCTAATCGAACGGGTTATAAGTACCTATCGTGGCCCGCAGCTTTTTCTCGAGCAGTTTACTCCTTATCATCGTCATTCAGCTCCATTATACCTACCATCTACTACGATTACCATCGATACATACCCTGATCAGTCAAGATGCAGTTCAAGGCTCTCTCACTCCTTTTCCTCTCTGCTACTGCTGTCATCGCTTCCCCACAGCCAGAGAAGCGTGATATCATCGACGATGTGTAGGTCTTCATCCCTCTCTATATATATAACAATCGACTGATAGAAGACAGCACCTCCGGCATTGGAAACGTCGGCTCAGAAATTGGCGGTATCGCATCAGATATCGGCGACATCGGCAAGAGCTTGACCTCCTTGTTCCCCTCCGCCACGGCCATCCCAGCCTCTGTCTGGAGCAGCCTGACGGACGCTTCTGACATCAAGTCCTTCGGCTCCTCGCTGCACAGCGCTATCTCCGACCACCATGCCCCAGCCTGGTTCTCCAGTCTGCCCGCCAGCGCCCAGAGTGCCGTCAGCAGCGCCGCCGCCAAAATCACTGAGGAAATCGGTAGCCATTTCCCTAGCGCTACTCAGACTAATGCTCCTGGCGCAACGGCTACCAGTGGCTCCCATGGCACCAACAGCCCCAATGCTGCTCCTCGCGCCACCGCTCTAGCGGCCAGTATCGCTGGTGCTGCCGGTATCCTTGGCCTCGCTATTGCCTTGTAGACGGCCGTTTTTTTTCTTTTTTCTTTATCTTCTTTTTTTCGACTTTTACTATGGGCAGTGTTTTTATTTTTGCCCTCAAGGCCGAATTGACTTCTGAAGTGGTCGTCCATTCCTTGTATTATAAGTCGGGATGCCTAGAATGTCTTCTAATATGAATATAATACCACCTTATCACTTCACATCTCTTCGCCTCCTTTTTCATCTCCTTTTCATTTAAATTTAGTTGCCAAGAAATGAAAATTTCAGGGGTGTCACGTGAATGCGCACTCTGCCTTTCCCGCCCACCGAAGAAGAGAAAAAAAAAACACCCACAAATAAAAACATCGCGAAGTTCGACTTTTTCTTCTCTTCACAACATCAACGATATATTTTTCTTTTCTTTTCTCTTACACGGCCAATTGACTTCGTGGCTGATGATGGGTAAGCTCTCCTTCCTTTCTGTATGCACAATCCTCCCTTTCGACCTTTACGGTGATGAACAAACTTCAAATGAACAATCCAAATCCGACCCTTCATGACGGAGAGATCATCTTGATTTATTTCCTCTGATACAAGCCGTTATGGGACACTGTGCTTGCATCCCGTATCGAGACATCCGAGTACTGACTTCTTGTCTTTAGAGCTTTTCATCATCCCGTCGTATATGATGCTACTCGCTTGATAACTATCAAAAGGTACGTGTTTTATTCATTTCATCACACACCCAACTCCCTTATGATGACTCTATGACATGCGAAAGGCATTCCTCAAACTTAACCAATAATGTGGAATTTTGTCAGCTCTTAAGTTTCAGCCTTGTCTGATTTTATTGCCCTTACTTTGTTTCTTCTTGACGTCCGCTTCTATCTCGTTATATTCTCGGTTGCTGATAGACAGTCTCGAATAGGTACGGTGATCTAAAGCCCAATATCTGCTGCCCATCCATCAGGTGTAAAACACAGCTTTGCATGAGGAATATTTGAACGAACGGGCGGACAGATCGCGTCTTTCTATCGCTATTCGTTAAAACAGGACGTACAACCCTGTGGGTAGTTGATCGTTGGATTGCTTGTTGAGATTTCGTCACCTGACTATACCTGCTATCTACGTTGCTTGTCTGCGGCAGATCATCGGCTCGTATCAATTACTAACGTGCTGTTTGATCAGGTATATATCTATTTTCGTTGATTTTCTTTTGGGCATCGAGAACATCTCTTCCATGATGAACATTATTCACACTGTTTGATCTGTGCACTCTGTGCCAGAGGTGAAACTTCTTACACTGAAAATTCTGATTTAATGAGGTATGTCTGCCACTGTTACTTCTCTCATGAAGATTCGCAGCGATGCTAACCGATAGGCGGGAAGCCTGATGATAGATGATTCCTCTTATATTTTGCGATGGCAAATGGTTATTGGTTACAATTGCATCAGCCGGTACTGACTTCTATCGTTGAATAGGTTTGGTTACTCTAATGTAGTCGTCCACTGTTACCAGAGTTCAGGTTAGTCTTTCTTACGATTTGATTATCGTGCCCCTCCCGATATTATCTGATGAGACAATGATATTCGCTGTGTTCTTTCCGAGTCATACTTTGACGATACACATCATCACCTTGGAGACCTGATCCTTTGCATATATTCCCATTAGCTATTCGTTGACTCCTATCTTAAGGTCCAAATGCTAACCGGATACTAGGTATGGCCCTGGTACACTGAACTAGATAGTCTATAGTAACTTCAGAATACATCTTTATTATTTTTAACTTCCATTCTTACTCCACTTGGTCATATGGCATGCTGCATAAACAGTATTGGAAAGCACACACGATTTAACATTTATGGATGACCTGTCCCACATACCAACAACCTCTGATCTACTCAACATACTTTCCATGCTTCTTATGCCATTCTTCAATGCTATCTGCATAACCCTTGTGGACCGATATCTTCCCCTCTGGCCACCGAGCCCACTTCGGCTTCGAGTCCGCAAGTATGCAAATCAACTCATCTGGCTCAGGAAGCTCAGTGTCAATCGCGGATGCAAATGGATGAATGAGCTCAGGCCAGTGCTTATCCCACAGCCATAACATGGTGCTGCAGTTCGAGCAGAAGTTGCGTTCAGAGCTACACTTCTCTTCAGTTGGCTTTCCCCGGTCCTTTATCGCGTTGTATTTCCTGACAACCAGTGAGCATCTGTTGGTCCGGAGGGGGTAGAATGAGAGCATACTTTATCAGGTCCTTTCCCTTGATAATATTCAATGATTCATTGACCCCTCCTAAGTTGATGCTGCCCATGTACCCGCCCACTTTGCGGCAAATGCTGCATGCACAAAGTTGATATGGGACCGGCGTATGGGAGTCGAGCGTAAACTCGACACCGCCGCATTGGCAGCTTCCTTCTAACTTCCTATGGATAATAATTAGAGGACCAATACATATAGTTACTGGAATGAAAATTAAAACCAACATTGGCATCTTGGTAGATAATTCGCAATTCGTCTTGTTTCTAAAGGCTCGATCTATGTGCGTATTGTAGAGTGTTGAGGATGATGATTAAAGTATCAACCGAGCTGGGGAATATTGGTCCTTTATATAATGGATCAACCCTCTCATGATAGAACATCTTGTACGTAGTTATCATGGCCTTCATCTTCTTCTCATGTTTGCACATAAACGTCATGTTGCGTGTTTATCTTGTTTGCAGTGAATGCCAGTTTTGCACTGTTTGTCATCTCATGTTCGCACGGTTCCAAGTTTGCACTGTTTGCATCGTACTTTGCTCTTCAAGAAAGTCGAAAGACAAAACGATCGCAGCTGGACGAAGAAGCCGACTTGAAGTATTTGACCGTTGACAAGGAGCTAGAACAGTGAAGATGAGCTTTGGAAGTCCCGGCGGCCGCGCTCTTAACATCAAACCCACCCCGTACGTGCCATCCCCGCTTCCTCATTTGACAACGGCCTGACATTGAAAACTAACGACTGCTACCGAAACATCAGACCAGAGCGCGGGAGCTTCCCACTCGATCACGATGGTTAGAGCAGCCGTTCTACGATAACTTGTTGTCCGATGTGGGGATTGTTGCTAAATATCTACTTTCTACCAGGGGAGTGCAAGTCGATAATAGCAGGTTATCTCCAATGTTTAAAGTCAGCGAGTGGTGTGAACGATGAAGCATGCCGAAAGCTCGCAAAGAGCTACCTAAGCTGTCGAATGGACAAGTGTGTTTTTACCCTTGGCTAGTAGTTTTGTTGAGTGAGGGTGGCTTGGGTGCTGATGTTCCTAGGAATCTTATGGCGCCGGACGAGTTCAAGAATCTGGGACTAGTCTTTGAGAGCGACGAAAAGAAAAGCGAACCGGCCGCGAATCCATCCTCGGACAAACCGCCCTTGAATAGTAATAAATGATTGGCGAACTGGGTGAAGCGAGGCGGACGGCAGCCATTGGTTAGGCGTGCGATGTGATACGACTGCATATCTGTATTATATTATGCACTGCAGCTAGCAATGCATCTCTTTGGCGTTTGGGTGTGCATTTCAACTGACAGGAGAATAATCAAATATAACTATCCACTTCTATTATACTTGATTCCTGGTATTAGCTGCTCCATCTGATTCTATATATTCATGCCTCGTATGGAATAAACGTTCATCTTCTAGCCAAGGTCGAGTTTACCCCATAGCTTTAACTATGAAGTACCGCCGCGCAGTCTACATCCCACCATCAGCACTCAGAAATGTAGAAGCATCGATGTCGTCCGTGATACGCCCGCCAGACCCATGTCTGATAGCAATTGCTCTTGTCGTTCGCTCCCGCGCTGGCCCCCGGTTTGTCTACCATTATCCCCCCAACCCATCCATAGCTGAGTCCCCCTCCACCTCGCCAAACAAGTACGACTCCCTGAGCCAGAACCAGGACCCGGACCCGGACCAGGAGACTAAAACTACTGATTCCGGGGCCTCGGTGGACGAGGAAGTCGGTACGTCCGAAGAGGACGATGATGCGAGCGTTTTAGGGGAAAGAGACCGGGATCGGGATAGAGATCGGGAGAGGCTCCTTGAAAGAGACCAGCGCAGGTCTCCATCCCGTCACCATGTGTTGAAGAAGAGAGTGGCTATACAGGGAGCGCCAGAAGGTGACGGGGCCGAAAGCATTCGTGAAGAGAAGAGGGCCGACCTTGCGAATGTGCAGTTACAGGCTGATTCGTTCCTAGGACTGAAATATGATGTTTGGGAGAAACTGCTGAGTCCATCGCCGGCATGGCATAAGCGGCGGTTTGAAGTGGGTGTCAACGATCTTACGTTTGTAGGATGGCCTGTTTTCGTCCGGAAGGATGGTACATGGAGGAAGAAGAAGAAAAAAAAGAAGGAGAAGGAGAAGGAGAAGGGAAAGACGGACAGGAAGAAGCACGGCGGGAACGGTTCTATCTCTGGCCTTGGAGCTGCTATCAGTGCTGGCGAAGCGTCTATGAGTGTGCCTCTTGTTTCTATACCCGGTGATGCCCATGATGATGCTACGAATGATGATTCCGATGAACTGTCCGAGGAAGAGCAGTTGACTATCAAGGATGGCATGACGATGTTTAACGTCGTGTTTGTGCTCAACCCGCCTACGCTGGAGTACAATGTGCGCATCCGGGAGATGTACGAGAATGTGGTCAAGAAGTTTGGCAAGGCGTTGAAGTCTGAGCAGGCGAGGGCCAATTATGTCTGGAAAGAGGCCCTGAATATCCTGCGCATCAAGGAGAAATGCCGTGAAGAGAGTACGTGATTTAACACCGAATCCTAGCTGCTGTATCAAAATTACTGACCTCTATGTATAGGATGCTCACTATCTGCGGTTTACTCGCAGCTGTTTGCCAAATCCAGCCTTGCGCAGGCCATCGAGACGCTGTATACGGACATCTCAGCGTCAAAGATTGCATCCGTGTCTCTTGGTCCGCAGACGAGCATGTCCATGCAGATACCGCCGATGACCTCTACGCCGCATCTTCCTTCACCCAACGAACCAGGCTATCCTGGTCTCTGGCTGACGACAGCCGACAGCATATCGACCACGGACGAGACGTCCGCACTGGCAGCTTCGGGACAAAACCAGGTGCTGGCCAAGCACTTTGCCCTGTTACTGCTGAGTGATGAGAACACGATACTGAAAGACATCGAGGCGTCGAAGAGCACCATCGGCCCACCGCTGGCGCACTACATACGCTCGTCCAAGCCGACCAAGTCGTTTGCCCAGATATCTGCCCGTTCACGTATACCACTCAGCGACATACAGGTTCTAGCGAGCCATCTGGTGTACTGGAGACGAGCGCGGGCGATACCACCGCTGAACAAGAAGGATGTCTACATTGTCTCTCCGAACGCGGACATGAGCAAGTTGACTATTGCTACCGCAGCGTACGAGGCGACATTCCCGACACTGCCAAGCTTACCGAAGATGCTGTCTGCGCTGAGCTGTGGGAGTCCACGGCCTTATTACAGCTTCATACCGAGCCGGGACCACAAGGAAGTGTACTACGAGATTTTAGCGTGGCTGGTCAGGGGAGGATGGGTGACGCAGCTGCGAACCTTTGGGTGGGTTAAGGTTAGTCCCGAAGTGAAGAGCGCGGTACGGGACGCGATGATTAGGGAGGAGAGGAGGAAGTCGATGTCGATGGACAGGCGTCGTCCATCCCTCTCCGCCGTACGGGCCATGGCTACGGCAGAGGATGCAGAAGAAAAGAACGAGGAGAAAGACGAAGAAGACGACGAAAGAGGAGGAGAGAAACAAGACGGCTACGGTTCATCCTCATCCTCGTCACTGGACAGCGAGATGAGCGGCGAGGCCACGCCTGTCCCAGGCCGAGTACGTGCCCTCCACACCGGGAGAATGACATCTTCGCTCATCCTACGGCCACACCAAGCATCGCCCGTCGAGTCTCGCTGGCTGGACTACATCCTGAGCCGGTTCCCTGACCCGCCCGTGTCGACGGCAGGCTCGCCGCCCTCGACGGCGGAAGAGGGCCGACAGAGCTTCGACACCGACGACTCGGAGCTGGACATGTACGTGGCTCTGCGGCGGTACTGGCCGGTGCTTACAAAGTACTTCAACGGCACGGATGCACTGCAGAAGATCACGGTGCGAGAAGGGCTGAGCCATCGACTGGTGTGGAGGGTGCTGGGGATGCTGGACGTGAACACGCCGGCGGAGACGGAGGGCACCTGGGACGAGCACGAGAAGGTCCTTGTCACCGTCCGGCACTGGTAGAAGTTTTTCAATGTTTGCTCCAAAGTGGTATTTGGATGCCGGTGCAAGACATGGTCCTCGTATTTGCGGTCTTGCATCGCAGCGAGGTACTAGCGCTAAGAAAATACGTGGAAAGGTACCTCCGGGCTATGCGACGGGAAAACTCGCGGTTCTAGCCGTGAAAACCTCGGATCGTCACGTGGAGACGAGAAGAGCAGAAGAGCAGAGAATAAAGATAGAGCAGAAGAGAGGAAGAGAAGAGAATAGAGATAAAGACGAGGACGAGGAAGAGACTGGATGAGGATCTGGTGGATGTTGTACCTGGTCTTAGACTGTGTGCAACGAGGCCGGCTGAGCCAGAGTCTGTCTACATCCATATACTACAATGTATACCTGGATTCTCTTCTCTGCTCGTCTCGCCGGCGACTGTTTCTGACTTTATGCCTTCTGATAGTCTGTATGTCATCGATATCAATAGTTCCATAGTCGAGACATGATCAATCCTAAGAGTAGAACCGCATCCCTGTCTCGACACTGACAATTAACCAGCAGCCATAGCTGGACTTCCATACATCATTTATATATCATCCTATATCTTATATATCTTATATATCATCCCATCATCACGAAAGTCGCGAAAAGTAGGGAAAAAGAGGGAAAAAGTCTTGCCCTTCGGCGCACACTAAAAAACTAAACGTCTTTTTTTCCCTCTTCGGCCACTCACGACTTTTTCTTCTTTTCTTCTTCAAAACCACAAAAAAACCTCCAGCAGAGAAAAGAAAAGAAAAACACCGACTTCATCGTCTTCTTCTTCTCTTGTCGTTGTGGGTTTTTTTCCTTCTTTAAGGTCTTCTTCTCACGTGGTAAGTTGCTTTCTCTCTTCGCACTAAAACTTCAGCTTCTTTTTTTTTTTTTTGCTTCCTAATTTTTTCCTCTTCTTCTGCTTCTTCCTTACTGGCACCTTTTTTTCCTTTCTTCTCACGCCTCAGACTTTGCTTCTACGCCGTCTTAAGTATCACCGTCGTACACTCGGACAAACATACAAGCAAGCAAAGCTCGGGTCAGCTGGCAATTGGCGCTGGTGGCTGTCAAAAAGTCTGTCTCTCCGTCCTCTCTGTCTCGCTCTCCTCCGCCGGGTGAGGGGCTGAACAACTCGAACAAAGTCAGAGAAAAAAAAAAAAAAAAAAGACAGTAACAATAACTAATCCGTAGCCTTCCGTGGTTTACAGACAGACGAGAAGATCCTCTTTCTCAAGGCGTGAAGCTTTGTCTGCTCGTCCTTGCAGTCATTCTTTTCTCTCTCTTCGCCATACCGAACATCTTCATAAGAACCGACCTAACGACGCCCTACGCCTGCAAGACACATTGTCATTCGGATAGGCGTATACTGTCTGATATACGAAAGAAACATACACATACCCATAAAAAAGGTAACCTCCCCTTCGACTCGTTTGCGCATCACACCCTCCTCGGGCTCAGAAACGTCGAATCGATCGAACGAGGCAAGCAAGAAAGGAAGAACAGCCCTGGACCTGCGTACTGGTTCGGATACTACAAGTTTGGACTTGAGCTTGGTCCGTCGAATCGATGTCCGTCTCCGACTGAGAATCACAGCGTTATACCACTCCTCTTCTCTTCCAAATCCAAGAAGAAAAAAAAAATCTCCTTTTTTATATATCACGATCGTTACGACACCGCCTTTTTTTCCCTTGCCCTATCACTTCAATTCTTCTCTCCTTCGATCTTGATAGACGACAGCTGAGAAAGAGAGAGAGAAATAAAAAGAACTCTGATCCTAAGACTTTTCTTCACAGCCAGTTAGGCGGGGCCGATTGTTGGTGGTGGTTGTCTCTTGTGCCGTAGTGGCGGAGGTCCACTCAACTACACCCCTCGAACTCGTCCGCTCCATCGACGGGACCCCATCGTTATCGTCGACCGCCGTTGTTCCTTACACCCGTTGATACCCTGCTCATGGCAGCCTCGGTTCCTGCCAAAAAATCTACTCCAGACATGCCTGTCTTTTCATATGCACAGGCCGCAAAGGGCCTCACCAGCTCGACATCCGATACCAAGCAGACCAAGCCAGATGCTGGCGCCAGCTCTGTCGACGAGAACACCGCAGACCAGAAAATAGCCACCACTGCCGCCGTGGCGGACCAGTCAGCGGCTCAGCAGAGCTCTGAGGTGAAGAATGGACCTGCTTCCGCCGACGGCGAGGCCTCAGCTCCAGCAAAGACTGCCGTCTCTGAACGCGCATCACCCTCTCTGGGACCGTCGACTACCTCTACGCTAGTCAAAGAAGACGATATCTCCATCACCCCTAACGGCACCGCTTCAGAGTCCGAATGGGAGAAACAGTCCCAGGTGTCCACCGCTGCAGACAAGGAGAAGGCCAGCCAGGCCGCGGACGACGACAAGGCCAAGTCTGAGGCCAGCTGGGAGAACGTCACTCCACCGCCAAAGGAGCTCAAGGCCGCTCCACCACCAACCGTCAACATCTGGCAGCAACGACAGGAGGCCTTGGAGGCCAAGGCAAAAGCCAATGCGCTGCTGAAGCCCGCGGCTGGCCCCACGACAGCTTCAAAGGGATCAACCGCCAGCCAGACCTCTGGTGACGCCAGGTCGGAGCACCATGGCAAGGGTGCTAACAAGAAGAAGGCCTCAGAGGCCGCTGGTACTGCTACTGATGCGTCTGCGAATGGACGTGATAAGAAGAAGCCAAGCGATGGTATGGATTTCTGCTCTTATTCTCATAGTGTAAAATATGCATTGGCTAAAAGTCCTCTCTTAGGCTCAAGGAAAGGTGGTGTTCGATCGAACCGTGGACCAGAGACTGGCGAATCCCTCCCACCTGTCAACGATGCCTCATCATGGCCTACCCCACAGTTGGCGCAAGGTGAAGACATGCGCAAAGCTCAAGAACACACAGAGAAGCCCGAAAAGGCTGAAAAGGAGAAACATTCTAGCACCCGGACCCATGGAAAGGAAAAGTGGATGCCTGTTCCATACGTACCCACCGCTGTTTTCAACACTCCGTTGCCCCCCGCGGCCAGGAGAGGTGGACGAAGTGCCAGGGGAGGTTCTAGAGAAGGAGGACCCCGGGGTGCAGGTCACGCCAGCGGTGATAGAACCACCCCTTCGTCTGCCTCCAAAGCGTCCTCGGCCGGAGACCGTGAGAAGATTGACGAACGCGCTACGCCGGAGGCTCAGAAGGGCGCTTCTACTGCTGATGCAAGCTTGAAAAACGGCGATGTTACCGAAAAGCACACCTCTGCCTCAACAGATGCGCAAAAAGATGCCAAGCCGGCGCAAAACAGCAACAATGCAGCTACTACGAATGCATCGGAAGGGAACACTCAACACTCTCACCCTGCATCCTCTCAGTCTCCTACTCGACCTCGCCCGGAGTCCAAGACCTATCATAAATCCCATGAGGCCCACAGCACCTCATATAAGGGTGGAGAACACCACTCCTCTCGACAGGCTAGTTCCTCCGCTGATGGCCATACTAGCCATTCTAGATATGGTGCGGGCCATGACAGGCGATTCGATGCGGGTTCTAGATCTGGAGAGTTCTTCAAGGATTCCAACTACCAGCCAAGAGGTAGAGAATTCACAAAAGACCGCGAGTTCAACAGAGATGGCAGAGATTATCAGCGCTCTGAGTATCCAAACATGGACCGTGAGTCCCGATCCGAGAGAGGCCGTGGTGGCTACCGCGGTGGACGTGGCGGCCATTCCAACTATACCAGCACCACCAGCGGTTCCCAAAGCGCTACTTCATACCACTCTGCTCCTATCCCTCAGCATCCCTTCCCACCCAAGGGCTTCAACTTTAACGATCGCCATCGCCCGCAGCCTGCTACCAACGGCGCCCAGCAAGCACAACAGCCACAGCTTAACTCTTCTAGTAATAGGATGAGCATGCGTTCTCCCTCCATGCCAAACCCAGGCATGTTTGCTCCTTATACCATCCAAACAGACATGAGCCTCATGTACCCTTACGCCCAAGCCCCTCAGGGCCCAATGACTGCCATGCCCTACCAACCATACATGGAAAACTTCTACCTCATGAGCATGATCTCTACGCAACTCGAATACTACTTCTCCGTTGACAACCTGTGCAAAGACCTCTTCCTCCGCCAACACATGGACTCCCAGGGCTTCGTGCTACTTAGCTTCATCGCATCCTTCAAGCGCATCAAGTCGCTTACGGAAGACCTAGACCTACTGCGCTTTGTATGTCGCCAATTGAGAAATGTCGAGTACAGAGCTAGTGATGATGGAGTCGATCGACTACGTAAACGTGAGGGATGGCAGCAATGGGTCCTTAGTATGGAGGCACGCGCTTCCTCCGCACAGAATGATGGGCCATCTACTGCCACTGCAGAGGAGTATGTGCCTACCTCGGCCTCCGCACCACTGCATATGAATGGAAACGGAACATACAACAATTTCGTCCCAACGGCCGAAACTGCATCTGCAGAGGAGGCACCAAAGCGTCAGGCGAAGCTATCCTCCGCCGCACCAGAGTTTTCGCCGCTTGCATCCAACGGAACGGGATCCTTCGAACAGGCCAACTTTACTGATGGTCAGGTTGATAGTAACTTTGTTCCTGTGGTACGTCCAATTGCATATTAATTCCCTCTTATGCCCACCGCAGAGCCGTGATGTATATATGCATGCATATACTGACTAATTATGAAGCAGCACGTTGGCCAATAAACGCGGCCATCAGTGATCGTTTGTTACTCTGTATGCGTTTCCTTCGGATTAATTGGCACTCGAAAAGAACATGATCCCCGATGCTCAGGATAAGAGAGTGGCCCAGGTAGAAAGAAAGCCATACATCTACCGGTTTTACCCGTTCTTGCTCTGGCCCGTCAGCACATCTCGTCATGCAATTTGTTCCACAAAAAGAAAAAAGGCAGCGACTGAAATGGCAAAACATCAGTCAGCCATGAGTGAATGGCCAGCTGCCAAACTTCCCACCCATCTCATTTCTTTCTTGGTTTAAAAATGAAGACAAACCCTTAACTTCCAGCAATGCAATGTACAATGAAAAGATCCAGGAGCTTGGCGTTCTCGACTGTTTCTTTCTTTCTCTCCCCCCTTGCAGCATCCCCCCAGTTTCAACTTCCAATTCTTTTAACCGTTTTCGAAGCCCCCTAAAAAATTGCGATATCTCTCGAAAGCTTCCCCACGACGTTATTATTTGCCGTTTTCATGTCCGAGCTCGCCTCAGGGTCTTTTTTTTTTATGTGTTATGTGAACGAGGTACTGGTTTATTCGATTCAGGGGATTTCTTGCACGGTGAAATGGGAAACATGACAAGGATGGAAGAGATGTTATCTTTCGACGTCTGTTTTGTGTGTCTTACGGGAGGGAAAAATCAGTTCAAAGGAAATCCTACTCGATACAAACAAGACGTCAGAGCTGGCTTCGAGAAACTTACGTATGCTACGTTATGACCTGCATGATGCCCACTCTGGCACTTCCCATTCCAGCTTTCGGGCAGGCTATTACCCCGTTTTACAGAGCAGAAAAAGAGAGAAACGCACTCAAAAAAAATATTAATTTACATTTACCCTGAACCCATCCACCTTCCGGATCCAGTTTGCGCCGAAGGGGCTCATTCAAACTCGTCGGTATCCCATTTTATACCCTCGGGTTCCTTCTATCCTGGTTTGAAGTTCTGCCATAATTTGGTCTTTCTCTTCATGTCGGTCGATCGATATATTCCGTGGATTCATCGGTTGTTTTATGTTCGAGCTGCACTTTACTTCAATACTATACAGTGAGCAGCATATTTCGCTATCCAGATATGTGGCTGAAGCCTGGTCGCGGTGAACTGTCGTGCGCATACTGTCTTCAGCAGACCTCATCCCGCTGCCTTTGGAGGAAAGAAAGACAAGAACCTAACAGCACGAGGAAATGAGAAAGCGATTTATCCCTATGTTTTAATCGATCTATCTGCCCCAGCAATGGAAAACAAAACAATATGACAACTTCGCGTTACTCAGCAGTCTTGTATATTCTTTCTTTCTTCCTTTCTTGCTTGGGGGACCAATCTTCAGAATTCCTTACTTTCCTTCTTCCTTCATGCCTTTCCATGAGGTCCCTTTTACCCTGATTCATTCATCTTTTCTTTTACCATTATTCCTCTGTTCCGCATCCTTTTTATTCCTTTCTATAGTTATCATTCCAACACTAAATATCTGCATGCGGCGTTCTGGGTTCGGCTTCATATCTTTTATTCTTGCTCGAAAGTGCCAAACTTATTCCTCTGCTCGCGTTCACTGAAGATTGCAACCCCTAAAAGCGAACATCGAAGGCATTTCCGCCCTTCTTAGATTATTTCCCCTCCTCCTCCCTCTTCTCTCCTTTAATGCAAGAGTTCAAATTCATTCTACCTTTTTTTTTTTTTTCATAGTGTTCAACAGCCTTGGTGTCTTTCTACGACCATCCACTTCTATCGCTGGTATTACAGCTCCTTTTACCCATTCTATTTGTCTGTATGGAGAATTTGTTGTCTGCTAGATTACTATTACCATCCCATCTCCTTTGAAACCAGTCTGAGGTTGTGTATCCTTCTCTCCAGCTATCTGCTAATAAAGTCATACAAAGCCTCCATTGGCTTTAGTCTTCGCTAAATAACCTGTCTTTCGATACGAACAGAGGATGTTGCCCCTTACTTATAATATTTCAAACGGTGCAGGATATGTTTCTCCCCTTGATATATCGCTGGTTTAACCGCCACAACTTTTAACAAAGGATAAAAACCATCTACCCCGCAATACTACCATGATTATAAATAAGGAGATAAAAAAAGGGAACTGGAAAAAGGGCAAAAAAAGTGACTAGACTGGGGTTCGATCCCAGGACCTTATCGGCACTTTGAAGCGGAAAAACCGCTTTGTGAGCGATACGTGATAACCAACTACACCATCCAGCCAATCTTAAGTAGCAAATTTTGGGCAGTTGACCTCATGCCTTTAGGCCGTTACATGTGAAAACAATATATTATCGATATATAAGTATGTGAGGGTGTTATAATGCGTGTTTTTATCGGTAGAGGCTAAAGAAACAAGATGACGATAATAGAATAATATTCATTCCTTGTATGCTAATCTAACTGACATTAACGCTGAGCCAGGCTTCCCTGCCTACATGCCATCCCATGTATGAAGTACGGGAAAGAGAAAGTTAAAAGAGGAGAAGCTGAGTTATTGTGATGAGCTCTAGTGAAGAGAAAGTAACTAAAAGGAAGAAAAGTCGATTATTGTGATGATCTCCAACAGAAAGAGAAATGAATAGCAGGAAGAAGAGTCGATTATTGTGATGATCTCCAACAGAAAGAGAAGTGAATAGCAGGAAGAAGAGAAGTCGGTTATTGTGATGATCTCCAACAAAGAGAAAGTGAAATAACAGGGAGGAGAGAAATCGATTATTGTGATGGTCTCCAACGAGTGTTTTGCTGTTGCTGGTGGCTCGCTAGGCTCCCTGAATCTCCCACTCGGGCCTGACATCATGTCAGGCCGGTCTCTAAATACAGGATCGAGCGATCATAAAAGAAAACCTATGTTTGGTAGGAAAAAGCCGTATCAGTATATATAATACATGATGTAACTGTGTACTTCCCAGTTAGTAGTCCTTGGGCCGGCTCCCGACCCAGTCCTTACGTATCCTTCCTCCATGAGCCTTTCGTCTGGTTGGCCTTATCCTTGTATCACACTTGGAAAGATGTCGCATTCCCATATTACTGACGGGCGTCCAATGTATCCAATGCATCTAATGAGGTTCGTATGTAGTCCAGGTTCATGACGTTGTTCGCTAGGTTTCGCGGATGGCTGAAAAACGGATATCAATGTGCTCCGAACAAGAGAGCCGCACTAGCACCAAGGGGTATCTTTGCTGATGCAATTATTCCTTGGTTATCTCTATCTAGCTGCAGCAACGCTATATTTGTGGCGATTCAGTATGGTTCAAGCCCCGGCCATTAGGGCTTCCACGCTTTCAATCCTTGGTTATGGTCATCATGTCGATTGCCGCTGGAAAGCCGGGAACGAGGGTCGTTCGGGACGTTTCGAAAGTGGTAAGATGTTGGCATTGAAGATATTGGTTGAACTACCGTTTCCATTAGGTGTTGACGTTGTCATTTGGTCGGGGTTCTTCCTTGAACACATCGACCGGGTGGCATGCATCTCTCTCTCTTCTTGTTCGGAACCGTACGAGCTCGGTCAGTACCTGAAATCAATGAGGTGTTTCGTTCCTTGGTCGTCGTTCATTTCTCGGATGTTAGCGTGGTGAGAATTGACTCCTGGTACTCGACCAGGACATTCTCCTTATCGTTCGGAACTCTTTGAAACGGCCGAAGAATTCGTCCTCGATCTCATTGGCCGTTGGCTTTCCTATCTCATCAGCGTTGATGAATTTCTATACACCGTCCGCATCCAGTAGTATTTGGTCCTAGAAATGTCGCCCTTCCTTCATCAGTGGACATATGGAAACCGCCATTTTCTGTGGGTGATATGGTGCTTGTCTCTTGTAAAACATAATATATCGAAGAGTAAATATCTGTATCCTTCCCTGCGCCCGGTGGATCTTCCACGGAGTAAAAGGATAGGCTATTGCGGGCCGTCCCGGCCCATATATGGTGTCTCTATATCTATTCTTAATAAAGGGCTGGCCGCTTCTTTAGTCCTTCGCGGGGGAAATTTTCACGCCCCATGCGGGACCCGCCCATTAGCGGAGCGATAACCATGTCAAGAGCAAGAGAGAGTAGCATTGGTGTCAAGGAGGAACATCCTCATCGATCTGTTCGACGATGATGATGAGTGTTGGAAAACCTGTATGGGACTGTGTGGGAATTGTGAGAGGGAGAGGGAGAGTGAGTGAGTGTGTTCCTCAAGGGGCAATTTAGCGAATGTTCGAATCTCATGCTGTGCTGCAGAGCTGCAGGCTGTATATATACCATGTACGACTCTGCCTAGGCCCGAATAGGCAGTTCCGGGAAACCCCTGAGGCTTCACCCATTGGCTGTCGAATATTTGTTTACATGGTAGGCGATCCAATAGTGGTCTCTATCTGCTTCATAGAAGCTTGCAGGGACATGCTCACATGGAACTACTTTTCATGCAGACGATCTACCCTGTAGCCATTGGCTACCCTTGAGATATTGGGGGCAACCCAAACACCGTGTTGGGCACCAATGCTCCTATACGGTACTCCGTACGTATAGGCTTTTAGGGTGCAGAATGAAGCACAGGGCTTCTGGACGGCCGATGGTAACTCATTTCAAGGACCAGTTCATGTATATTAAGATCGAGTGTTGGTCCTCCATCTCGGCAGCGGCTGGTTCAACAGCTAACCTGTGAATTTCCAGATGGCGGCGGTGGTGGTGCTGTGGCTGTAGCCCATGATTGTAAAACGAGACACATGACATCCGTAGGTATGGCAGTCTCAGAAGTATTGCTATCCGGACTGCAGATGCGATGTAGCTTCGTTACAGTCGTTATCAACCGGTTTTTGAAAAAGGTTTCCTTTGCTTTGAAAGTCTCTGCAGTGTCTGTAGTCAGTCGTCACAGTTGCTGAGTTGGCAGTAAAAGAAAAAATAAATAAATAAACAATCCATTGGTAACACGTATTGAATGAGGATTGGAATGTTGGTATGTGATCGCATTTTTTTTTTATTCTATATCAATGTGTACCAACGGCGTGTAGTACACCTCCAGGTCATAAGAACAGGTTCTGTCGTTTCAATCGTTCAATGGACGGTGAAGGACTCAGCCTAACCGCCGCTTGGTATCTCGCTGTGACTCCGTATTTGACCCTCGAAGCGCATCTGTAACAAGACCGCGTAACTCCTGCTGACCCTCTTCGCTATGAAAATCCCCCCTTGCAGCTAGTTCCTCTATCCTCTGCCTGAACGCAGAATCGATAGGCACTTCCTGGTTAACATCGCCTTGCTCGGTTGTACCAAATGACACCTTCACGTTCGATGGCAGCGCATTCCCTGTCCCGTCCAGCTTCACGTCTGCACTGATGATATCGTTCAGATACGCAGCAACAAGCGGGAACGAACCGTCATTTGTAATGGATTCTGCGGCCGTGAAACCCTCGTCGTTCTTCTTCGTCTTGTCTATGCCGCACTCCTCGACCAGATAGCGGGCTACCTCCACAGACTCCACAACAAACAGGCAAGTCTCGCCGTCTTCGTCCGTCAGGTTAACATCTACCTTGAACTCATCGATCAGGGTGCGCAGGAGGTCGAGATGGCTGTAAGATGCGGCGGCGTGGAGCAGAGAGTAGCCATGCTCGTCCTGCTCAGAGGCGAGCGCAGGGTTTGCGCGCAGGAGGGGTAGCAGCGCGGGCGAGTTGTCCGATGCGAGGACATAAGGATTCGCCATGGTAAGGCTCCGTCGGTGATCTCCTTGTGGTGTTTTACTAGATCCTTTGCGGCGTCTAGGCAGTTGGTCAAGCTCTTGTAGCGTGAGGAAGACGTTCTGTGATTTCGGCCCACCAAGAATAGTTTAAAGTGCCCATCTAGCTCCCCATGTATAAGTACTTTTTACCAATGATTATAAACAACTTGTTAAATTTACTATAAAGTTCAAAGAGTCGAAGATACGTATAGCAGAAGAACATTATTGACTAGTAGCTTGTAGTTCCCGTACCCTTAGGGAGATTCTATTAACTATCAGTCCAGAGCCCGACCCATAACTAGCGGTTACGATGAATATTTCTTTTCTTCCCGACTCTGCTCCATAGAGTAATACAAATAGCTCCCATTCACGTTCAACCACCGCCGATAATGTCGCCTTTTTCTATATCTTGCCTATCCATGAGTCCTTTTGTCGCGCGCTTGCGTCTGTAATTTCCGCATTAGGCAAACGCGCGGCTCCTTGTAGTGCACGCTCCACGTCGCGCTTAGTTGTTCTCTTCTTCTAACTTGCAACATCTTTCAACTTGCAACATCTTTCATGCTCAGCTCGGGTCCAACTCAGGCTCAATCCTTCTTCTGGTCATCATCACAATGGGCCAAAGCTTTTGCCTTATAGCGCCTCATCGCCGCCGCCGACTTGGGTGGCGTGGCAAGCTTGGTGAAGTCCTCTTTGACGGTACTGCCTTCCAACTCGTTCCCTTCTTTGCCAGGCCTGTTGTCCATGTAGAAGACACGGATGAGCCCCTCGTTATCCGAGGGAAAGTTATTCCACGAAAAAAGCGACGGCGGTTAGACAGTTCTTCTGCTTCTCATGCTGCTCGGCCTCCGCTCCTACGGCTGCCAAATGAGATACACCATCTTATCTTTGACTCTTTGGACATTAAAGGAGTCTTTATTCTGGGGATCACCTGCCAGCAATTCTGGGACATAGCAAGGTTTAAAATCAAGCAGTATTTTGCAAGCTACCTGGGCCGTTTGGCTGGGACACCAGTTGTTTGCGTCGGCGATGGAACCGACCGTGGTGGAAATGTCATTTATCCCCAGGGGCTACTATCTTCTAAGGATGTTCGTGATCTGCAAGAAGGGCTGGACGTGGATGAATTGGAAGACGGCCTGCCAGACGAATACGCCAACAAGCCTATCAATCTTTATGGTGTAGCCTTTAATCGGTACCGTGTCTATAGGAGCGACGGTGGGAGTTTTCCCTCCAAGTTGCTACACATCTGTCTTGAATATATTCATAAGGACCCTTGTCCGGATGATATGTTAGGGGTATCACATCCGACTCTTTCTGATTTCTACCCCGAGAGTCAGGAATGGGTTCTCAGGAATTTGACAACGCGTGAATTCGTTCTCCCTACAGCAGTTGCATTACAGAAAAAGCATATTAAAGGTCCCCTAATTAACGTACTAGGCTTTGGCGAAGTTATTCTTTCTAGAGTCTGTTGGTCTACCGACGACTTCACGTCAATGGGTTGGGAGGGGATCCACCGGGGAGTTTGGGCAGGACACTCTCTAGATATTGTTCCCTCTACCTACTTGGATAGCGGTGGACCATGGAAAGATATCAGCGACGAAGTTTCCCGAGAAATTGCAGAGATCTGGAAGAGTGAATATGGCGAGGACTGGAGAAATGTTATCAGCGAGAACCGACCACGCTATTGGTGAAATGCAACCCGCGATCAAGGTGCAATGTAACTGTTTGACCGCAATCTACTGTGGCCTCTTCCTCACTCCATGTAAGTACTTCCATACCAGAATGACCCTAGACAAATGGTGTCTTCAAGCTGAGGATTAATTCAACCCATCTGATATTACTAGTCAATATTAACTTACACTGATCTCAAGAAATTTACCCTTGGCCAAAAAAAATATCACAACGTGGATCTGCCTGCCGGTGGTCATTTTCCAACGATGCAGCAGCAAATAGAATGCGGTATTGCAATGGTCAACGAGGACCGGTGGACCCAGCTATAAACAAGTACCGGTTAACGCTTTTCTCGATTCTGGCACTAGCAGCGACCTTGGACCAAGTCCAGTATGCCCGTTTACTCCAGGTTGCCTAGTGCCTAATGCCCTATATTGAACCTAGCGCCCTCCATATCAACGAGATTAATGCCTGCAGTCTTCCCAGTAGCTTCCAGGGAAAATATCTATAGATAGGCCCTTGGTATAATAGTACAAAGAGGCGGGAATAAGTGATAATAAGATAAAGAGGAATCATTCTTATATATACTCCGTAGACTGTCTATCAAATGTTTTTAGATGTCAGTCATTTTGTATGTTATTTGCAAAAAAGAAACTGACCAATCACTGCGATGCTCCAAGTCGACTACAAAACGCTTTCTGTGACTCAAGTAAATATTTAAATTCACCAAAGCTGGTGAGCGAACATAAATATATTTAATGTCCATCCTGGGCTCAAGCAGGTCTATATGGCAAAGGAAGAGTAGATACAGCTCTGCCGTACTGTCTATTGGCCTCTACTGCGTCCGTCGTTCGTTTTCCAGCTCGCCGTTCACCCTCATGGCGCAACAAGACGCCCATCAGGTCCTCCAGCTCGTTCAGAGACTGGAGGCCGCACAGAAGAAACAGGTCAAGCGAGCGTTCAGCTGCAAGAAGTCGACCTTCTCTGTCACCGGGTCAGATATCACTGTCGACTCGTGGCGGTTCCAGGACTGGGACTACAAGAAGGGCGGACTGCCCACCTACGCGCGAGGCCTGTTCACGACCGTCAACAGAGCTGGAAAGCCAGAGATTGCAGTCAGAGGATACGACAAGTTCTTCAATATCGAGGAAGTCAACTCTACCAGATGGAGAAATATCGAAGATAATACCCGTGGGCCGTATGAGTTGAGCGTTAAGGAGAATGGATGCATCATCTTCATCTCTGGCCTGGAGGACGGTACACTGCTGGTCTGTAGTAAGCATTCCACCGGCTCGCGTCAGGATATGGAGATGAGCCATGCAGAGGTTGGTCGTGCCTGGGTCAAGAGACATGTCGAGTCTGTTGGCAAGACGGAGCGGGATCTCGCCACGGAGCTACGGAGTATGAATGCTACGGCTGTGGGTGAGCTGTGTGATGACAGCTTCGAGGAGCATGTCCTTGCTTATTCGGAAGAAGAGTCTGGAATATACTTGCACGGCATAAACTACAACCTGCCTGAGTTTGCAACCGTCAGGAGCTCTGATGTGCATCGCTTTGCGGACACATGGGGGTTCAAAAAGGCACAGTTCCTCGTAAAAGATGATATCACCTCTGTCAGGGAGTTCCTCGAAGGCTGTGCAGAGACAGGTTCCTGGGACGGGAGAGACACTGAAGGGTTTGTGATCCGGTGTCAGATGCGAGAGTCCAACGCGCTGCCCTACCAGGACTGGTTCTTCAAGTACAAGTTCGAGGAGCCGTATCTGATGTACCGCCAATGGCGGGAGGCGACCAAGAAGCTGATCTCTGGGAAAGTCCCTACGTTCAGGAAACACGTCAAGATATCAGAGGAGTATCTAAAATATGCTAGAAAACAGCTCGCAAAGGACCCCAAGTTGGGCAAACGATACAACCAAAATCATGGTATCATCGCCATGCGCGACGGTTTCTTAAAAGAACGGGGCCTCAAGGGCTCTGAGATTATAGCTATGGAAGCAGCTGAGGGAGAGGAGCTTTGTGTCCCTCAGGACAAGGACTTCGTCCTGGTGCCTATCGCTTCAATCGGATGTGGCAAGACGACTGTGGCTGTCGCTCTCGTCAAACTGTTCGGATGGGGTCATTTCCAAAACGACAACGTTGAGGGCAAAGGAAACAGACCTAAGCGGTTCGTCCAGGGACTAATCGGTGAGCTGAACAGTCACAGCTGCGTTATAGCAGACCGCAACAACCACCAGAAGCGCGAGAGGGAGCAGCTTTTCACCGATATGCAGGCCCTCGTTCCGGACGCCCACTTCATTGCCCTTCACTGGGTTCACGAGCCGAAGAAGTCGATGCTGGACGATATCCGACGGGTAACGCAGCAGCGAGTGCTGGACCGGGGAGATAACCACCAGACCATCCGAGCAGGCAGCAAGAGCGAAAGCGAGATCCTACAGATAATGGAAGGATTCCTGCGTCGATTTGAAGCTGTTGACACCGGCCGTGAGCCAGACAGCCAATTTGAAGGAGTGATCGATCTAGACGTCGCAGCGTCTTCGAGAGAGAATCTAGAGACCATCGTAGACTACTTTTACGCCAATTATCCCAAGCTGATGAAGAGGGAGAAGCCAGACGCCTCGGAGCTCGATGCAGCTATCAAAGAAGCGATGGAGGGCTATACCGTCGACATCAAACACGATCTTAGCTTCCAAGGCAAATCCAAAGGACAACAGCAGCCTCCGCAGCACCAGAATCAACATCAGAAGCTACAGACGCCAGACCAACTGGTCAAAAAGATAGAATACTTCAACATCTCCGTTCCCTCTGCCCCAATCAAATCAACCCTCGCTTCCATCTTCGACGCGTCCCCATCATCGGACTACTCTCATCTCTACCGCCTGCTCACCAACTCCCGCCGCATCCAGCCCTCGTTCCACGTAACTCTCATCCACCGCGCCTCCAGCGCCGACCAGCCTGACACATGGCGCACATACACAGACCTGTACAAACAAGCCATCGCTAACCAGGCAGCGTCGTCATCCGCGCCCTCGAGCACAGGCTCAAACTCAGGCGGAGGAGGCTCGGGCGTGGTCTCAGCCACCGTTACAGGAACACCCACGCCAAGACTAGGAACAGCATCCGTCCGCCTCGAAACTCTCGTATGGGATAAGCGCATCATGGCTATTGTTGCACGTATTTTGCCTGGCCCGACGGCCACGGGGGTGGCGGCGGCGTCGGCGACGCTAGGGGAGGCTGAAGAAGGAGAGTTATTACCAACGTGGCCTTGTGCGAATGAGATTGCGCATATTACGATCGGAACGGCGAATGCGAGTGTCAAGCCGAAGGAGAGCAACGACCTGTTGAAGCGATGGTTGGAAATGGGTGCGGGCGAACAGAGTGGGATTTGGGAGGCGAGGATTCCTTCTGTAAAGGTTGTGGAGGGTGTCGTGGGGGTTGTTATGCGTAGGTAGATCGATGTATTTGTTAGGTGGACCTGAACTCGCTGCTCAAAAAGTTAAGGTACATGAAGCTTGGTGTGGAAGTAAGGTACAATTATTATCATGATTCCAAAGTGGCCAGCACGCTATATTACTACAGACATAACTACATCAATGTTGACTTAAAAGGGGTATATGTAAACAGTAACGAGAAGAAGGGGGGGGAATAGAAACAGGTTAATCGTTCATCCAGGCTGCTACTCTACCTGTGCCGACACGAGCAACCATTCTCAACCCTGTACTTCCCATGGGAAAGTAACTGATGAGATACCAGATGAGAGCCACGAGCTGGCAGACAGATGATATGAGGGTTAGAATAGTTGAATGCAGCTATAGACAAGGACCAGGTCAGTGACGTTATCCGTTATACCCGGACGTAGAGAATAAAACAAATATGTGAAACGAATCCCGGGCGCGATGGCTGGTGGAATAAAGGGTGTGCAGAGGGATAAAGAGTCATAAAACACAGGTGTAAAGAATGATGTCATATTTGTCTGCAGGGTAGCTCGAAGATGGTGGTGATATAGCTCAGGGGGGGAGGGCAAGGGGGGGAGGAAGGGAAAGATGATGTTGGTGAAGGAGGGTGTGCGTGGGCGTGTTCAAGGCTGCGGAAAGGCGGATAGAGCAAAGAAAGGAGAAATAGAGCAAGGACAGGGAACAGGGATGTATGGATATTTTTTTTATACTCACACCAACGGCGAAATAGAGAGTCAGAGCGATGGAGGTGAAGTAGGCGGCCGTGAAGGGCAGCCGGGCGCCAGAAGTAAGATGCTTAGCGTATGGTATTGGACCCATGAGAACGGTCCAGGAGGCGAGGAAG